CTGGGGCTGCCAGCCTTCCTTCCCCAGCAAACAGCCTTGTGGAAATGGGGGTCATTTGCAGACCCCCTGGTGACCTGCCAGCTGTGGGAGTCTCTCCCCCCTCCCTTGGCTCTTCTGGGGAGGGAAAGTGAGGGGATTGGCCCCCTAAGGGCTTGATCCCCAGCTGAACTTTGTTCCCCTCCTGTGTGGGGCACAGGCCACAATCCCTTTGAATTGCGGTGGGGGGGGAGATATTGGGGAGTAAGTGGAGGGGGCTGGGTGGGCCTGGTTGTCAAGGAGGAGCTGGCTCCTGAGCTAAGGAGTGAGCGCAGGGTCAGGCCCAGGTCTGAGCAAAGCCGCCTGGAGGGGCTTCTGCTATAATAATAATAATAATAATAATAATAATAATAATAATAATTTAGTATTTATATCCCGCCCATCTGGCTGGGTTTCCCCAGGCACTCTGGGCGGTTTCAACATAATATTAAAATGCAATAATCTATTAATCATTAAAAGCTTCCCTAAAGATGGCTGCCTTCAGATGTCTTCTAAAAGTCAGATAGTTGTTGATTTCCTTGACATCTGATGGGAGGGCATTTCACAGGGCAGGTGCCACCACCAAGAAGTCCCTCTGCCTGGTTCCCTGCAACTTGGCTTCTCGCAGGGAGGGAACCGCCAGAAGGACCTCAGTGTCCGGGCTGAACGAGGGGGGTGGAGACGCTCCTTCAGATATGCTGGACCGAGGCCGTTTAGGGCTTTCAAGGTCAGCACAAACACTTTGAATTGTGCTCGGAAACTTGCTGGGAGCCAATGTAGGTCTTTCAGGACCGGTGTTATGTGGTCTCAGCGGCTGCTCCCAGTCACCAGTCTGGCTGCCGCATTCTGGATTAGTTGTAGTTTCTGCTGTCGGGTGGAGTGGGGTTTGTGTTGGGGAAGGGCAGGGCTAGGCCATGGGAGTATGGTGTAGTGGTTGGAGTGTCAGACCTGGGAGAGACTAGGGTTTGAATCTCCCCACTCAGTCATGCTCACCGTGGGCGACCTTGGGGGGGGGGGGGCAAGTCACTGCCTCTCTCAGACTAACCTGCCTCCCAGGGGCTTTTGTGGGGATTAGGTGAGGAGGGGAATATCTGAGCTCCTGGATAGCTCAGCTGGTTAAAATCATGGTGCTCATGAGGCCAAGGTTGAGGGTTTTCTGGATCCTCGAATGTTAGTGTTGGAAGGAACCGCAGGGGCCATCTAGTCCAACCCCCTGTGATGCAGGGAACTCAACACTCCGTCTCCCATCCAATCTGAGACCATACCTGACCCTGCTTAGCTTTGCAAAGGTGCTGCCAGTTTTATTGCTGCTATCCCCATACGGGACAGCTGCATGTCCCTGCATTGCAGCGAGTTGGACTAGATGATCCTTGGGATCGCTTTGAACAATTCTTTGATTGTATCCTTGGAGGTGGGCTGTAAATGCAATATATAAATCAATGGCCCGGTGGGCTCTTTCAGCAAAGGTGGCTGCTTCTCCCAGCGCCTGAGGCCAAGGGACGGGGCCAACGGGGCTTCATCCATTTCACTGCATCTCCTCTGAGTAGGACCTGGTGGGATACAGACCCAGGTGAGGCTGCTGGGATGCCTCCACATCTGCTTTGCTGCTTTATGTAACAAGGGAAACTGAGCTGTACAGGCTCTCCCTCTCTCCCTCTGTGTAGAGGAATTGTTTTCACTCCGGCTTGTTTTTTCTGGCCCGATCTGCCCTGGGGCGTTTTCGAGAGAGAGAGGCTGAGGAGAAGAAATGTCCCCGAATCAAATAAATAAGTAACTCTGGCCGAAGGAGAAGGGTCCCAGAGGCTTCCTGTGGCCAGCGGAGCTCTGACCTGTCTTTAGAAGAGGCGAGGCTCCAATTCTCCGCTCTGGGGGGGAGAGCCAAGGAGCCAGACGGGGTCCTCCTTGCCCTCGGGACCCCTTCTTATTTCAGGCACAGCCTTGCTGCCCCCCAGCCTGCTTCCAGGAGGGGTCAGCGAGGGGCACCCTTTGGGGGGTGTCTTCCTATAGGGCCTGCAGCCGCCTGGGTCTCTGCCAAGGACAGCCCGCAGGATCCTGCCTCCCTCCCTTGGCTGCATGCAATTAAGCAGGGAAGTGGAGCAGCCTTTGGGGAGGGAGGGGGCCCCCCTCTCCCCTCTCCTTGCTGCAGCAGCAGCTCCCCACCCACTTCCGCCCTCGCCTCCTTTCTAATGGATTCCTGTTGCAGCTGTGCGACCCCTCCAGCTGACACATGGTGGGGAGGGAGAGGAAAGGCCTCTTCCGGCTGGGAGGGGCGCCACCACGCTTGGCCCCAGCCAGCCAGCCAGAGCTGCCTCCTGCCAGCTGCTCCTTCCAGGCAGAGCAGAGTCCCCAGCAGGCCCCTCTCTCGGGTGGGGAGCAGGGGGAGGGAGGGGCCCTCCTGGGACCCGTTGCGCTGCTCTAACAGTCGGGGAGAATGCTGGGAACTGTAGTTTGCTAAGGGGACAGATCGCATGGAGATACAGTTTACACCACCGCCCCTTTAGTTCCCAGCACTCTTCCTTACTGACAAAGTGGTGTAGTACTGCTTTAAGCCTTCAGACTAGAATAATAGAATCAAGTTGGAAGGGTCCCCCCAAGGTCATCCATTCCAACCCCCTCCAATGCAGGAATCTCAGCTAAAGCATCCATGACAGGTGGCCATCCCACCTCTGCTTAGAAACCTCCAAGGAAGGAGAGTCCACTGTCTCCTAAGGGCAGGCAGAGGCAAACTCCGGCCCTCCAGATATTTTGAGACTACAATTCCCATCATCCCTGACCACTGGTCCTGTTAGCTAGGGATGATGGGAGTTGTAGTCCCAAAAACATCTGGAGGGCCGAGTTTGCCTATGCCTGCCTAAGGGAGTCTGCTTCCCTGTCAAGCGGCTCTCGCTTTTCAGAAACTTCTTCCTGATGCTTAGTCGGAACCTCCTCCCGTGTCACTTCAAGCTACTGGTTCGAGTCCTACCCTCCGGAGCAGGAGAAAACAAGCTTGCTCCATCTTCAGATATTTGAAGGTGGCTCTCCTGTCTCCTCTTTTCTTTAGCTGGAATTTAGGCGGATTTAGGGGAGCATGACTGGGTACGGAGCCTCAGGCGTGCTGCAGGAGACGCCACAACTATGGTTTAGAACAGCGCATGAGCAGCGGTGAGCACCTAATTTTGGCTGTTGACCTTTGAGACCCCAAGGTCCCCTACGGCTGTGGATGTGAGCAAAGTCTAGCTGCCTGGCTTTGCGGCCTTCCTCTGCTGTCCCGGATGAGTCCCACCACAAGAGGCTGGAGGCCCCCCCCGGGCTCTCTTGGTTGGTATCCCCCACCTTCTGGCCCCAAGCCCTGGTGGGGGGCTGAGGGCACCAGGCCCCTCCTGCTTTTATATCGAATCATGAGTTCGCCTCTGGCCTCCTCTTTCGACACAGTCCTCCTCAAGGACACAAACGCCGTGGGAAAGGAGTAAAGTATTCTAAAGCAGCATGAGACAAGAAATTTAAAACGTAAGACCAGTACAGGGAAAACCCAGGGAAAATAGTGTGTTTGTTTTTTGAAATCATTTTTATTTGATTTTACAGATATAAATTTATAAATACATATCAGTGTATAGAGAATTCTCTGACTCTCGAGACTCCATGGGTCCTATTGTCAACATTTTCAGCTGCATATTGTTGCATACTGTATCTTTTATATCCATCCATATTATCCATAATGTTTGTTACATTACAAGTGAAATTAAAATCCTGCTAATGTTTTCATCTGCTTACAGTGGTCTCCTAAGTAAATTATAAACTTCTCCCATTCTTTTTTAAAGTTTTTGTCCTCTTGGTTCCTGAAATGGGGAAACTAGTTTTGCTACGTTTTATTTATTTCTTTCATAAAGTTTACATAAAACAATAAAGTTGTGGGTTGTTGTTTTTTTAAAAAAACAAAACTTTGAAATCTACTAAAAATCAGATTAAAATTCACACTAGCATTTCCAAACACCCGGGCTTATCTAAACAATGTTTTTTAGCAGGTGCTGAAAATGGTACAGCATATCAGTCAGCAGGGAGTTCCAAAGTTCAGGTACCTCCACACCAAGTGAAGGGGTTGTTACAATTGTGAAACTGGTAGGTGGCACCTGTAGCCAATTCTGCCAATCAAAACAGTCTAGTGGCCATCTATTGGTTAAGGCGATCTAGCAGGGTAGACTGGTCCCAAGCTGTTAAGAGCTTTATATACTTGAACCTGGCCCCTACTGACCTGGCAGCTCCTGGGCGCTGGCGGGGTGAGCCCAGAGGGAGGGTCCCTGCCCCAAGGTGCTTCCCATCTGCAGAACCCCATGGAGGGCGTTGGGAGGGCAACTTGCACTCCTTCAGTTCAGCTGGGTTGGTGGCAGCTGGCGGGAGGGCTCAGCCTCAGAGCAAGGGTTCATCTCCTCCCTGGGAGGTTTTGACGCAGAGGTGGGGTGGCCATCTGTCATGGATGCTTTAGTTTAAATTCCCGCATTGCAGGGGGTGGATTAGATGACTCTTGGAGGACCCTTCCAGCTACCATTCTAGGATTCTCTCATGTCAGAAGGTGATGACCTCTCCTTCCTTGGTGGTTTGTAAAATGAGGCTGCATTTTAAATTGCATTTTAACCTGTATTTTAAATTGCCCCCCCATTATGTTTTTACTGTGATTTTATTGGTGTTAGCTGCCCTGAGCCTGGCTCTGGCCAGGGAGGGCGGGGTATAAATAAATTTTTTAATTATTATTATTTTTTTAAAAAATAATTTTTATTAAAGTTTTGAACAGCAAAGAAAGAAAAGAAAAACATACACAGTACATATAACAAAAACACACACACAAAAAGCAAGATTCAACAATAAAAGAACAAAAAACATAACAATTAAAAACAGTATCTCTTTTCCATTTCTGTTTTTTAGTTACTTATTTTCTGGACTTCCTCATACCTCCCTCTTTTGTATTCCAATCCAAATTATTTGTCCAGCAATTTCTTTTCCACTTTTTTAATCCCAATCTTTAGCTTTAATAAGATATTGAAATATATAACTTCAATTTCTTTAAACCTGATCTTTGGTCTTAGTATCATATAACGTTAAAATTTTCCCTCTTAATGTCAAATTTCCATTTCTTTAAACATCTTTAATCCTAATCTTTAATCTTAGTCTATCATTAACTTTAACCTGTACAGCACGAAACCGCTTATTTTCAGTCCAACATCACTCTAACATTCTTTAATTTTGCAATGTTTCTGAAGATAGTCTTTAAATTTCTTCCACTCTTCCTCCATCGACTCTTCTCCCTGGTCACGGATTCTACCAGTCATTTCCGCCAATTCCATATAGTCCATAAATTTCATCTGCCATTGCTCCAGCGTGGAAGTTCTGGGGTCTTCCAAGACTTGGCGATAAGTATTCTTGCTGCTGTTGCTGCATACATAAAGAAAGTTCTATCCTTTTTTAACACCATTTGGCCTACTATGCCCAGGAGAAAGGCCTCTGGTTTCTTAAATTTTTTAATTATTATTAAGCAGAAGTTGGACGGCCACCTGTCAGGGACTTTTGAGCTGAGATTCCTTCACAGCAGGGAGTTCATAGAATCATATAATAGTGGAGTTTGACTAAATTACCCTCTACTGCCCTTTCCATCACAATTCTAAGATTCTGTGCCATTTTAAAGTGTGGTGTCTTGGGGGGGGGGTTATTCTGTTGCTTTAATTTTGATTATGTCTTTTGTGGTTTTATATTTTGATTTTATTTTGTGAACCGCTCTTAAACGCCCAGGGAATAGGGCGGTATATAAAATAATAATAATAATAATAAATAATAATAATAATAATAATGTCTTAGCCCAGAAGTGTGCTGACTCCGCCGCCGAAGGCGCTTTTGTTTCGAGGGTGGACAGTCCGGGGGTGGGCAGGATGCGCTTTCATGCAGCCGCCTCTGACCTCCCAGCGCGCGGGTGGGCCGCCCCCGCACACCGAGGCCGTCGGGGCCCCTCTGCCTCCCAGGCGTCGGCCCGGCGGGGCTCCTGCCTGGGCCTGCCCCCCCCCCCCGTGTTCCGGCTCCGCGGGAGGCGCTGCCGCATTCCTGCGCGTCTGAGCCGCTGCCGCCTGCCGTGGCCCGGTGCCAGCCAGGCAGGGAGGGCAGGAGGCGGCCTCCGCCAGCCGGGGGGGTGGGTGGGTGAGGGAGCAGGTGCCACCTGGAGCTTGCCGGAGAGGGGAAGGCTCCGGCTCCCGGCCCCACCACCCCCAGCGACCCTCCGATGGCCGCTTTGGCTTCCTTGCGCTCGCTGCCCGCGCGCCCCGTCGCGTCCTGCGCCTCCATTCGTGCGCTCTTGGCAGCGGCAGTAGCCGGGCGTTCCCGGGCTGCCTGGGGAGGCAGGCGGGGCCGGAGCCGAAGGAAAACAGACCGAGCCGCAGCCCTGTCCAGCCCGTCGCAGGGCACTTGGCGGGAGTCCCCGTCGAGGCAGAGGCAGCTCGGGGTCACGCAGGGCGGGAGGGAAAAGACGAGGCAGGCGGGCGCCCCTGAGCATACGCAGAGTGCCTTGACCCAACTCCCCGCGAGGCGGGGCTTCTGGACGGGGCGGGGAGCCTGGACGTGGGCTCAGTTTGTTCCAGGAGCTGCGTGGAAGATGCGCCGCGCCGGGTCTTGAGCGAGTCGCCCGAGCTGAGTCTTCCCTCTCCTCCGGTTGTGCCGTCGGGCAAGGAAGGGGCAGGGCGGGCCCGACAAATCTTGGAGGTCTGGAGGGAAGGGAGGCTTCCTTCTTGCCGCCGCCCGCTACTTCCCTCCCTTTCCCCTCTGGGTGGATGTCCCCAAAAAGCGCATCCCTCTCTCCATGCTGCTGGAGAAGGCAGGAGGGCTGGTGACTTCTGTGGAATTGGGGCCCCTATGCCTAAGGAGGTGCTGGAGGAGACTCTTGAGAGTCCCACGGACTGCAAGAAGATCAAACCTCTCCATTCTTCAGGAAATCAGTCCTGAGTGCTCACTGGAAGGACAGATCGTGAAGCTGAGGCTCCAATACTTTGGCCACCTCACGTGATGAGAAGACTCCCTAGAAAAGACCCTGATGTTGGGAAAGATGGAGGGCACAAGGAGAAGGCAACGACACAGGACAAGATGGTTGGAAGCTCCCAGAATGAGTCTGACCAAGCTGCAGGAGGCAGTGGAAGACAGGAGTGCCTGGCGTGCTCTGGTCCAGGGGGTCACGAAGAGTCGGACACGACTAAACAACAACAATCCCTAAGGAGGCACAGGGGAACTGGCAGGTAGACACCCCCCCTTGACTGCCAGGACTCATAAATCCCACCCTGAAGCCCCCCTTTTCATCCATGTTCTCGGAGATTCTGCTCCTGGGACCTTCAGAGCAGCCCTCCATCCTTGTGAAAAGAGGAGGCGGCAGCAACGGAAAGCGGGGTGCCCTGCCCCCCATCAGCATCCCAGATGGGTTTTAGCCCTGTGTCCCCAGTGAGGAAGGTCTCCTGGACAAGTGTCAGTAGAAGCATCTGGACTAAGCCAGGGATGGAGCCACCTGTGGACCTCCGGGTGTTTGGACTCCCAGGGTGTCAGGTGGTGATGAAGATGATGGACGCTGGTGTCTAACAACCTCCGGGCCTTAGGCAGCCCCCTCCCCTTCAAAGCAGGGAGAGCCAACATGACTCCCACTCCCAGGTGTGGGGCATAATCTCTGGCCCTTAGCAGAGCTGATGGGAGCTGCCGTCCAAGCACACCTGGAGAGCCAGCACAGGTGAAGGACATGGGGAGAACCTGCAAGAGGGATGAGGCCAGTGGCCAGTGGGGTGCCTCAATAGGAGACCCACAAGCAGGAACCGGCACAGATTTAGGGGGTGCAAGAAGGAGGGGGAGCACCCTAACCCCACAGAGCATTCACCTGAGCGCCATGTTGAAGGCAACACCATTATTTCTAACTCAGATTATTTGCCATTGATTAATTGATAAATGGCATGAATGTGAATGTGTGGAATTGGGGTGTTTATTGGAGCCTCAATTGAATGGAAATAACTTACCTTCATGAAGCAGTAGTCTTCCACTAGGGCTACTGGGGTACATTCCTCTCAATCAGAATGTCAAACGTGTTTTTTTTTTTAAAAAAAGACAGACCCCCCCTCCCCAAATTGCCACACTCTTGACTGCCCCACATACAATTTATACTCCCATGAATTTACAGAGGGGGTATTTCTGTCAATATCCTCTGCACCACCCGGCCCAAAAGCATAACTGCAGCTACAGATGTGAAGGCCTGTTGAGGGGCGGGGAACCACATAAAAATTGGGCTGTAAAATGTGTTCCCCAATTTTTCAATTCCCCCCAATTTTCCAGAAAATATTGATCCCCCCCAGGAGGAGATAGTGGCACTCTGCACATGTGTAATGATACACTTTCCTAAATAAGTGCTATACAAGTCCTACTGCGATGAAAACGGCGAGGTTAAAAATTGCTGCCCTCCCAAATCGCACATTGCCTGTCACCCATGAGAGTAGCATTTCTTATTTAATTTGAAACCTGTGGTGCTAATTGAAATGGATATTGATGGCAAGAGACGGCAAGTGTGAGTGGATAAACTGTTACAGGGAAATTGGACGAGAGAGGCTGAAAGACTCCCCCCCCCCCAACCTTGCCTCACCAGTAAACAATTTGTGTGGCTGGTTACCAGTGGGGTGGGCTCTGGCTGTGTCTGCTGAAAGTCCCAGGCAGGATCTGGAGCGAAAGCCCCCCCCCCTTGCCCTGCCCAGGTGAGCAGCTGGCAGGAGGTCTGCAGACCCGAAGGATGCACCCATCACATCTCCCGGTGCCCGCATGGGGCAGACACACTCCGGTTGTGCCAAGGTCTTTGTGCAGACATTTTTTTAAGACCTGGGAGGGAAGGAAGAAGCGAAGTTTGGGGCCCAGAGCAAGACAAGGGAGGCAGGCTCCCTTGTGACTCTTTGATCTGCCAGCCTCGAGGGGAGGGGCAGAGCGACTTTGTTCTCTGCTGGTGGTGGTGGGGGGGGGAGCCCTGTGACCAATGCCCTCTGCCAGCCTTTCCTGGAGCAGCTGCTGCCCCCTGCTGGCCAGTTCTGGGGAGCTACAAACCCACATTGTTTAGTCGTTTAGTGGTGTCCGCCTCTTTGTGACCCCCTGGACCAGAGCACGTCAGGCCCTCCTGTCTTCCACTGCCTCCCGCAGTTTGGTCAAACTCATGCTGGTCGCTTCGAGAACACTGTCCAACCATCTCGTCCTCCGTCGTCCCCTTCTCCTTGGGCCCTCCATCTTTCCCAACATCAGGGTCTTTTCCAGGGAGTCTTCTCTTCTCATGAGGTGGCCAAAGTATTGGAGCCTCAGCTTCAGGATCTGTCCTTCCAGTGAGCACTCAGGGCTGATTTCCTTCAGAATGGAGAGGTTTGATCTTCTTGCAGTCCATGGGACTCTCAAGAGTCTCCTCCAGCACCATAATTCAAAAGCATCAATTCTTTGGCGATCAGCCTTCTTTATGGTCCAGCTCTCACTTCCATACATCACTACTGGGAAAACCATGGCTTTTACTATACGGACCTTTGTTGGCAAGGTGATGTCTCTGCTTTTTAAGATGCTGTCTAGGTTTGTCATTGCTTTTCTCCCACATAATGGGTTTTAAAAACCTCCACTGAGAGTCCAATCGGCATATTTCCTTTCCTGATGCCCAGCGGGAGCAGGGTGGGGCCTGGGGCCTGATCCAGAGTGGTGCAGCTGCTCCAGCTTCTCTCTCTCTCTCTCTCTCTCTTTTAATATTTTTATTAGGAATTTAAATACAACATATTAGCTTACAACATATCATCCTTAGTCCCCCCCCATTCACCCCCCCATAAAACATCCCCCCCCCGACTTCCCTCAGTTCCAATCTCTGGTTTCTCTATAGATGCTATTCTCTGCATGTTACAAAATTGTATAAATCCTTAATTTATCTGACTAGTTATTATCAATAAAGAGTTTGTGAGTGTTCATTCAAAGCCTGCCAAGGAGTCCTGTTCACTTTGTTGCTTCTTTAAATACTTTGTAAAAGGTTCCCATGCATCTTTAAAGTCACAGTTATCCTTGTCCCGTAATTTGTGTGTCAATTTTGCCAGTTCTGCATAGTCCATCAGTTTCTCTTGCCATAGTTCTTTAGTCGGGGTTTCCTCGTTCTTCCATCTTTGTGCTATTAAGACTCTCGCTGCTGTTGTCGCATACATGAAGATGTTTTTCAGTTTCCTTGGCAGGTCTTTTCCTACAATCCCTAACAAGACTGCTTCAGGATTCTTAGCAAATGTTAGATGGAACATTTTCTTCAATTCATTGTATATCATTTCCCAAATTTTTAAAATTTCATTACAGTCCCACCACATATGGTAAAATGTCCCCTCCTTTTCCTTACTCTCTCTCTCTCTCTCTCTCTCTCTCATATACCAGGCTGAGGAGCCCCTCAAAACATCCTCCTCCCCGCTCCCCAATTGACAAGAGGGGCCTTCTCCCTGGCCACTCGCCATGCATTCCCTCGACGAGCCGCTGGACCTCAAGCTCAGCATCTCCAAGCTCCAGGCGGCACACGCCAAGGGCGACCAGACCCTGGGTGGCCCCAGGCCCCGATCCTTCCGCCAGGACTTCCGGATCCGGGAGGACAGCAGCCCCGACTCGCCTCATTCCCCACTCGACGGTGAGTGGCTGAGGGGTGGGCTGGGTGGGTGGAGGGCAGATGCGAAGGGAGGTTCTGCTGGAGTGGTGGAACTGGGGCGGGGCAGGGGGGTGCAGGGCGGAGCTTCTTCATTGCATCTCTCCCCCTCCTTTGCAGGCCTCCAGTTGCACCCCAAATGCCACGACAAGAGGGACACCCGCTTCTCCAACACCCCCACCATCGACCTGAGCCTTTCTCCTCCTCCTCCTCCCAGCTTGGACTCCCCCGGCGGGGGCCGCGCCTCGCTCTCCCCTGACAGGCAGAGCGGCGGGGAGTTGGTGAGCTCCTCCGCCCTGCGGGTGAGTTGCTGGGGGCAGAGGAGGTTGCTGTGCCCCAGGGTCCTGCACAAGGGATGTGTCCACTATTTGGGGACTTCCCTGGCTTTTTTCTGGCCCATGTAGGACCACTCTGGATAGTTAGCCTTGGTGAAGACTTGACGTTTTCATCCCCAAAAAGTTTTTGATTTGAGTTTCCATTGAAATGAGGCTGTATTTTTCAATGTTTTAATGTTGTATTTTAATCTTGTTTTTAAGTTGTATTTCAATCAATTTGTTTTTATATCGGGTGTTAGCCACCCTGAGCCTGGTCTAGACTGGGGAGGGCGGGGTATAAATAATTTATTATTATTATTATTATTATTATTATTATTATTATTATTCTGTGGGTGGCAGCCGAGCGGCAAAAGTGCTCTGGCACCTTCCCTGGCAGCAGCCCAGTGAGGCAGCTGAAAGGGAGACAAGGCAACTCTCAAGGACCGCATCCTGCGAAACTCCAGCCCACTGAGAGGAAGCCAGACTCTGGCTGAGCTGGGAGGGCAGAGGGTTGGGCTAGATGACCCATGGGGTCCCGTCCAACTCTGCAGTTCTATGGGTCTCCTGCAGGGGAGGGTGGGCATCCTCTAAGTGGCAGATGGGGGGGATAGATGGGGAGGGGGAGCCTCCTGCCTTGCCCACCTTTGCCATTCCTCGCCAAAATAGGAACCTGCAACCTGTCACGTAAAGTAGTAGTTGTCATATTTAATTAATAGTTAATATTAGTTATATTTATACCCCACCCATCTGACTGGGTTTCCCCAGCCACTCTGGGCAGCTTCCGACCAATTAAAACATCAAACACAATAAAGCATCAAACATTAAAAACTTCCCTAAATAGGGCTGCCTTCAGAAGTCTTCTAAAATTCAGATAGTTGTTTATTTCCTTGACATCTGGTGGAAGGGCGTTCCACAGGGCGGGCGCCACTACCAATAAGGCTCTCTGCTTGGTTCCCTGCAACCTCACTTCTCGCAATGAGGGAACCGCCAGAAGGCCCTCGGCACTGGACCTCAGTGTCCAGGCTGAACGATGCGGGTGGAGACGCTCCTTCAGGTATACTGGACTGAGGCTGTTTAGGGCTTTCAAGGTCAGCACCAACACTTTGAATTGTGCTCGGAAATGTACTGGGAGCCAATGTAGGTCTTTAAAGGACCAGTGTTCTATGGTCTTGGCAGCCGCTCCCAGTCACCAGTCTGGTTGCTGCATTCTGGATTAGTTGTAGTTTCCTAGTCACCTTCAAAGGTAGCCCCACGTAGAGCGCATTGCAGTAGTCCAAGCGGGAGATAACTAGAGCATACACCACTCTGGCGAGACAGTCTGCGGGCAGGGAGGGTCTCATCCTGCGTACCAGATGGAGCTGGTAAACAGCTGCCCTGGACACAGAACTGACCTGCGCCTCCATGGACAGCTTTGAGTCCAAAAAGACTCCCAGGCTGCACACCTGGTCCTTCGGGGGGCACAGTTGCCCCATTCAGGACCAGGGAGTCCTCCACACTAGCCCGCCCCCTGTCCCCCAAGAACAGTACTTCTATCTTGTTAAGATTCCTCCTCAATCCATTGACTGCCATCGCAGCATTCCTAGGCTTTGTGGGCCAGACCATCAAGCCCTCTGCTTTGCCAGAAAAATGCAGGGGACCTTTCCGTTCCTTTCCAACCCCGCCCCCCTTGTCCCCCCAGGACCTCCAGTCCCTGCGCTACATCGATGGCCTCCGCAGCTCCTTCCAGTTCTTCCTGCCCCTCAACTCGGGGGGTGCCTTGCACCTGCCTGCCTCAGCCTTCCTGGGGGCCCCCAAAGAGAAGCGCCTCTCCCCAGAGATGCCCCTGCAGAAGCAGCTGGTGTGCCGGTGGTCAAAGGTGAGCAGTGCCTTTGGGCTGGGGGCCCCTCTCCCTCCAGGGCCCTGCTGGTCTCTGTTGAGGCTGAAGCCCCTCCCTCCTCTGCTTCTTCCTTCTCCAGTGCAACCAGCCCTTTGACCTGCTGCAAGACCTCGTGGACCACGTCAACGACTTCCACGTGAAGCCCGAGAAGGACGCCGGCTACTGCTGCCACTGGGAGGGCTGCGCTCGCCATGGAAGGGGCTTCAATGCCAGGTAAGCCAACTGCTCACTGCACAGGCATCTGGGGAGTGGGAGAGACCCCTGACCCTCCCTCAAGGGGCTTGCAGGCTTCCCAGGGACTATGTGCACCAGGCAGAGAGCAGCATCTCCCGTAGAGCTGTGCTGAGCAGACATCCAGGCAGCTTCTGGCATTGCTGGCCGCGGGTGCGAGTTGCAGGCTGACAGCGCCTTGGATGGGCACCACGTTGGCTACCCGTGGCTCAGAAGGGGGGGCAGCAAAATCCCTCGCGTTTGAGCTCCCCAAATCCGCTTGGCTTGTGCAGAGTACAAGGCTCCCCTTTGAGACTTTGGCAGAACTTGCAAGTCAGGCTGCCCATTTTGGTTGGCATGGGGCTGGGGGTGGAAAGCCCTTTATTAACCCCGTGGTTCTTGGAGGGTGGATCCCCAGGGCCAGGCTGCTGCCAGCGGTGCCCCTTCCCTGTAGGACAGCCTTTGGGAACTTTCCAAAGAATGGAGGAAGCGGCCTTGGTTTGGGGCCTCCTGCTTAGAGGACGCTGTCTCTCTCTTCCCCCCTGGCAGCCCCCTGGCTGTGGGGAGGGAGACGGAGCCTCAGGAGTGGCCAAGCAGGGTATGGGGAGCCTGGGGCCCCCTCCCCGTCTTGTTTGGCTCTGGACTTGCTCCAGCAGTCTGCAGTGCCAACAGTCGGGGTGACCATGGCAGCCGCAGATTCTTTGCCCCTGTTAAAAGCACTCTGGGAAGAAGTCTCTGCTCTCCTCCTCCCCCCCCCCCATCTTGACGGGCTCCTTCCTTCCCTCCCCAGGTACAAGATGCTGATCCACATCCGCACGCACACCAATGAAAAGCCCCACCGCTGCCCCACCTGCAACAAGAGCTTCTCTCGGCTGGAAAACCTGAAGATCCACAACCGCTCCCACACAGGTGAGTCTTGGGGCCAGGGAGGTGGGCGCACTTTTGCAAGCCCCTCGGCCAGAGTCCAGGTGTCCCTTCTGAGCAGAGCAGCTGCCTTGCAGGGGACAGACGGACGACAAAGCTTTCCAGGAAGACTGGGAAAGTTCACGGAGGAGGAGAGGGCTATGGAAGACTACTAGCTGCAGCAACGATGCTTCTGAATGTTGGTTGCTGGAAACCACAGGAGGGGAGAGTTGCTCTCATGCTCGAATCCTGATTGCCGGCTTCCCACAGGCATCTGGGTGGCCGCTGGGAGAAGAGCCCGACTCTCATGTTCCTATAGAATCCTAGAGGTGAGGCACGGGGAGGGACCCCCGTCTAGCCCAACCTCCTGCAATGCAGAATTACGTTCCTAAAGCTCTGACTTCCAAGTCTCCCTGCCCGCTTTCCTTGGGGGAATCTGAGATGCTGGTGGCTGTCAACTAGAGTCTGCGTTCTATAGTTTGGAGTGTGCCGCAGTTTGGAGCAGAGCTTTCCAGACTTTTAATGTTGGTGACACGCTTTGTAGATGTGCATCATTTCGCGACGTAGCAATTCAGTTTTACAGTCAAACCTTGGTTCTCAAATGGCTCCGTTTTTGAACATTTCGGCTCCTGAAACACCAAAAACCCGGAAGTAAATGCTCCGGTTTTCAGATGTTTTTTGGAACCCAGTTGACTACAATAAGCTCTTACAACCAATCAGAGGTTGCGTCTCAGAAGTCGAACGGGCTTCTGGAACAGATTACGTTTGACATCTGAGGTTTGACTGTACAGTACTAGCAAATCAGAGGTTAAACTAACCCCTTTCCAGCCCCGGGAGGAGTGTGGGTAGTGTTAGTGTGTCACACCTACACACTGCAGCCAACACACTAACGTGTCACGACACACAGTTTGGAAAGCTCCAGTGTAGAGTGCCTTCTGGGCCAGCTCTTTGCGATCTATTGAAGAATGAAGGGGGCACAAAATGGTGGCGTCGCCAGGCTCCATCCTGGCACCTTCACTTGTTCTCAAGAGGTGCAAATTTCTATTGCTGGTTTCAAGGAAGCCTTTCCCTTAATATCTCACGTGTCCCTTCCTCCCCCCCGCAGGCGAGAAGCCCTACATCTGCCCCTACGAAGGCTGCAGCAAGCGCTACTCCAACTCGAGTGACCGCTTCAAGCACACCCGCACGCACTACGTGGACAAGCCCTACTACTGCAAGATGCCTGGCTGCCACAAGCGCTACACAGACCCCAGCTCCCTGCGCAAGCACATCAAGGCGCACGGCCACTTCATCTCGCACGAGCAGCAGGAGCTGCTGCAGCTGCAGCCGGCCCCCAAGCCCTCCCTGGCGGCCCCCGCGGACGTGCCTTACCTCAACGGGGCGCAGATCATCATCCCCAACCCCGCCGCCCTCTTCGGCAGCCACGGCCTGCCCCTCCCACTGGCCCCCGCCCCACTGGACCTCAGCGCCCTGGCCTGCGGGGGGCTGGCCGGCCTCCACAGCCCCGTCCTGGCGCCCCTCAACCTGGCCAAGAACCCGCTCCTCGCCTCGCCCTTCGCTGCCAGCAGCCTGGGGCTGCCCGTCGTCTCCTTGCTGGCGGGGGCCGCCTCCGCCAAGGCCCTGCCTGAGAGGAGCGCGGCCCGGCCCAGCAAAGGCGGCGGGGGCGGGCAGGGGCCGCCGCAGAGCTGCAAGGAAGCCAGCGGGAGGACTGAGCGGGGCCGGGGGGGCGCAGAGGGCCTCTCGCTGCTGCCTGCGGGGGGCGCCCTAGACCTCTCCACTGGCATGAACTCGGCGGGCAGCTCGGACGGCCTGCCCCCCGGTTGGGTGGTCATCCCCACAGGCTCCGTGTTGCTGAAGCAGGCCGTGGTGAACTGAAGGGGGGTGGCGACCCACACCATGGACGGGGGACGGGGTGGGGGGAATCTGGGACCGGCCGTGGCCAGCGGAGGAGAGCTTCTGGAAGAGCATCTGGCCTGCGCCGAAAGGGGCTCCCCTCTCTTCCCCTACCCACCCACCACACACACCCCATCTCTCCCCCCCCCCACTATGGCTGCTGGGGCTGGCCAATCCCCTCGGCTTCCTGGACCCCCACGACGGAAGAGCCTGGCTCTCCTGAACAAAGCAATAAGCAGCATTTCCCTGAGCAGCAGCCGTGACTCCCCTTTCTGCCCCCCAGCTACCTCCACACAGGCATCGTGGGGTTGGCCTAGAGGACCCTTTGGGGTCCCTGCAGCGGGTCCAGGGCCTTCGCCCTCTCTGCATACAGAAAAGGAGGGCGCTGGCTCTTTCTCTCTCCATCTCACGCCAGAGCGCCTCTTAGCGCCCCCCGACATGCCGGCTCCTCTGCTGCCACTCCTCCACACCCCCAGTCTACTGGCCTCCCATCTGTGCCTGTTGGCTCGGGGGTCTTCCGCTTCCAGCACTTGGCTGCTGTTCAGGGAAGGAGAGCCCCCCTCAGCTGAGATCAGAGGCGCTGCCCGTCCCCCGGGGTGGAGCTGCCTCCATCTCCCTTACTGAACAAAAGCAGCCAGGCCTTTTCCTGGCTCAGCCCCCCCCCCCCCCGACTGACAAGGCACACCCAACGGCTGTGCCGCTCACCATCCCTTCTCCTGCTTCCCCCCCCCCCAACTGACGTGGAGGAACTGAAATATTCACTTCCCCCTATTAGCCGTTCCGGATGTTTCAAAGCTGACCTGCAAATCTCCCGGCCTGAGATGGCCTTGCGTGGGGACAGCAGCTGACAAGCCTTCCTTGGTTCTTTTCCCACCCAGGAGCCCCCCCCTCCCCCAAGCAGGCAAGGACATCTCCCCCATCAGTTTCCTCTGGCCAAGATCCGTGTCGAGAGATGGGGCCCAGAAGGAGCAGGGAGGTTGGCTGGTCTCTGCTTCTTCCAGGAAAAGCCCTCTGGAGGCACAGCTTCCCCCCAAGGCAAGGGGTCCAGGGAGCCCCTCTTCCCCCCTTGGAGACAGGAGGGGTTGGGAAGGCCCCAGGATCTGAGGAACAGGACCGCCCCCCCCCCACATCCGGGCACCAATGCAGGGGAGAGGAGCAGAGGCCAGGAGAGATGGATACTGCCTCTCACCTCCAGCAAAGGCTGCCCATTCCTTTAATGCCCCCGTCTCCACCTGCAGAATGGCTCTGTCATCAAACTGTCCCACCCAACAGGGCTGTTGCAAGGATTGCTCAGACAATATACCTGCATTGGGGGGGGGGCAGGAGGCTAAGCAGTCCCCAATTGGGTCTGGCAGTGGGATGGGGCCAATATTAGCAGCACAAACCTGTCCTATTGGCACAAGAGCCAATAGGAGCAAGACCTGAGGGGTCGCCAGTCACACCCATTGGCTGAGGCAGGGGCAGGGGCCTGACTCACAGGGACAGAAGGGGGTCTTCTGTAGAGGCTGGAGGGACCCACTGCAAATGGGGCGCTGCTCCAGCCCCGACTGGGGCAGCTGTGAAAGCCACACTTAGTCTTGTCTGTGCATCTTGGTTTCTGAAGGGGGGGACCCGTGCCGCCCATCCCAGCAGCAGCAGGAAGGCCCCCTGCTTCTCCCCCTAAGCGCCCGCTTCTTTGCTGAAGGAGCCTGCTTCACCTCGACTGCCCTCCCCAATTTGGAGGGGTCCCTCTGCTTTTCGCTCCGGTCTCCCCGTACAAGGGGGTCCCCACATACCTCTCTCCACGCCGCTCTTTCAGCGGGACCCCTGCTCTGGGCTTCCACACAGGCAGGCTCCCTGGGCCTGCTGCTGCCCCTTCTTCTGACACCCCCCCCCCTGCAGGTGCTGGCAGGGGGGAGGCCCCGCACCAGGCCCCCCAGTGCTGCCCGGGGCGCCTGGGACCACGCACTGCCGCTCAGCCGAGGGGAGCTGGCCTCCCAGCCACGCAGTGGAAGAAGGCTGAGCCCAGGGCCGGACGTGCACAGAGCCCCATGCGCCCCGGGGCCTGATCCTGACCCAGCACGCCTTGCTGACTGACCAGGCCTGCGAGCCGGTGAACGTGTCCGTTTCCTTCCCCGTCGTCTGTTGTCGCTCACTCCAGGCCGCCAGTATTTTAAGCCGTTTCTAAGTGCCTTTCGATTGTAGTTTCTGTTGGATTTCGCCCGCCCCTCTTGCCTCCATCACTGTTAGCGTAGTTGACGACAGGAAGAGATAAGCTACGACCCAGGCCTCTGCGACAAGAGGATGGCTACTATGACGGAAATAATAAAAGTGGATCTTGACACTTTGCCCGGCGCTGCCTGCTGTCTGTCTCCTGGGGAGGGTGGGGCAGGAGGACGAAATATACGTCTGTACACACACCAGGGTTTCCCAAACGTGGGTCTCCGGCAGTTGTGGGACTACAATTCCCATCATCTGTGGCTAGCAGCACAAGTGGTCAGGGATGATGGGAACTGTGGTCCAAAAACAGCCGGCGTTTAATGTTGGAGCGTATTTGTGAGACTGTGTGCAGACCAGGGTTTCCCAAACGTGGGTCTCCGGCTGTTTTTGGACCACAGTTCCCATCATCCCTGACCACTTGTGCTGCTAGCTACAGATGATGGGAATTGTAGTCCTTCAACTGTCAGAGACCCACGTTTGGGAAACCCTGGTCTGCACAGTCTCACAAATACGCTCCAACATTAAACGCCCATGCAAATGCACACCAACACACACCCACACACACACCCACACACACACACACAGCTGGGCTCTGCATGCTCAGCCAAACCGAAACTCTGGCACTTGAAGGCACAGCAGATCCTGCCTCCTGGAGCAGCACATGGCTTCCTGCGTCCTGCCTCTGCCGACCTCAGGGAAGGCCAGAAGCGCATGGGAAGATGCTTCCTGACCCAGAAGCCAGGCCCTGGCCACATCTAGCTGGGAACTCTCTGCATCAGGGATAAGGAACCTGTGCTCCCCCCAAAAAGCTCCCGGACTCCCAGCAGCCCCAGCGGCCAGGTGTGATTGGGCCTGGAGCTCCCTGTCCACAGTCAACCCTACCTGCCAGCGGCTGCCCAAGGTTTCAGGAGGAGGCCCTTTCCCAGTTCTGCCAGGGCAGGCCAGGGGCCTGGGGCCTTCTGCCTGTGAGGAGTTGTGGGAGTGAAGTGGGGTGTTGGGATGAGCTGCCTAGCTCCCAGCATGCTCCTGACGCAGCAGCAAGTGCAGAACCTAGCACAGGGGCCGGCAAACTTACCGCGCCTCGGGCCGGTGTCTCCAGCGCCGATTGTGCAGTGGGCCAGAGGGCAAGGGAGCACATACGCGTGCGCACATGCTATTTCCGGCGCACTTCCAAGTCGGAGGAGCACCAGAAATAGCTTGTGTGCATGTGCGTGGGCCTCCTCCGACCCAGATGTGCCCTGGAAATAACGCTTGCGCATGTGCACCATCGATTTCCGGTGCTCCTCCGACCCGGAAGTGGGCATCCGCGCAGTGCAGCGCCAGTAAGAGCGGGTGGCGGGGGTTGCCGCGGGCTGGATAAACGTGCCCATCGGGCCTTAGTTTGGGAGCCCCTGACTTAGCGGCTGAGTGACGACTGCTGTCAGTCCACAAGCTGGGCTACTCCTCACAGAGCACAAGCTGTCTGGGCAAATGCCTCTCTGAAAACTTTGGGAAGCAGAGTGCAGGTTTGTTGCTTGGCCAGAGAAGACACTCCTGGGAGGAGGGACACTCCAGCCCCTGCCGTGGGTCCGATCCTGGTGCTGCATTCTGCACTCCTCCCCAGTCACCCCCTGGCAACAGACTGCGAGGCCGAGAGCAGCAAGCTACACAAGGGCAATTTATTGGCTAGCTATACTTTAGACGGGGAGGCCGGTGGGCTCTGCTACGTGTCTGGCTTGCGCTCTGCGTCTTGTTCTCGCCGTTGCTGCGACTGGATCCGCAGCTCTTCGTCCAGGCGCTCCTTGGCTCTCACCACCTGCAGGGCACAGACCTGGCACTCAGTAGCTGCTGCTGCTGCTCCAAAAAGACGGCAGGAGGCCAACACACACAGAGGGCGAGGGCAGCGGCTGTGCCAAGGGCATCCGCCAGAGGGCTTTGAAAACGGGAGCAAGCAAGGAAAAGGGGGGCAGGGGTGGAGGAGGAAATCTCGGCTTTGGGGCCTCTTTGATCTCTGGGAACCCCAAGGAAATGAGGGGGCTTGGCCAGAGGGAAGTGGGCACAGGGCAGGGGTCACTCAGGCTGACACTTGGGACACATTGCATTTTATGTATTTTGGGTAAGTTTGGATCTCTGAAAATGATTCTCAGCTTGCCAATGAGCTAAAAGAAAGGGAGGAAAGCCTCTTAATTGCATCCCTTCCACCTAAGGGACTGCCAGCCCTGAAAGCACAATTTTATTGTATTATTATAGATGATAATAATCCCTGACAGGGACTCATGGCAGCTTACAGATAAAACAAGAACAGCTAAAAACATAGGGGGAAATCACAATCATTAAAAATAATAATCATTAATAGAAATATATGTATATATACAAACTTCTAAGTGTGAGGGGAAGGAGCAGTTTCCTGTGGCTTCCTAGGGGGAGGGGCCACGAACACAGTTCCACCTCCCCAACTCACCTTGGACTGCAGGTAGAAAGAACCCCCCACGGATTTGTCGTTCACCTTGAATAAATGCTCGTAGTTCTGCCAAGGAAAAGCAAACAATACACGCATGACCAAACTGCCCAGCGGCACGATTAATTGCCCCGTCCCTGCCACGCTCTGGGAAAACCAGTGGACCAAGGGAAGTAGGAGAGCAGCCCGGCTGGATTGGAAGAAAAGGGCCAGCGTTCTGCTCCCCTCAGTGGCTGGCCAGAGGCCTCCAGGGAGCCCACAAACAAGACCCCCTGCCCACGCCATGCACCCCCTGGTCTCTGCAGGTGGAGGTACCATTTAACTGTCACGGCTAATAAGCACAGGGGGCCATTTCCTCCTCTGTGAGTTTTAATTAATACCTTTTGAAGCTACCTAAGCCATGGGGGTGACTTGTGGCAGGGAGTTCCACTGATCCATAGCCCTTCTTGATGTTGCTGGACTCGGGCTCCCATCAGTTGCAGCCATCCTGGCCAGGGATGGAGTAGGGCTTAAGAGCGTCAGGCAGGGAGCTGGGAGACCATGGTTCAAATCCCCGTTCGGGCCACGGAACCTCCCTGGGTGAAGCTACTGCCTCTCAGCCCAACCCACCTCACAGGGTTGATGTAAGGATTAAATGGGGGGGAGAGAACCATGCAGGCCACCTCTAGCTCCTTGGAATAAAAATGCTGGGATATAAATTCAAGGAATAAACAAGCAACATCTGCAGGAAGGCTGCATGGCTCAGTTGTGAAGAGACTCAGCTTTGGGATCAGCCACTAAGTTCTAGCCCTATGAGAAATACTGCTTCCTGGTGTGCCTCGTGAGGTTTCCACAGGGACCGGGGGACCCAAAGGAACATGAATGCCCACATGGGGGAAGGCTGCAAGGTCCCTGGTTCAATCTCACTGGCATCTCCAGGTCGGGCTGGGAGAGACTCCGGCCTGAAATTCTGGAGAGCCGCTGTTGCCTGTCAGTGGGACAGATTCATAGAATTGTAGAGTTGGGAGCCGACCCCCTTGCGATGCAGGAATCTTTCTGCTCAATGTGGTGCTCAAACCCACAACCCTGAGATTAAAATCTGTCTCATGCTCTACCAACTCTGAGCTCGGTGGACCAATGATCTGACTTGGTATAAATTATTATTATTATTATTATTATTATTATTATTATTATTTCTTCATACCCTGCCGATCTGGCTGGGTTTCCCCAGCCACTCAAGGCGGCTCCAAACAGAATATTAATAATAATAATAAAGCAATCAAACATCAAAAACTTCCCTAAACAGGGCTGCCTTTAGATGTCTTCTAAAAGTCAGATAGTTGTTTATTTCCTTGACATCTGACGAGAGGGCATTCCACAGGGCGGGTGCCACCACCGAGAAGGCCCTCTGCCTGGTTCCCTGTAGCTTGGCTTCTCGCAGGGAGGGAACGGCCAGAAGGCCCTTGGAGTTGAACCTCAGTGTCCAGGCAGAACGATGGGGGTGGAGACGCTCCTTCAGGTCTACTGGGCTGAGGCCATTTAGGGCTTTCAAGGTCAGCACCAACACTTTGAATTGTGCTCGGAAACGTACTGGGAGCCAATGTAGGTCTTTCAGGACTGGTATTATATGGTCCTGGCGGCCATTCCCAGTCACCAGTCTTGCTGGCACATTGTGGATTAATTGTAGTTCCCGGGTCACCTTCAAAGGCAGCCCTACATAGAGCGCATGGCAGTAGAACAGTTTCCTGTATCTCTATACAAAAGCTCTGAAAGCAGAATTGTGGGTCTCAGTCACCAAGGAATGAGCCTTGTACTCTCCCCAGCAAGCCTGAAAAGTTGGTATTTACCTTCTGAATGTCCTCTGGGTTGAGCTTGCAGACGTTGAGGATCTGCTGGGCCTCCTGCAGGCTGAGGCCAGAGACGCTGGAGGCTGCTTCCGACTGAGGCCCCGAGCGCCCTCGCGCGTCTGCCGCTGCTTGGCTGGCTGCTTGGAAAGAGGGCCTCGGTTACCCCTCTTGGTTCCCCCACTCTGGACAGTGGGGCTGGCAGTGCTCATGACGCAAACGGGCTCAGGGTGGCCTTGCCAGCTGGGCTGTCCTCGGGAGCCGCCCAGCCCAGGGTCACAAGGCTGGCGTTGGCCGGCCCAGAACTTGGAGACGTCAGTGACAGCTACCTGGGACCCCCACAGAGAAAACCACAGGCCACATTGCGCCAGGTCAATGAAGCATGGGGATGCCCTGGGAGCAAGAGAGGCAGCCCACAGCGTCTCTCTCCCCCCCCCCCCAACAAGCAAGCATGGCAGAGGAGAAGGGGCAACCACATGGCACTTGTTGCAGGATTGGGGGGTTTGCCCCTCCATCAGATCTCATGCACATGCAGCCCACTACCAAAATCAGCACAATCACTTTTGTGACTTTTGTGATTTGTCCCCACAAAACACTTCATCACAATTTCTTCCTATCTATTCAAAGGGCCTTTGCTGCACAATACCAAACGTAACAATTCACTGATAAATGTATCTATGTACTGGCTCACTGGGAAAACTTCAGAAATTCATACAGACATGTAAGCTCAGCAGCCCCTCTGCCTGAGTGATAATTCCTGGCATCCTGATACCTGAGTGCCAGACAGGTAGCCATTCCAGAAATAACAAACCCAGATGGAGACAAAAGGGTGTGATGAACTTGGCTGGGAAACAGGGCAGTGTAAATATCTCTTTTGTTCCACTTGATGGGTGTTTCGTGGAGGGCAAGGAGAACCATGGGGCAGGGTCCAGGATGCTCAGATTCCTGCCACCAGACCTCCCCTTTCATGATGTAACCATGATGTATGAGTTTGGGGGGCTGTAACATGGGGATTAGCAGCTTTAAAAGTTTGGGGGCTCTTTTGTTCGGGGCTTCCATCTCGTTCCACCTTGTGGCAGGTGGGAGTCCTGTCACCGCGGTCTTCAATCAAGACCAAGCCTCCTGGCTGCTGTTTTGCTCTGGTCTTCCTGGCTGGTGCTCTTGTTTTTTTGTCCAACGGAGCCCTCAGATTTCTCCGTTAACACGCTCACCTGCAAACTCCTGCCGCAGCGCCCGGGCAAAGGCTCTGCCCACCACCTGCACCCCCACGAGGACGATCTGCGCCAGGTACTTGGCCTGCCAAGGGAAGAGTCACCAGGGTCAGGGCATTCGCCAGGCAGTTGCCACCCCTTCATGCTCTGTTGCTGTGTCGCTCACTTGACCAGGTTGCTCCTGCCCTTGGCAACCAGCCCCCTTCGGTGCGGCCACTGAGCCCCCCCCCCAAGCCTCTCTGCCGGGTCTCCCTTTGGGGGGCAGCGCAAGGCCCACCCCAACCCCGAATGGGGATGCCAGGAAGCCACGGGAAGGGGGCGCCTGAAGCTCTCTCTGGGGTGGGGGTGGGCTCCAGAGGCCCTAGGCAGAGAGGAGGCCCCGGATGCTGGAGACTCGGCTCAGCCCTTGCCAGGGAGGCGAGGAAGGAAGGGGGGCTGAGGGCGAAGGAGGCAGGTGGGCTCACGCTGCACGCCCATCACACCACCTCAGGACCGTGGAGCTGGAAGGGACCCCGGGGGTCATCTAGTCCAGCCCCCTGCCCCATTTCCGCCCCACGTGGGGCTCGAACCCGCCACCCCGGGGTCCAGAGACGCGAGAGGCGCGAAGTCTCTCTCTGGGCAACGGGAAGCAAATGGAATTAGCAGAAGCGAAAGGGAGGCGGCGCAGTGGGTGGGGAGGGCCGAGGGAGCCTCGGACGCCTGGGTCCCTTCCTGGGGCTCCGAGGGAGAGGGCGGGGCCAGGGAGGCGGGAGGGGTCTGGGGGTCGCACTGCTCGGACGCCTGGGTCCCTTTCCCGAGGGGGGCGGGCGAGGGGCTCCCGGACCTCACCATGCCTCTCCCTCCTCCCTCCTCGGGCGGCCCAAGGGCGAGATGATCCGGCGGCTCCGGGGGAAGGAGGGCACCATAGAGACGAGCCGGGCCGGATGGAGAGGCCTCTTCCGCCTTCGCGACCGGAAGCGGACCCCGTAGCGGCCTTGGGGCCTAGAGCGCCGCCCCGGGGTCGAGGGCGGCCCCTGGCGGCCGGGAGGCGCGCGCAATGCCGGGATCCCCGCCGAGTTGGAAGGAAGGGGCACCTAGTGGCCATCTAGTCCAGCCCCTCGACGCAGGAACCGCGGCTAAAGCATGTATGGCAGGCGGCCTCTTTCCGAAAGCCTCCCGCGAAGGAGAGTCCACCCCCACACCGAATCAGGAGCTGGAGTCATGGAAGTGCGGACTTGGGAGGGGCACCCAGAGGCCATCTAGTCCAGCCCCCGGCAATGCAGGCAGCGGGGACGGGGTGAAGCGGCGCCTGCACGCCCGGCTGTTAAAAGCACAGGAGCAAGAAATATTGCAAGAAATATTGCAAGAAATATTGCAAGAAATATTGCAAGAAAGACTATGAGGAGAATTATTAGTTAATGATAACTAAGAGTAATAGAGAAATTAAGAAATGTAGAATAAGTGATAAAGAACGGAAAATCATCAGAGGTTGTTGACGGAAGTCTAAAACATTGTATAAGATAAGAAGTTATGTTGAATGATTGTTGAAAATGATATGTAAAAAAACCAATAAAAATGTATAATAAAAAAAGAAGAAATAATAATAATGATAATATTAAGGTGGCAACTCCGCCGGTGGCACCGGACTAGCAGGCACAGCAAATGTGGCATTTTCTTCAGGGAACAACGTCCGAGTCTCCGAGGGGCCTGGCTGCGGCCAGAGCAGAGCAGGCAGCCCCGTCCAGCAGTCCAGCGCCCAGTTTCCCACTGCGGCCAGCCAGTCCTTCCTGGGACCTTTTTCTCTCCTCCGCGGGTGGTGCTGGCTGGGTTGCACTGGTGCCTTTTGGGCGGTCATCCCCTCCTTTTGAATGGCACTTTCCCACCCTCCCCAAGTTCTGGACACCTGGGGCCTTTGCAGGTATTTGCTTACCTTTAAGAAAACATAATTGTACGTGGAACAGTGCAACCAGTCTCAACCGTGTTTCACGGTTTTGGGATCTGTGCAAAAGAGCAGGTTGGAAATGTGTGTGTTGCAGCTGGACCCACCAGCAACGCCCCCACCCCCAAAGGAGCACATACCCACAAGGTCAAGCGAGGACACAGCTAAAGTAAAAGGCTTTGGGGTGGAATATAGGGGGAAGCTGCCCTGTCCACTTCTGAAAGGCTCTGCTTTGTACTAAAGCAAAAGCAGAAAAAGAGCTGTTTTGATGCAAACGCTGCGCCCTTTGGAACAGGGGTCAGCAAACTTTTTCAGCAGGGGGCCAGTCCAGTGTCCCTCAGACCTTGTGGGGGACCAGACTATATTTTGAAAAAAAATATGAACGAATTCCTATGCCCCACAAATAAGCCAGAGATGCATTTTAAATAAAAGGACACATTCTACTCATGTAAAAACACGCTGATTCCCGGACCATCTGCAGGCTGGATTGAGAAGGCGATTGGGCCAGATCCGGCCCCCGGGCCTTAGTTTGCCTACCCATGTTTTGGAAGGACAGCAGCAAAATGAAAGTATAGAAAGTACAGACAGGTGAGGACGGTCCCCAGGTGGAAAAAAACCCATGCTCACAATGTGCGAAGTCCTCTTACATGCACATTTATAGTGGATTTAAATCTCTTGTCTGATTATTCCTGGATTGGGATTAATCTGAATTTAATGGGGGCCAAGAGCAGCTGCCAGTTGTTGGAGGAGATGATCATGGGGCAACCCCAAAAGGTATTGAGGCACGAGGGGCTTCAAACCCACAGAAATCTCCTGCGTGGACGAGCCCAGGATTTGTCACCGGAAAAAACCAGGATTCCCAAGCCCAACTTCTTTCTTGACCTGACCCAGCTGCTTCTGGGCTTGGATCATAAGCAAAGCCCTGCTGGATCAGGCCCAAGGGCAGCAGCGCACAGGAACTAAGGAAGGCAGGCATTTGCTGTCATGGAGGAGGAAGTGAGAAGTTTTCCCCTGGGAGAGTGGCGCCCCTTTTCCCAGGCACAGAAGCCACAGCCCACCGGCCCAAAAGTCTGCAAGGCAGAACCAGGGTCTGTAAGGCATGTGGGGGCTGCAGGGGGCCTCCAGGGGCCTGTGTGACACCCGTTCTGGGGCGCAGAAAGATCTACCAGGCTGGGCCGGGTGCTCTCCATCCCTCTAGGGGGGGAGAAGAGTCGCTTTGGGGAGAAGGCTGGTGTTTTGAATAACAGACACAAGAGGCAAAAGAGCTGAAATTGACATTCTTTCAAGTTACACTGGCAGGGCAGACACAGAAGGCGAGCTTTGCTCCGAGGACAAGCCTGGGGAGACAATTCGGGGCGCAGTTGTGACAGAAAGACACGCACGCCCTCATAAAGGCAACCCTAGAGCTGCAGGGAGCAGAAGGAGCCCCCCAAACAGCCTTCCTCCGCTCCCAAACGAGTTTGGAGACCCCCAAAGCCACACGTCCCTCGTGGATGGGCCCTCCAGAGGGGCTGGGGGCCTGGCAGGCACACGGCAGGTCCAAAAGTCGACCTGGGCTCAGCAGCCAGAAGTGCCAGTCAGACTGTCAACGTGGAAGCCGAGGCAAACTTCTGCCTGGGGGGCAGGAAGCGGGGCAGCAGCCCAGACGAAGGAGGGTCCAGGGGGAGGAAGGAAGATTCGGCGGGCAGGATCTCCTTGGCATCTTCGATGAGGTGTGGGCGGGCGGCAGCCCAACCCAGGGTGGCAGTGTTGGCGCAGAGTGGGGGAAGAGGAGCCTGGAAGTCAGCCTGCTCCTCCCAGGGGGGGCCTGAGGTCTGGGCACCCTCCAGTCCACGGAGGAGAGGGTGGCTGCAGGGGGTCATCCGGGCAGTAAGGCCACTGCGTGCAGTCCCTGGTTGAAGCGTCCGCCGTTAGTCCTACGGAGTAGAAGAGGGAGAGAGAGGAGGGATGGATGGATGGGAGAAGCCAGACTGGCCACTGCTCTGGGGTGTCTCTTGCTCTGGGGGTGCTGGGAAGGGCACCTTTGCCCACAAGACCACCCTTGCCAACTTGGGAGGGGAAGGGACACGGGATATACCCCAGAGACCACCAGCCCCCCGGCCTAGCCCTGGGATGGGGAGGGGGACATAGCTGTCAACGTTTCCCTTTTTTAAAGGAAATTCCCTTATACCGAATAGGATTCCTCACAAGAAAAGGGATAGGTTGACAGCTATGGAGGGGGAACGTGGGCAAAGCAGAGGAAGATCAGATCAGATCAGAGTGCCCCCCTCCCCCACAGCACTCCTAGCGGGTGCCTTTTGGGCCACAACTCCCACCAGCAGAGCCCCCTGGAGGGTTACAGCGCAGAGCTGGGGGCAGAATCACACCCAAGGCCCCCAGATGGGCACAGGCGGACGGGCACGGCTCTCTTCACCCGGGCATGGCGCTTCTGGGGGGCTCCTGCCCAGCTCTTACCCACTCCTCTTCATCCACTCCTTCGAAGGCGTCCTGAGGCAGGGGGTCGTCTCGGTTGCCCAGCTTGGCCACCATGGCATTCAGGAGCTGCAGGGGAGCCAACCAGTGCCAGGATGTGGGCACGAGAAAGGGCTGACGCGCCTGCCACCCCCAAGACCTTCCCCCTCCTCATGGTGCCCCCTCAACACTTCTCTGTGGGGTGTATTGCTATCACTCCTTATGCTCCCTGAGGAGCTCAAGAGGGTGGCCGTGGGTCTCCTTCTCCCCCTTCTTATCCGCCCAACAACCCTGTGAGGAAGGCTCGGCTGAGAGGTCACCTTGCAAGCTTCACCACCAAGTGGGGATTTGAGCCCTTGTCTCTCCTAGCCGGACACTAACCACTATGCCACACTGCCTCTCACCCGCTCCATGGTCTTTTGCATCAGGGAGAGCTTGCCAGCCCCCTCCCCTCCTTCCCCTGCCCCCCAAGCCAGAGCTGCCAGCCCCGCAGGGTCCTCACCTCCTCCTTCTTCTGCTCGTCCGACTTCTCCTCCAGGTAGACGGAGGACGGCACGTATTTCCGGCTGGGAGCCTCTTTCGGGGCTTCGCTCACTGCGGAAGGAGGTGGCATGGCGGGTCAGTGGCGGAAGGGGCCTGGAGACAGATCGCCAGGGGGCCCTTTCCTCAGCCGCAAACCCACCTGGGGTCTCTCCAACACAGGAAAGGCCGGAGGGGAAACCCAGCGGGGGTGGGGGCTTTCTGTGTTCTGAGATGCTGTGCCCCCAGCAAAGGTTCTCTGTTCCTACCGCTGTGATTTCCTCAGTGCCACCCCTTCACACAACAAGCCAAAAGGGATTCCTGCACCCTTTCACTGGGCTTCCTTGGAGGTCTTTAAGCAGAGCTCAGGTGGCCAACTGCCAGGGATGCTTTGGCTGTGATTCCTGCACTGGAGGGGATGGACTAGATGACTCTAGGGGTTCTCTGGGAAGAACTATGGAGAAAGAACTGGAAATTTACAGCCTGTGAAGTACTGAGGGAAAATCTAATCCAGATGTTTTATACATGGTACCGTATTTTTCTTTTTCTTTTTTAAATGATATTTATTAAAAGTTTAAAAAATTACAAAAAAAGAAAAAAGACAACAATAAAAAAGAAAAAAGAAAAAAAACATAGAAAAGCAATACAACAATACAGCAAAAAGAAACAAAGAAAAAACTAAAACACACATCCAATATTCCATATCTTTACCTTTCCTTTACTTGTTTCATAGACCTCCTCACACCTCCCTTTTTTTGTATTCTAGTTCAATTCACTATTTCAGCAAATTCTTCCCATCTTTCTCAATTTTTATTCTATAATTTACCTTAACGGTCTTACCTTACATTTTTTCATTTTAACCCGTTATCAATCAACTTTTACTTAATTCTTTGTTACATTTCTACTAAAACCATATAGCTTCATTCCAGCATCCTTCTAACACTCATTAATTCATGGTACCGTATTTTTCGCCCTATAGGACGCACTTTTCCCCCTCCAAAAATGAAGGGGAAATCTGTGTGCGTCCTATGGGGCGAATGCAGGCTTTCGCTGAAGCTTGGAGAGCGAGAGGGGTTGGTGCGCACCGACCCCTCTCGCTCTCCAGGCTTCAGGAAGCTATCAGCAAGCCTGGGGAGCCCGCGGGAGTTCCCGCAGGGCTCCCTAGGCTGCGGATAGCAGCCTGCTGCCCGGCGCGCGGGCGCCCTGAAGCAGAGCACCCCTCGTACAGGGCAGATATTCGCAGCCTGGGGAGCCCGCGAGAGTTCCCGCAGGGCTCCCTAGGCTGCGGATAGCAGCCTGCTGCACGGAGCGCGAGGCGCACTGAAGCAGAGCGCCCCGCGCTTCGGGCAGACATCGGCCAGCCCCACAAGCTCAGGGGACAGCGGGGAGGCGCAGCGCCACCATCCCGCTGTTCCCCGACCTGGTTTGGTTTCCCCGACCTGGTTTGGAGGGGGGGGAATAAAGGGGAAAATTTTTTCCTTTATTTCCCCCCCAAAATACTGGGTGCGTCCTATGGGACGGAGCGTCCTATGGGATGAAAAATACGGTACTTAATACCTATCAAAATAGCTAAAATGTATAAGACAAAAACAAATCTGTGCTGGAGGTGTGGTAAAACAGAGGGGACACTTATACATGTTTGGTGGACCTGTGAAAAAACCAAAAGCTTCTGGAATATAGTACGTATATGACGAGCTTAAAAAAAATGTTTAAATATAACTTTATGAAAAATACAGAAGCTTTTCTACTAGGGATAACGGACACAGGTATAGCAAGAGAAGATCAGAAAATATTCCTCTATGCCACAGGAGCGGCAAGGATCCTAATTGCTAAAAACTGGAAAAAAGCAATTGTGCCAACAAAAAAGGAATGGCAAGACAAACTGTTAGAGTATATTGAAGTGGCTAGCTTAACAGAGGCAATTAGAGATCGCACTAGACAAGAGTTTCAAAAAGCATGGGGAAAATGAAGAGAATACTTCACAAAACAGTGCCCTAAAATACACACCTGGACTTGTTTCGATTAATGTCTGCAGGAGACTTTGTGGATATTTAAGTTATAATTAGAAAAATCTTAATAATTATTCATAAAGGAAACAGCTTATAAGAAGTAAATAAGGAGGCCAGGTACAGGACAAAGGAAATCTTTTATTTGGTTGTTTGTATTGTTGTATGTTATGCTCATTGTATGTTATGTTCACGTTTAGTGAGGGTGGATTTCTGTATTGGGGGGTGGGGGTTTATGTTATAAATAAAATTTCCAATAAAAATTAAATAAAGAAATAAATAGATGACTCTAGGGGTCCCTTTCTACAACACTATGATTCTACAAACTCTGAACTCTCTGCAACAGCACACACACACACCCGGCTGATGCGCTCCCCCTCGCCCCCTGCCACATACCTGGGGTCATGTCTTTAGGCCGGAGGCTGACTTTGCGGTGCTGACCATCAGAGCCGCCCAGCCAGGCAGCGGCCGACAGGGCCGGTTCCCACCGCACCTCCGTGGGAGGATAGAGGTCATCCTGGAAGAACTCTTTCTGTGGGGAGAAGGGGCAGGACAGAAGCACGGAGGGCATCAGTCTGTGGGTCACTCAGCCTGCGCACCCCACATGGTGGGAAGGTTCAGGAGAGAGAAAGGATTCATTCATGCAGAGCCTAACCTGTGGAACTCCCTCCCACCGGAGGCCGTGATGATGACCCCTGACTTTAAAAGAGGACGAGACAAAATCATGGAGGAGAGGGCTGCTTAAAGCCATCCACCAATGCCTCCTGGGGCAGCTGCTTCCATAGTTTCCCGTGTGTAGGAATGATCGCTGGGTGGGGAGCCTCAGCTCCCTGCACGCATGACCTTGGGGTGCGGGGCACACTCCCCTCCCCCCAGATAAAGCCACAGCTGTCTGAACATCTTGCCCTCTGTCTAACCTTTTGCCATCTCAGTAGTCTGTGGTGTCCTGTCTGTGACCTTTGTCTCTGAGACCTTTGTCTCCTGTGCAAGGGGAAAATGACACGGTGGAAACAGGTGCCAAAATAACTTTGTACCACCCCACGATCTCGGGACTGGAAGATGTGTAAAGGTCACAGCCCAAAATGTATCTGCCTGGGTTTGCATATTGTGTCAATAAAAGGAGCCTCCACAGAGCTGGCTGGCAGCTTGCTTGCAGCTCACCTGCATTATCAGCTCCTGCCTCATTTCCTTCACTTCACCTGTGTGCCAGGTGATGCAGTCCTTCCTTTTATCTGCCCTGAATCTGTGGAACTCCCTCCCACAAGAGGCAGGGATGCCTACCAAGCTAGATGGCTTTAAAAGAGGATTTTGCAAATTCCTGGAGGAGGAGGAGAGGGCTCTGGGAGGCTCCTAGCTGGGATGGCTAGGAGTGGAGTAATTTGTCTCTCTTCCTTTTGGTCCCTGCCCAGCGATGGACGCTGAGACACCTGGGTCCGACTGCGAATCCTCGCCCGGCTGGGCCTGTTCCAAAAAGGAGCGGGGTCTGTCCAGGAAGCTTGCCAAGATGCCAGCTTGGGGTGGCGTTGTGGCTGGAGGTGGACAGGACAAAGGAGCATGGCATTGTTCGGAGAAGGTGACGAGACCTTTCACGGTGCTGCCTCTATACTCGGAGCCTTCCCTCCTCCTCCCCTGCCAGAGACCAAGAGGCCCAGTACCCTACCTTCACCCGGGGCACCCGGAAGGCCACAGGCTCAATGGAGGTCTGGCGGAGGCGCAGGGCTCGGGCAATCTCCACCTCCCGAACGTCACACTCCGTCTTGGGCAGAAACTGGTAGCCCTGCGGAAGTCAAGAGGTCAGGACCTTGCAGGGACACCTTTCTCAGAGCGCGGCTGCAAAGCCACAGCAATGCCCTCTGTGCCTCCCAGGGTCTGTGGAAGTGAAGCAGGGGGCACATCTGGGCACCCGCCACCCGCCAATTCGCACTCAACCCTTGGGGTTGTTACTCTAGTAACTCCACAAGTGCTCTGCCCAGAACAACCACAAGAGGGCAGGCCAGAAGCAGGTTTTGCAGACCAGATAAGGGGGCAGAGAGGAGGAGTCAGCCCCCTGGAACTTCACTGCCCCAAAGGATGCAGTTCTGGTTTGTCACAGGGACTGATGCCAGTTCCTCTTGGCATTCCCAGTAACAGCTCAAGAGGCTGCTGGATTCCAGCTCATTCTGTCTGCCACCCCTGCATTTCCCTGGCCCCCACTCCAAATTCAGGGGTCCTCCCCACTTGAGCCAGGAGGTTTCACTGACAGCTGCTCTGTGGGCATTTTCTCCTCACCTCCAAATCTTGCAAATCCACACTCTTTCCCTTTTTTAAGGAACCAAGCCATAGCCCTCATGGCTGCAGAGGAAAGCCCAGAGAGGTGGACTGAATCAAACAAAGACTCCCCCGGGGCAAAGGGGGGTGACTTCCCTGACTGCACGTGGCTCCATCTCTCCCAGGGACATAACTGCTGCCCAGATCCCCCCCCCCCGCACCGCTGCCACCTTACCTTATGGGGATCACTGGACGGGAAGCTGTTGCACTCCAGGAAGAAGGGTGCCTCTGGGACCACCTCGTAAATGTACACCCTGGTGTCACCCTAAACATGTGGCAGAGAGAAGAGGCTTTGAAGGGCGGGGGGTGGCCTACCTTCCCCGAGCAAGTCTGGGATCCACGTCAGAAGGAATGGGGGCAGGGAAGGTACCTAGAAAGGGGGCGCCTGGACTGGCCTCAGGGTCAGAAGGGGCTGCTCAACCAGCCAGGGCTCACGGTGGCCAAGCCCCTCTGGGACTCAGTGCCAGGAGCCTGGCATGACTCTTCCCACCCCCAGATCTGGAAAGTTAGCAAAACAGACCCTGTGCTACCCGAAAAACAAAGAACGGGTTTTCTAAAGTTTGGCATCCATTTAAGCAAATGCGTTGAAGCCACCCTTCCGTCAAGGCTCCTATGGAAAAAGCTCCTTGGCTCATGTGCTTTTGAAGGACCACCGTCTGGAAATATAATGCTGTTTTTGGAACTTCCACCCACTCCCTCCCCTCCTCTCCTTCCTTCCTTCCTTCCTTCCTTCCTTCCTTCCTTCCTTCCCCCTTCTTGCTTTGATTTTCTCCCTTTGTTGTTGTTATCGCTTGTTGCATATTAGAAACGAAAATAAAAACAATTGCAAGGAAAGGAAAGAGAAAAATGAAAGAGCAAAGCTGGTCACCCAGCCCAGCCCCTGGTGGGGGGCAACAACTGCTGACTTCAGCAACAAACAACACCCCCCCACACACACTTCCTTCCCCCCCCTTTCCTGTCAGCCAGAGAGATGCTCTAGGTCTGCCCAGTTGCAGACTGGCCCCCTATTACCGTGTGCTGGAAGTGGAATGCGGCACCTCTGCACTGCTGCTATGGGGTTCAGCATCTTCTCCCCCCCCCCCCCCCCCGGCCTGACCCTGCAGGCCATTTTTGCTGCTGTTGCTCCTGGAGAATCAGGCCCAGGGCCCCCCGCTCACCTTGCCCGTGAGGAAGACCACGCCTGTGTCTGCATCGTAGAAGGGGATGAGGGTGGATGGCGAGACATCGAGGCCGGCCGTGGCCACCGGTGGCCCCAGAGACTCCGCCGGGTGGAGGGAGAGCTGTCGCTCGCTGCGGCTGCAGGAGGAGGAGGAGGAGATGCTGCTGGGATCGGGGCCGGCTGGGGCTCCTGGGAGGCAGCATTGGAAGGAGGGGGAAGCCGGCATTTTTTCATCTCCGCCAAGCTAAGCAGTTGGCTCCTTACCTCTCTCGCCCTGAGCTAGCCACTAATCCACGCGACAGTCACCTCCAGACTTGATTATTGTAACTCGCTCTACGTGGGGCTGCCCTTGAGACTGACCCAGAAACTCCAGTGGGTGCAGAATGCCACGGCGAGGCTCCTTATGGGGTCCTTGCCACGGGATCACATTCATCCAGTGCTTTACCAACTGCACTGGCTCCCAGTGGAGTACAGGGTCAGGTTTAAGGTGCTGGTTTTGACCTTTAAAGCCCTATAGGGCCTAGGACCCTCGTACCTACGGGACCGCCTCTCCTGGTATGCCCCACGGAGGACCTTAAGGACTTTGGAGGTCCCAGGTCACGAGGTGGTTAGATTGGTTTCAACTAGGGTCAGGGCCTTTTCAGTACTGGCCCCGATCTGGTGGAACGCTCTGTCACAAGAGACTAGGGCCCTGCGGGACTTGACATCTTTCTGCAGGGCCTGCAAGACAGAGCTGTTCCACCAGGCCTTTGGCCTTTGGTGATCCTTGTAGAACTCTGGCCCAATGATAGCCATTAATTTGATTCTGAATTGATTTTAGAAGGAATTGATTTTAGAATGCTGTGTCGCTTTTATTGTTGTAAGCTGCTCTGAGCCCGGCTTCGGCTGAGGAGGGCGGGATATAAATAAAAAATTGTTGTTGTTGTTGTTGGCATATGAATGAGAGTCGATCACTAGTGGCTGGGGAAACTCAGCCAGATGGGCGGGGTACAAATAAATTATTATTATTATTATTATTATTATTACCTGTCAAAGCCCGACACTAGCAGGTATTTGCCTCCACAAACCCAGACGATGCGAGCGCCCCGTCCACCTTCGGGCCCCGGGCCCTCCTGTGAAGAGAGACGGATGCCTCAGAGAGCAGGGGCCATGGCTTCTCTCTAGGTGCCCCCCCGGGGTGAGGCCACCTGCTTCTCCGCCAAGCCCTCCCTCGTAGGAACCTGGGAAACTGCCTCATACAGAGTCACAACATCGGTCCACCCACCCCAGCATTGCCTGCACTGACTGGCAGCAGGGAGAGCATGCCACCCCCACCCCCCCACCCCCGTTCCTGAATAAGAGGCTTTCTTCCTCCTCTCCCCCTCTTCACCTCTGCACATCTCTTCCTGCCAAACATCCCCTCGACTCACCTGCAGGGGCTGGGAAGCTTTTCGGGGCTCGTAGATCCTCACTCGGCCATCCTTGCAGACGGTGGCCAGGCAGCGTCCGTCGGGGCTCCAGGCCAAGCTGAAGATCTGAAAGGTCCCCAAGAGGTCAGTCTCCTCCCTCTGGAGGGCTGGGCCAGTCCCAATCCTTGGGCACCAGGGGGCTCCCTCCAGGTCCAGCATCCTCTGAAGGCCACTTCTGGCGCCTCTCCTCGCGACTCCCAGTCTCGGCTGGCTTTCATTTTAACATGGCAGGCTGTGCCCTGTGGGACTCCCTGCCACTAGAGGGTGAGGCAGGAACCCTCCCTCCCTCTGTGCAGATGCCTTTTGAAAAATTTACTTTATTTTAGACAGGCCTTTGTAATACAGTGGAACCTCGGCTGTTGAACGTAATCCATTCTGGAAGACTGTTTGACTTCTGAAATGTTCGACGACTAAGGTGCAACGGACGGACAGCAAATTCCATCGAGAAAATGGAGAAACGCAACTCGGAAGACGTTTGACTTCCGAGGTGCGTTTGAAAACGGAAGCATTCACTTCCGGGTTTTCGGCGTTCAGGTTCTGAATCGTTTGGCTTCCGAGACACTCAAAAACTGAGGTTCCGCTGTATTAACTTTCCTTTGTAGCCGCTTGGAATTATTATTTTTACAGACTCCTTTGTTGATTTTATTCTCATACACTGCAACACCACCTGGAAATGCTTTTTAAATATAAAATTGTGGATGATAAGTATGCAAACGGGGGTAAAGTCACCGGGGGGGGGGCTGTCTGGTATGAACTGGTGGCGCATGGAGGGGGCTGAGACCTCCCTCTGCTGGTTCTGCTGCCCCCCCTTGCAGAAAGGGAGGGAGCCAAGCTGCGTGCTGGGCCTTCCTACCTGGTCCCTGTGTCCCTCCAGCCTCAGCACCTGCCCGCCAGAACGCAGATCCCAGATCCGGACGCTCATGTCATAGGATGAGGAAGCCAAGATGTCCGCAGCCAGGGGGTGGAACTGGATGGAGTAGATCTTCTCCGTGTGGCCTGGGGGGGGGGGGGAGAAGACGGCTGCTAGCTGGGCTCTAAGCTGGCCAAACCCCCTCAGGCCAGAGGAGCAGGGGACAGAAAAGCGGGGCAGTGAAATGATATACAATGAATTGAAGAAAATGTTGAAAATAACTTTTGTAAAAAAATCAGAAGCCTTTTTATTAGGTATTTTAGGTCAAGACATACCAAAAGAAATGAGAACTTTATTTATGTATGCCACCACAGCAGCAAGAATGTTGATTGCACAAAACTGGAATTCTGGAGAAATACCAACTAAAGAACAATGGCAAGAGAAGTTGATGAACTATGCAGAACTGGCAAAAATGACATAAAAAGACAACAGAGACTTTGAAAAAGATTGGGAACCATTCCTATTATATTTGCAGAAACAAAGAAAGGCGATCGACTTGATGGCAGGATTTAAATAAACATCCACATTCTTAGCATCAGGAAATGTTTGGAAGATAGTGGAATAAGATGATGTATTTAATTTTATTTTTATGTTTTTAAGGTTTGATGTTATGTTATTAATAAACTTTTCTGCTGAGAGATAGGAAAGCAGGTGTAAAGAGAAACAAACCAGAAACGCAAGTTGGGGGAGGTCTTGGAGGGGAGGGAGGGAGGAATATACAGTAAACGTTAAGAATTTGAGATGTATGTAATGAATGAAAATGAAAAATATATAAAAAATTAAAAAAGAAAACAGAAAAGTGGGGCAGGGGGAGTTTCACCTTGTAGAACCAGTTCAGGCTCCAGGGTTGTCTTTTGCAGACCTCCCTCCTCGACCCTCCACAGCCGGATCCTGGCGTCTTCTCCAGCTGCGCCAGAGGAAACAAGGGGGCAAGTGTGAGAGCCCATCGTGCCATGCTGAGGGCGACCCTGGCTGCAGAGAACCCCCCACCCTGATGCCTGAGCCCAGACGACGCAGGATGGCAAGACGAGAGAACAGGGCTCTGGAGCAGTCTCGCTTCGGGAATTCCCTCAGGAAGTCCGGAGGCCAGTGGTGGCTTCTTGGTGGGCCCAGTAGCTGCTCCGGGATGGGTGGGTCACATACCAATCGCCAGGCGCTGCAGGTCAAAGGGGTCCCAGCACAGGTCGGAGACGGGCGTCCCGTTCTGGATGGTGGGGAGCGATGTGTCCGGGAGGCGGCCTGGCTTGGAGAGCTGGGGAGGAGGGCAGGGTGAGTCTCTGAGAAAGGCAGGTGGGGGGCGCTCTCCTCTGCCCTCCCCCCAAGACGGGGGCCTTCATGGGCACCCCACTTCTGCCGCTCCAGTGGGTATGCGATGTACTCCATTGGAGCAGTCAAATACAACATTCCTTGTCTGCCTAGAGTGGACACAGACAGGGGGATGTTGATCCAGCCAGTTGAACTTCCTGTTACACCTGGTCTGGAGCATCCTCCCCCTGCGTGTGACCAGGTAGGTGGGCGGGACCCTTGCAGACCCCACAAACAGTCCAGTCACCTAGCCCTCTTCCTCTCTTGATGCTCCTCTCTTCATTTTGGCCACTGGTCCTGATGCACATGGGCTCATCCTTACAAGGATGTCAGCCACACTGTATCTGTAACTACAGGCTAAAGCCTGCCTTCAGGGATCCAACCGTGAACTGAATGTGAGTAAACTTTTCATTACTTATAAGGAAGACTCTTGTGTCTTTATTTCTTTTAGGAGGGAATCAAAGGGGTCTTTCCAGGAATATACTCCAATCTGGGCATGCCGGATTGGATTGCTTAACTAAAGAGATTAAAACGAATCTGCAACTAGCTGCTTGCTGTGTAAAAGGGGGAACGAGCTCTGCCATATGTAACTCACTGGCGTGAGTGAGGAAGGATAATATTTAATCAATATTGCTCAAACCTGCAATTGGGGCAATTAAAATGTTACAAGTTAAATAAACCTTGTGGAGGGAGGAGTGTTAAGGTATATAGAATTGTACATATGGTTGATTTGAATATGTTATTATTGATTATGTATACCCAATGTATCAGCCACCTGGTGGGTTTCACTGTTTGTTTTCACTGTTTGTGTTTTGATTGTTGGTAATAAAAAATAAGAAATAAAATTAATATCCTCTCCTACTACCAACAACATTCCCACAGAGGGCAAGCTGGCGGGTGCTGGTGCTCTCAGGAACCCAGGGGCCCAGGACCAAAGATGGAAGGCACTGGAATCTGCATGCCACCCAGCCAGAGCAGTGGGGCATTGTCAGGGAACTGCCATCAGTGCTGGAGGGAGAGAGCAAGATCCAGAGGGATTCCAGAGAGCGTCCTGGGATTGGGAGAGGCAGCCCATCTTCTGGGGAAGAGAATCAGCGTAGCACCAGTGGAGAAGGGGGGCAGATGGGGGAAGCGGCAAGGCGGTCCCATGACTCCTTGCCGGGGATCAGCGGGGAGAGTAGAGGTCCTCCGCTGCCTACGCCCTCCTTGCGCAGAAGGCTTTCGCGCAGAGAGAGTAGGCGGAGACTAGGCGTCAAAGAGCTTCTTTGCTGGAAGAAGTTTAAGAAACGCCCACTGACGGATTCTGCTAGCAATTGAGACAGCCACGGGTGAGTGGCTGTCCGGACAGAAAAGGTTCACTCAGGCAACCCAGCCAGGTGTTTGCACCGGCTTACGCACGAGCAACCCCTAGAACCACTACAGGCATCTAATCCAGTGTTGCCCACCCTGACTGGCAGCCGCTCCCCTGGGTCCTTCTCAGCCCTCCCTGGAGGCTGAGCCTCGCACATGTGAGGCTGGCGATTGGCAGTGGAGCCTGGGGGGCCTTCCCCTGTGAGGCTCTGCCAACGCAGGAGGGCATTCGGCTGGGCAGCTGCCCCTGAAAGGCACCCCTTCCGTCACGGTCCCCTTACCTCCAAGACAGCCACCTGCCCTCCGGCAGAGAGCAGTGGGATGGCCACACGTTGCCGGTTGGCGCAGAAGCCGTCGCACTCCCCCGGCGTGGTCAGGTTCAGCCCCCGGAGGTTGGTGATGTGGGTGCTGCGGTGAAGCACAGAGCCCTGGATGTGGCGGAACCCCGAGCTGGGTCCTGGGGGCAAAGAGGCGGGTGAGGGGGGGCAGGAGATGGGGAGGGACACCCTCTCCCCCCTCCCTGGTGGAAAACGCAGAACCACCGCTGTGCGCCGGCAGCGCGGTGGGGAGAGGGGGTCTGCCAGGCACCCCCCAAACTCCCTCCGAGCGGCACAGGTTGTGGGGCCCACCTGGGAGGTGGGTGGCAGGAAGCTTACCCAGAATGCTTTGCAGGGACCGCTGGCTGGGGCTGGAGGCAAAGCCGCTGGTGGCTGAGAGGGAGGGCGTTGTGGCGCCAGAGGGGGACGTCAGGGAGCTGGTGGGGGACGAGAGGGGGCTGCCAGCCTGGGAGAGGGGAGAGAGAGCAAGCCTCAGACCATTGCAAGGGGCTGGACCCTTGCAGTCCCTTCCAGTTACCGTATTTTTCGCTCTATAGGACACACCGGACCACAAGGCACAGCTAGTTTTTAGAGGGGCCTGTCGGCTTCTCCCAGAGCTTCTCGGGGCTGCGGGGGAAGCCCGGGTTCCCCCCCCAGCCCCAAAGAACAAAGAAGCCAAGACAGCGAACGGGATCCATCCCACTGGCTGTCTTGGCTTCTGCCATAGCCGCGCAACCTCTCCAGCCAGGAGCTAAACCTCTCCAGCGTGGCTAAAGAAGCGTGGGTGAAGAAGCCAAGGCAGCGAGCGCAATCCATCCGGCTCGCTGCCTTGGTTTCCTCTTTAGCCTTGCGCAGCGGGATGGATCGCGTTCGCTGCCTTGGCTTCTTTAGCCTTGTGCAGCCTCTCCCGGTTGGAGAGGCTGCGCGCGGCTATGGCAATCCCCCCACCTCCCGCAAAAGCCCACAGGAGCCACGCACCCTTTAAGGAGTGTGTGGCTCCTGCGGGCTTTTCTAAGAGGAGGGAGAAGGGACTGTCTGGCCGCGTCAGTCCCTTCTCCCTCCTGGGGAAAAGCCTGCAAGAGCCGCGCGAAGCTTGTGTGCGGCTCTTGGGGGCTTTTCCTGCCTGCCTCCCCCCTGCATTCGCTCCATAAGATGCACACACACATTCCCCCTTACTTTTTAGGAGGGGGAAAGTGCGTCCTATGGAGGGAAAAATACGGTATATAAGATCCACGGTGCTCCTGGCCTAGCAAATGCCCTGGGCTCTGGAGATGCTGGGAATGGCTATCGATGGCTCGTGGCCACAATGGCTACGCTCTGCCCGCCCTCCCAGTCAGAGGAGGCAGCGATGCTTCTGAACCCCAGTTTCTGGAATCCCCAAGAAGGGAGAAGGCTCTTGTGCTCAAATCCTGCTTGCTGGTTTCCCGCAGGAAATCTGGCTGGCCACTGTGAGAACAGGATGCTGGAGCAGATGGTGATGTTGATGATAATTGTTTATTTATACCCCGCCCTTCCAGGTTCAAAAACCGGACTCAGGGTGGCTAACAACAAATTTAAAACACTTAATTATAAAAGCAGCATAAAACACAGTATAAAAACATGAATAGCAATAAAATTCAAAAATCAATTAGATAATCTAATTAGATGGGGCACTGGCCTGACTCTTCTTAAGTTTTTAGGGGAGAAGGAGCCAGGCAGAGGGTTGTCAGGAGCAGGGGTGGAGGAAGGGGTGTGTGGTGGGGGCGGTCCGCCCTGAGTGTCACCACTGAGGGGGGTGACAAAATGGCGGGCAGCATTCACCACGGCGCCTGCAGCACGCCCGAGCCACGCCTCTCTCCTGGGAGTGACGCGGTGGCTTGGGTGCCCGCAGGCTCCGCACTGCCTCAAACGGTCTGCCCGCCGCCTCTCTCTCAGTTGTAGGGTGGCTGAGTGGGAGGAGTCTAGCATCCTGCCCTGGCTGGCCCCGCCCCTGGGCACAGGGCATGCATGCCGCCCCATGTGTCCGATTGGCTTGCTCAGCTGCTGGTCAAGAGAGCTCTGGAGAGGTCCAGAAGCCAGAGGATCCCCTCTGGAAAGGACTCTGCAGGGCCTTGGTCTTTGCCTGGGGCTCAACCCCATCCCTCAGTCTCGGTCCAGTATACCTGAAGGAGCGTCTCCACCCCCATCGTTCTGCCCGAACACTGAGGTCCAGCGCCGAGGGCCTTCTGGCAGTTCCCTCGCTGTGAGAAGCTAAGTCACAGGGAACTGGGCAGAGGGCCTTCTCTGTGGTGGCGCCCGCCCTGTGGAACGCCCTCCCACCAGATGTCAAAGAGAAGAACAACTACCAGATTTTTAGAAGACATCTGAAGGCAGCCCTGTTTAAGGAAGCTTTTAATGTCTAATAGGTTATTTTATTTTAATATTCCATTGGAAGCCGCCCAGAGTGGCTGGAGAAACCCAGCCAGATGGGTGAGGTATAAATAATAAATTATTATTATTATTATTATTATTATTATTATTATCCCCACCCTGGCTTCCAAGCCTGCAGCTGGCATGAGCACACGTGCCAGGAGGCCAGGGAGGCAGTGGTGGCACCTTCCAAAATGCACTAGGCTTGTCTTCCCGAGAGCATCTTTGCGTCTGCATTTCCCAGCCGTCCAGAGCAGGGAAGAACCATCTAGCCGTAGAACCTCCAAACCGTGGAGCTGCAGGGGACCCATAGAGTCATTTAGCTCAGCCGCTTGCAGAGGAGAAACCACAACTTCCTGCACAAGTAACTCTGGATGGAGATGTCGGGGGGAGCAGCAGGACTGTCTTGCCAGGGGTTTGGGGGCTCTTGAACTGGCACCACTCACTCTCACCTCCGGGTCCTCGGTCTGGTCCCCTGGCCCTGGCTGGGCGGAGAGGTCGGGGGTTTGGTGCTCCTGGAGGCAGGGAGAGATGAAGGCCTTGCTGGGCCTTTGGGCAGGATGGAGGCTGATCTTCCCCACCTGAGAAGAGGAGGAGGAGGAAGAGGGAGGCGTCAGCAGCTGGGAGAGAGAACCAGAGGCAGAAGGTCTCCTGTCTCCTAGATGGGGCCACGGAGAGCCCGGCTGCCCTGCTGTGGGGCAACGGGGGCCGCCTAGCCAGGCTTCAGAAGCAGCTCCTGAATGGTAGAATTTTATTACTACGGTCACAGACCAGTTCTGGCTCACTTACACTATCAGCAAAATCATAAAACACAGCAGGAATACATTGAATTGCAATTGGGTATAACAGAGACAATTCAGATATATCGGCAGTTAAAGAAATAAATATACTAAATCTTGATCACTAAAATATAACCTAAAATTATCATTTAAAACCTTAATCATTTTGAGAAGCAGCTCCTCAAAGCCCCACTCCCTCCCCAATGGGGTTCAAAATTAGCAGGGGGGGGGAGGTGCATTTTGTGACGGGGAATTGAATGGTGGAGAAGTTTTGCAGCAGCATCCAGCGACTGAGGTCAAACTGGCCGCTGCTGGCGCTGAGGGAGAAATGCCACCCCAAACATGTGAGATCAAATCTAGCACAATACTTTATATAACATATGCAATAACATGGGGCTTGGCCCCTGCAATTGTGGCCAAAACCATAAGTCATTTGAGTAATTAATATTTACAGATACCGGCATCCATGTATATACATACACAAACACACAGGCCGGCATTTGTAAATATTAATTACTCAAATGACTTATGGTTTAGGCCACAATTGCAGGGGCCAAGCCCCATTTATGCTTGCGGTGTCCAATTAAGAATTCCTATTAAAAATGATGTATCAACAATGTGTTACTGATGCGAATTGTTTATTAGTTCATGGGTTTTGGAAAAATAATTAGAAACTGCAGCTGGCCAGGGGGTGGGGTGGAAAAGGCAACCCGTGTTCCAGGAGCCAGGTGGCAAATAGCTTTTCTACTCCCGTTTCTAACACTGCCCCCCAAGTCTCAGGCACAGCTGAGGGGGAACTTGGCAGAAAGAGCCCCTGGGCACAGAAGCAGAGACCTCTCAGGGCCTGGCAGGGGGGCACGGAGGGCACTGCCCAGCCTCTGAAGCCTCCTGAGGCGCCACCTGGAAGACTCGGTCAGGCCAGCAGAGGACTTCCCCGGGTCCAGAGGAGCTGGAGAGGCTTGCAGGGTTGTTGTGGTGGGGCAGGGGGCCTTTTCTTCCAGCCCAGAGCAGCCATTGCCAGTCACCTGGTGGGCAAGGGGTGGGCGGGCAGACGAGAGCTCTCACCTGGCTGTTGTCTCCGGACCACCAGGCCTGCGCGGAGGCCGCAGGGACATTTCCTGCGCAGTCGGGGAACAAGTCTTTGTGGAACTCCTGTGTGGACTGAAGGACAGGCTGTGAGTGAGCCCCGTGGGACCGGCCACCTCCAGGCCCGGCCACCCGTCCCTTCTTATTCTGCCCACCCATGCCCCAACGCTGCCCGTTTACCTTCCGGGGCACCACATAGCTGATGGGGGCGATGCCAGCTTCGCTCAGCTGCAGGACCCGCATCACCTCGCAGCCCATGACGTCCAGGGCGAGTTTGGGCACCTGGGCAACGCCCTGGGACTTGGTCTCTGTCAGGCACTGGTTGACTGGGCAAAAGGGAGAGAGAAAAAGAGAGTGGCGACAGGTGCCCAAGGGCGGCTCCTGAGAAGGCAGCCCAGAGGCAGCAGTCTCTCCAAAGTGGGGCTTGTCATCATACTACCAGCCAGCAAGGGGAAGTGGAGAGAGAGAGATTTTCAGGACCCTAAAATGGCAATCCTCTTCTTTGGCACTCGCAGGTGCCCAGTAGCAGGCCCTGGCACAATGCTCACGCATGGGATGCCCGGCAGCTGGCTACTGACCCAAGAAGTGGAAGCCAAAGGCAGAGCAGGGGTTGAGTCCCTGGAGGTGCCACGTCTGCAAACAGCAGAGCCTTTTTTTGCCCTGGAGGTGGCCCCTCTGCCAGTGCAAACTCGCCTCTTTTCTCCCAACCCCTCCCTCGGCAGCTGTGGGGAAGGACGTGGGGAGAAGGGCACCACCGGGAACCTGCAGAGTCAGACCCGGGCAGGAGGAAGGTTGGGATCTAATTTCCGCTGACAGTCACGGAAGGCCCACCCAGTTTGGCACTGCCTGCACTGACAGGCAGCAACCCTGACTCTCTAGGGTTATGGGCTCAGCCCTGCTGGAGGTGCTGCCATTGGGGGTTGAGCCAGGGATGTTCTTGGGCCACGGTTTTCCTTCCCCATGGCTTTCCCCCCTCTCTCAGGCAGTGCCAGGCTAGGCAGGACCAGGGAGGACACACAAGGGGCCAGGCCTGATGCCCAACTCTCTCCAGGGCCAGGAAGAGTGAAACCTGAGCCAGGAGCCCAAACACCTGGAGAGGGTCTCAGATACTCACCTTCTGCCAGGGCTGGCTGGCTGGGCAGCACCTCATAGCAGAAGAGGACGTTTTCCCCCTGGAAGAAAAGGGCCAGGCTGAGCAAATCCTGGCTCCTTCCTCTGCAAACTGCCTTCCTTTCCCCCCCAATATATTTTTTATTATTTTCCTCCTTAAATAACATTTTCAACGTTACAACACAACAATATCAAACACAAAACCTCTGAGAGCCAGTGTGGTGTAGTGGTTAAGAGCGGTAGTCTCGTATTTAAGAGATACGAAAAAAGGTTTACAAATGGGTAAAAGCTTAATGGTAAGGATTTGCTGAACTAACAAACTGAACTGGAATACAAAAAAGGGAGGTATGAGGAGGTCCGGGGAAATAAGGGTAAAGAAGATAAGCTATGGAAAGTTAACGTGTTTTTTAACTGTTTTTATCTTGTATGTTTTTCTTGATTTTTCTTTTTTTTGTTATATTTTAAAAATTTTATTCTTTTTTCTGTATTTTGTATTTTCTTGTATTTTTATTTTTTGTGTTTGTATTCTTTGAAACTTTAATAAATATCATTTAAAAAAAAAAAAGAGCGGTAGTCTCGTAATCTGGGGAACCGGGTTCGCGTCTCTGCTCCTCCACATGCAGCTGCTGGGTGACCTTGGGCCAGTCACACTTCTTTGAAGTCTCTCAGCCCCACTCACTTCACAGAGTGTTTGTTGTGGGAGAGGAAGGGAAAGGAGATTGTGAGCCGCTTTGAGACTCCTTAAAGGGAGTGATAAAGCGGGATATCAAATCCAAACTCTTCTCTTCTTCTTCTCTCTGCTCTGCCGAGCATACGACTTTCCCTCCTTCCCTTCAGCAGGTTTTCCATTTCAAATCCAATCGTGCAATTTACATCTTTAACCTATTGTCCACATTGTAGGATTTATTTCTATCCTGCTTGTGTCCTCAAGTTTTTACAGTTGTTATACAAATATGCAATAAATTTACTCCAGTCCCTTTGGAATTTCTGATCGTCCTAGGCTCAGATCCTGCAAGTCAGTCTGGCCAGTTCTGCAAAGTCCATCATCTTCGCCTGCCACTCAGCAGTGGTAGGCACCTCCCGTAACTTCCACTTTTGGGCCAATAACGTTCTCGCTGCCACTGTGGCGTACATAAACACTCTTTGGTTTATCTTTGCAACTTCCTCTCCCATCAAACCTAGCAAAAATGCTCCCGGTTTTTTGGGGAAGGTGTATCTAAACATCTTTTTTAGTTCATTATAGATCATTTCCCAGAATGTTTTTACTTTGTCACAGGTCCACCACATATGATAAAAGTTACCGTCTGATTCTTTACATTTCCAGCATGTTTTCTCTCTCGTTCTATACATTTTAGCTACGTTTACTGGTGTCAAATACCATCTGTACATCATCTTCATTACCTTTTCTTTTGATGCCATACATGCTGTAAATTTTAAATTTTCATTCCACAATCTTATGCATGAATCACACTCAATGTTATACCCAAAATCTAATGCCCATTTTATCATGACTTCTTTCACTTTCTCTTCTTTAGTAAACCATTCTAACAACAAATTGTACATCTTGGATAATAATTTACTTCTGACGCCTTCCAACAGTTCGATTTGGAATCTTGATTTTTTATTTTCAAAACCAACCTTCCTCTTATCTCCATTAAATATATCATTCACTTGATGATATTGCAACCAACCTGTAAGTAAACCTTCAATTTGATCATATGGCTTAAGTTTTAGACCTTGTTCAGTTTCCATCAATATCTCTTCATATGTAGCCCACCTTCCCTCCATATTTAATTTTGTAACCGTCAATACCTCAGTGGGTGAAATCCACCATGGTGTTTTCTTTTCCAATATTTTTTTATTTCTTTCCCATACTTCATAAATTGACCTTCTAATCACATGATTCAGGAAACCTTTATGTACTTTCACTTTATCAAACCAAAGGTAAGAATGCCACCCAAATCTATTATCATGACCTTCCAAGTCCGGAAGGTCTGTATTTTCCAACATTATCCATTCCTTTAACCAGCAGAGACATGACACTTCATAATAGAGTTCCAAATCTGGCATGGCAAATCCACCTCTTTCTTTTTTTATCTATTAACAATTTGAATTTTATCCTAGGTTTTCCCCCCTGCTAGATGACTCTTGATAATACTTTTTGCCACTCTTTAAATTGTTTTGTCCCTTTGATCACTGGAATAGTTTGAAATAGAAATAACATTCTGGGTAGTACATTCATTTTTACCGCTGATATTCCGCCAGAAAATGACAACTTTAATCTGTCCCATATTTCCAAATCCTTCTTGATTTCCTTCCATGTGGTTTCATAATTATCCTTAAGCAAATTAATATTTTTTAATGTCAACCAGATTCCTAAATATTTCGCTTTTGTTAAGACCATAATGCGAACTGCCTTCCTTGGCCTCCCCAGGGAGGGAGGGAAGAGGCAGCAGACCCAGGAGAGCAAGGGGCGAGCGCTTACCTTCCCTGCCAGGACCAGGAGGCCGGTGCTGGGGTCAAAGAGCGGGATCAGGGCCCTGCAACACACACACACAAAAAGGGTCACCTCTGAGAGGAGAGGGCAAACAAAGAGCAGTGGCTGGGTTTTGGCACAAGCACTATTATCAAGCACTATTATTATTATTATTAGTAGTAGTAGTAGTAGTAGTAGTAAAGGTAAAGGTAAAGGGACCCCTGAATGTTAGGTCCAGTGGCGGACGACTCTGGGGTTGCGGCGCTCATCTCGCTTTACTGGCCAAGGGAGCTGGCGTTTGTCCGCAGACAGTTTTTCTGGGTCATGTGGCCAGCATGACTAAGCTGCTTCTAGCGAACCAGAGCAGCACACGGAAATGCAGTTTACCTTCCCGCCGGAGCCGTACCTATTTATCTACTTGCGCTGGTGTGCTTTCAAACTGCTAGGTGGGCAGGAGCAGGGACCGAGCAACGGGAGCTCACCCTGTTGCGGGGATTCGAATGGCCAACCTTCTGATCAGCAAGCATTAGGTTGAGTGGTTTAACCCACAGAGCCACCTGCGTCCCTTAGTAGTAGCAGTATACCTCCTTTCATTCATGGATTTCGGGGCAGTCCTTTTCTTCTTGTGGCTTCTGCTTGTGGAATGCTCTCCCCAGGAAGGCTCACCTGGTGCCTTCATTATATATCTTTAGGCGACAGGCAAAAACGTTCCTCTTCAAAGAGGCCTTGGGCTGATCAATATTCTACAGCCTTTTAGATGTGACTATGGGAAGGCAGGGTATTGTTTTGTTCTGGTTTTAACTATTTATTGGTGCTTTTATCTCATGTTTTTATCTTGTGGATCACCCTGGGATCTTTGGATGAAGGGCAGTATATAAATAATAATAATAATAATAATAATAATAATAATAATACAAGGTAAAAACACTAAATACATAATAAAAACAAGAAAAGACAAACCGATAGCCTTCCACTATGATTCCTGTCATGGGCTAGATGATTCTTTCTTTTTTTTAATATTTATTGAATTTTATAACAATTAATGATACAAATCTCCTTCAGCATGTTATTTACAATTATTCTCCCTCCCCTCCTCTGGACTTCCCTCAACTCCGCCTCTGCTGAGTTATAATCGTATTCTGCTTTTCCCACACAAAAATAAAACCCCTTATCATTTCTCTGAAATATCCGTTACTCAAATGAAATTGTGAAAGTTTATTCAAATCCTGCCAGTGAATCCAGTCCATTCTGTTAGTTCTCTGGCTCCATGAGAACCTTTCGCCAATGCAAGCATTGCCTCTGCAATTTATCTCCTGTTTCAGTAGCGCGGCAACGACTCTCCAAGATAATTTGGCAATGGGGACGTTTGGGGAGAGGAAGAGCAGAGGATATTGGAGGGCTGGGGAAGATTCCGAAAAGGGAGGCCGAAAGGATGAGGGGGGAAGAGGCAACAGGACAGGAGCAGTTCATAAAACAACGTGTGGCAGGAGTGCCAGGAGGAAAGTGGACAGAGAGGTTTCTTCTTCCTATTGTGATAAGAATTTTAAGGTCTTAGATATATATTAGATGTTCATAAATGTACCAAGCAAGCACATACATAGATCAGCACAGGAAGACCAACCTGAAACCATTTTTTATTTCCAAACTGACCAAATGTTTTCTCTGCAAGGTCAAAGGAAAATGGAAAAGCCTCCCCATTGTCTTTTCCTTCACAAATCCTCTCTTAAGGGTATGTCTGTGTTTGAATAGGGTGAGCCTGTGACCTGACTCAGGAACTAAGTATTCATCATTACAAAAGACTGGCCAGGCTCCCCAGGGTATCCAGTCAAGTAAGCATTAATAGGTAACCTGCCAGACAGGAGATAAACAACGCACTCAGATTTCTGTTGTAGACCGCCCCTTCTGTGATGTATGTATGATGTTTCTGGGGGTAGTCTTGGACTCCAAGGCGGGCAATTTAAAATGTCTATCTAAGGGCGGACACACCTTTGTTCTGGGTCCTCCTCCTTTCCTGCGTGTGAGGGCAGCACCCTGTTGCAACAGATCAATAAAGATCAGGCTTATGAGGTGCTTTGCTTCTCAATATTCTCTGGTTGTCCTCTGTTATTTTCTCCTACTGATAGGAAACCCACGTAAGGACTCTATACGGGATCTTAGATACCCCATAAGGGAAAAGGGGCAGATTTTTACTGTTTACAACACTAACATCCAATGAGGCTGAACATTAGGAGATTCAGGACTGGCAGAAGAATGGACTTTTCCTGCAAGCTGCATCCTCATTTCTGCTCCCTCCAGAACCAGCAGCAGTCGCAAATGAGGCTTTTTTACTTGGTATTATGTCACGAGAAATTTAAAAAACTGCCCGACCTATATTTATGTATACGCGACCACCGCAGCTAGGATTCTAATCGCCAAAAACTGGAAAAGTAATAACATTCCCACGAAAACTGACTGGTTAGAAAAAGCGATTGAGTACTCCCAGGGAGATAAAGAGGAAACGCCACACAAAGAGTCAACAAAGATTGATCAATATTCAATGCTTATCTCAAAATTTATATAGAAAACACAAATCTCCTGACAGATGTATAAATAAATCTAATAAACAGAGAGGTTAGGCAAGAGGAAAGACGTTAATTATTACAAAAGATAAACAAAATACTGTAAGCAATATTCTCTCCAAGAATATTTATCAGTCAAGGTACCTGATAAATGTTTTGCTGATTGCATTGCTGTCATACCTCGGGTTACAAACGCTTCAGGGGGCACGTTTTCGTGTTGCGCACTGCGCCAAACCCAGAAGTACCGGAAAAGGCTACTTCTGGGTTTCGGCGCTCGCGCATGCACAGAATCACTAAATCACGCTTTGCACATGCGCAGAAGCGTCAAATCGCAACCCACGCATGCGCAGACGCGACGCTGCGGGTTGCGAATGCTGCGGGTTGCGAATGTGCCTCCCACAAGATCACGTTCGCAACCCAAAGGTCCACTGCACTGGGCAGTCTGGCCATTCTTTTGAGATGGTCAATGCCTTGGTTCTTGGATCCAGGTCACATGCCCACCCTATTCATACACAAATAAGCCCGTAAGACAGGAATTGTAGGATTTGAAAGTGAAAAGAACCATTGGGAGAGGTTTTTCCAAGGTATTTCCTTCTGCAGAAGAATATTTGGGGTCATGAAGAGCCAAGATGGCTCCTATGGTTTATGTATGAGCCTTCATTTTATTTATGGCACCTTAGAATTCTTATAAGAGAGTCCAGATGGCTACCTCCACTGCTGGAGGCTACAGGCCTCCTAACACTAGTTTGCTGGGAATTAGGATTCGATTCACAGGATTCGACTGCAGAGTTGGAAGGGACCCCGAGGGTAATCTAGTCCAACCCCTTGCCGTGCAGGAATCTTTTTGTGCAGCGAGGGACTCGAACCCACGACCCCAAGATTAATAGTCCCATGCTCTACTGAGCTATCCCCTATCTGTACTGATCGATGGCGCCCTCCCTGCCCTGGCTGCTCCGCGGGACTGTGAGAACAGCTCTGGGCAGCTCCCCCTCCTGCCTCCGGTTTATGGCTTCCCATGTCAGCCTCCTGTAATATACAACTCCAAGGCTGACAGAAGCTGCGGCCCAACGCTGCCCTGGCACTGCCAGCCTCCCCTTTCTGCAGGTAGCTGGCCTTCCCACGCTCGCAAGGGCGCTGGAGGAGGGAGTGGAGCCCAGGCCCTCACCCGGGGTGGCAAAATTCCCAGGAGGCCAGCCTTCGCCCAAAGAGAGCAGCTATTGTGGTCTGACCTAGGAAGGCTATTTTTGTCTCTCGTTTTGGGATGCAAGGAAGTCTCCCTTGCTCACCCCCCGCACCCCTTTTCCAGCTGCCTGGGGCTTGGCCTTCTCCAAATCAGACGGGACCCCGGCTGCCTGGCTGGGCTCAGGAGACCCAGAGGCTGCTCATGGCACTCCCAGAGGCAGCTAAATGGGGGAAGCCATCAAAGATGGAGAATCCCCCGAAGGGAGACAAGTCGAGGGAGCCCCAGTTAATGAGCCAAGGGCTTGTGATAAGAATTTTAAGGTCTTAGATATATGTTAAATGTTCATAAATGTACCAAGCAAGCACATACATAGATCAGCACAGGAAGACTGACCTGAAACCATTTTTGGCTCCCAAGCTGACCAAATGTTTTCTCTGCAAGGTCAAAGGAAAACGGAAAAGCCTCCCCATGCCTGTGTACGAACAGGGTGAGCCTGTGGCCAGACTCAGGAACTAAGTATTTATCCTTACAAAAAACTGGCCAGACTTGTCAAGCACCCCAGGGTATCCAATCAAGTGAGCATTAACAGGTAACCTGCCAAACAGGAGGTAAACAAAGCACTCAGATTTCTGCTTTAGACCGCCCTTTCTGTGATGTAGGTATGATGTGTCTGGGGGGGTGGTCTTGAGGTACACCCCTTCTGTGATGTATGTATGATGTTTCTGGGGGTGTTCTTGGACTCCAGGGTGGGCAATTTAAAATGTCTATATAAGGACGGGCACACCTTTGTTTGGGGTTCCTCCTCCTTTCCTGTGTGTGAGGGGAGCACCCTGTTGCAACAGTTAATAAAGATCAGGCTTTGCTTCTCAATATTCTCTGCTTGGCCTCTGTTATTTTCCCCTACCAATAGGGAACCTACATAAGGACTCTATTTGGGCTCTTGCATACCCCATAAGGGGGAAAGGGCAGATTGTGTTTACAACAGACTCAGGGCATTGGAAGGGTCCTGCAACAGGCAGGCAGAGGCTTGGGGGGTTTCTGCTGGCAGAGAGCAGTCAGTATCCCAGCAGGCTGGCAGAGCAAGGGGTGCCTGCATCCCTCCCAGGAAGCGCCTGGCACCCACAAGGAGACCCCCCTTCCGCTGGGGGAACCTTTGCAGCCAAAGCAGAAGAGGCCCTGAAGTCTCTGCCACAAGTGGGAGACCCAAAGGCGAGGCAGAGAGGAGGAGAAGGGCTGTGGAGCGTTGCTGCGTGTCCTCTCCCTGCATGAGTCAGGATCATGGCCAGAGCCCTGGAGTCGGCTCAACCGGTCTCAGCTGGGCCTCCTCCCCACAAACAGGCTCAGCCGGTCTTCCCACCTGGCGGCAGAAGCGCCTCTGAGAGGCAGCACGCCTGGCTGGCTGCGGGACCATCCCGGCACGAGGCCTGGGTGTGGCGGCTGGCACCAGGGCGCATCCAGGGACGCTTCAGGAGCCTGGGTGTCTCGGAGGGTGACTGAGCTGGGTGGGAGAAGCCAGGCAGCGCCCACGGGTTTCAAACCGCTGTGGGCGATTGCAGGATGCAAGCTACGCGTTGGTCGATGGAACCGCTGGGCTAAGCTGGCTGGAAGGGCTGGTTCTTTATTTGGAGGAAGGGGCCAGGAAAGGGGTCCTCCCTCAAAGGGGGGAGGCGTGTGGACCAGGCCACAAGTGAGAGAGATGGGGCAAAGGCCCAGCACTGCCCCACGAGGAGCAGCACCCAAGAAATGGTGTGTCCTCTTCTACTGCGCCTGCCTGCTCCATAGAGCCATAGAATGGTGGACCTGGAAGGCACCCTGGGGGTCATCCATCCCAGCCCCCTGCCTTGCAGAAATTGCCGCTAAAGCATCCAGGACAGACGGCCATCCCAACTCTGCTTAGAAACCTCCAAGGAAGGAGTCTGCCATCTTCCTCTTGCCACCAGAAAGTTGTGGGGTGCCTCAGGGTTCTGTCCTCTCCCCCACGCTTTTCAACATCTACATGCAGCCGCTGGGAGAGATCATCAGGGGATTTGGACTGGGTGTTCATCAATATGCGGATGACACCCAGCTCTACCTGTCTTTCAAATCAGAACCAGTGAAGGCAGTGAAGGTCCTGACAAGACAGAAGTACTGTTTTTGGGGGACAGGAGGCGGGCAGGTGTGGGGGACTCCCTGGTCCTGAATGGGGCAACTGTGCCCCAAAGGACCAGGGGCACAGCCTGGGAGTCATTTTGGATTCACAGCTGTCCATGGAGGTGCAGGTCAATTCTGTGTCCAGGGCGGCTGTTTATCAGCTCAATCTGGTACGCAGGCTGAGACCCTCCCTGCCCTCAGTCTGTCTCGCCAGAGTGGTGCATGCTCTAGCTATCTCCCGCTTGGACTACTGCAATGCGCTGTGTGTGGGGCTACCTATGAAGGTGACCCGGAAACTACAACTAATCCAGAATGCAGCAGCTAGACTGGTGACTGGGAGTGGCCGCCGATACCACATAACCCATAACAATGAAATATCTACATTGGCTCCCAGTACGTATCCGAGCACAATTCAAAGTGTTGGTGCTGACCTTTAAAGCCCTAAATGGCCTTGGCGCAGTATACCTGAAGGAGCGTCTCCACCCCCATCGTTCAGCCCAGACCCTGAGGTCCAGTGCCGAGGGCTTCTGGTGGTTCCCTCACTGCGAGAAACCAAGTTACAGGGAACCAGGCAGAGGGCCTTCTCGGTAGTGGCGCCCGCCCTGTGGAACGCCCTCCCACCAGATGTCAAAGAGAACAACAACTACCAAACTTTTAGAAGACATCTGAAGGCAGCCCTGTTTAGGGAAGCTTTTAATGTTTAACAGACTACTGTATTTTAATACTTTGTTGGAAACCGCCCAGAGTGGCTGAGGAAACCCAGCCAGATGGGCAGGGTAATAATAATAATAATAATAATAATAATAATAATAATAATAATTCCTGATGTTTAGTCCAAAGTCCCCCAAATAACCACTGGCCTGGGACAAACAGCAGAGACCCCCCACCTGACTGGAGGGCAGGGGGGGCAGGATCTCTCCAGCCTCATGGTTGTGGTCTCAGCTGCCAGGTCCACGCAGGGGCTTCGATTTCCAGCAGGTGGGGGGGGGGCAGAGAAGGTGCAAAAGACCAGAAGGGAAGCATACACCCCAGTTTAGTGCTCAGCCCCACCAGAGAGCAAGCCGGGAAGCAGCTATGCCAGGCTTCGCTGGCAGAGGGGCTGTGCCCGGAGGGGGGAATAGTAGGGCCTGGAGCAAGAGGGAGGGTCCTGCCCCACAGTGCCTGCTCCCTGGATGCAGCACGAAGGAAGAAGGTGGCAGATCATCACCTAACCAGGGGAAAGCAGACCCTATTGGCAGGGGAGACATAGCAGGGCCCCCCTAACACACACAAAACCAGCTGGGTGAGTGAGGGAAGGAGCGATTATTTCTGCGCCAGCCAGTTCCCTGACACCTTTTGTCTAAGATCCAGTTCCTTGTTCCGTCTGTGAGTCAAGCACCTCTTTTGCCTATTCTTCTTTACCGCAGTACGTGGCAGAGAAGAGCTATAGGGAGAAACTCCCTGGGCACCCCACCTGCAGATACAACCGCCAAGAAGCCGCAGTAGGATGTGCCAGCCAGAAGCCCTCTGGGCACGTGCAAAGAGCTAGCACGGGCCAACCAGAACTGTGTGTGTGTTTTTGTGGGGAGTTTATTGGGTGTGTGTGTGTTTTTGTGTGTGCATGCTCTCATGGGGTTCGGCCGAGGCTCACAGACCCTGCCAGGCTGGGAGGACGGATCTGTCACTCTCAAAGCGGACACTCTGGCTCTGCCATGTTGGGAGCTGTGCCAGCGGGCATCTTGCCAAGTGTGTGCCCAACAGTTTAACTCAGGAGCAGGCCCCCAGGCACTCGCAGCCTTGCACAGCCCTTGAAAGAGCCTTCCGTCTGGGGAGGAGCCCCCTCCGGAGCCTACCCCCCAGGACAACAATGGGGTGTGGGGCTTTGGCCACCTGCTTCAGCCCCTGGAGGTTCTCAAGGCTGCCTCTTCTGAGCCGAGCCCATGGAAAGAGGAGAGGGAAGGGGGCTTGCCTTTCGGGGGGGGCACTTCCATCTCCTCTGGGGCTCCTGCCCAGAGCAGCGGCCAGAGGCTGCTGCCCATCATCTCAGGTTCATGAGTTTGAGCCCCACGTTGGGCATTGTAGGGGGGTCAACAAGATGATCCAACTCTGTGATTCTGTGATCTCCATAACCCCCTCCCCAAGGAATGGAAGAACGATTTGAGCAGTGATGGGGTTCCTGCCATCTGATGGGGGGGCAGGCCAGTTTCTCCAGGGTGGCAGCAGCTGGCGGCTGTTTTGCGGGGCAACAGAAAGAGAAAAGCACTTGAGGAACCAGAGAGGGAGGCGCAGCCCTCAGCCCCTCTGTTGACCTAAGATAAAGGCAGCAGGGTAAGCCAAATACCAGGGCTCTCTCACTGGGGAGAGAACAAAGGCCGGCATATTAGGTTCCAGAGGACATTTTTGTGGTTGCCCAGGTGGGGGAGGGGGTGACCCGCTGGCTCCCTTTGCCGAGGGAGGGAGAGGAGGCATTGCTGCCGAGGGGCCAACCCTCTGCAATATGCAGCTGGGGCACCTGGATCCCCCTTAACCCCCCCCCAAGAGAAACCTGCCGGCAGGATCTGAGCACAAGAGCTCTCTCTCCCCCTGCCATATTCAGAAGCATTGCTTCCTCCAAGCTTGGAGGGTGGATCATGGCCGTCGTGGCATTGTGGCAGCCAGCCCTCTTCTCCTGCCCTCGCTGGGCCCCTGGAGAGACTGACCCAGCAGGCAGCCAGGCCCCCCCCCCCCGGCCAACTCCCTTCACCAGAGGCAGAATCCCAAGGAGGACCTGGAGGAGGATGAGCGCTCCTCAACCCCCAGGCCTCTGCACCTGAACTGCCCAGGCCTTCCAGCGAAGGTCAGTGAGGAGCAGCTGGAAAGCTACCCAAAGAGAAGGGGGCACAAGGGCTCAGTGCCATGGAGGCCCAGCCAAGTGGGCCGGGCAGAAGCACAGGAGCCGAGTCACAGAGCTGCCAGCTCCAAAAAGGGGTTCACTCCAGATGAAATCACCTGTAGACTTGCTGCCCTCAGCTGACACCCCCAGAAAAGACTTCTCCAACCCAGCCCTTGTCCTCTTCTCTTGGGCGGTGGACCAAAGAGCAGCAGCAGCAGAGCCCTGGATCAGGCCACAGGGCCACTGCCTTGTACTGGCTCCTTCATCCTTGCCACCCGGCTAGCCAGATGCCCCCCAGGCAGGGGGCTAGGAAGACCCCCGCCCCTGCAACACCTCCCGGGGCTCAAAGGCAGCCTATGGCAGGGGGCCGCGTCGGCAGGGGGCTGCCGGCCAGAGGCCACTGCGGGGCTGGACGAAGTGGTCCTCTCTCCGCGGTCTCCAGTCGGGGCCCGTCGAGGAGGCGTCGCATCTGCCCCCGGCCGGCCAGCCAGCCAACCTGTGGCGGGGTGGCTGCGGGAGAGGAGAGGAGCAGCTCGCCCGGGGGCTGGCAAGGAGGCAGCCCGCCCCGCTGGCCCCTCCGCCGCCGGCTGCCCCTCGGAGCAGCTCCCCGGCTCCACCTCCGCGGCCCCGCAGCCAATCCGGCGCGGCCGCCCGTCGGAGGAGCCTCTTCGCCAGCCGGACCCGCCTCCCGCCGCCTCCCGCCCCGTCTCGCCTTCGCTCGGGCGCCGCGCAAAGGAGGCAGCAGCGCCCGGCCAGGACGCGCAGGAGGAGCAGCCGGCGATGGAGCGCGCGCCCCGGCAGTCCCCCCTCCGCCGCCCCGCGCTCTAGACCCCGACGCCCCGCTCCCCAGTCGCCGCCCGGCCCAGTCGGTAAGTCCGCCGCCGAGCTGGCTGCTCCCTCGACGGCTCCGCGTTCGCGCTTGCAGCCGGAGTGTCTCCGGAGAAGCTGGCGGGGCAGCGAGCGGGGAGACTCTGCCAAGCGCGCCGCCCTCGCACGGGCCAGCCAGGAGTCGCACGTCCCGCGCGTTTTAGTCGCGCATCAGCCTTGCCTACCTCGCAGGGTTGTGGTGCAAAGCGAAGCCCTCCTCTAGCGGTGGGGCCTGACTCGCTGGCCGATGCCCAGCAGCGAGGGGCAGCTCGAAAGCCTATTCCGTGCCCCCCCCCACGGAGGACAGAGCCTGCGCTGGGCATGGACAAAGTCCCGGGTCGAGTCCCCAAGTCGGGCTGGGAGAGCGAGCCATGCCAGAGACGAGGGAGACGGACTCCCGAGCTCGGTGGGAGCCAACTTCTAGGGCTCGAGGCGTCTTTGCCCCCCCCATAAAATATTTGAGAGCCCTGGGCTCCCCCAAAATTAATGGGCATTGCCATTCCAGTGGTGTGTGATCGATTATGTGGGTCCCCCAATATTTTATTCAAGTTGGCACCCCGGCAGCAGCTCCCCTTGGTAAGTTGGCAACCCAGGCAGGGCCCAGGCTCCCTCTCCTTGGACCAGTGCAAGGGACCCCCCCCCCCTTTGCCTCCAGCTGCCGGGGAGCAGGAGTCCTGCCTGGCCTGGCACTCCTATACAGTGATCTGGGTTCAGCTCTGGGACAGAGAATGTGCAGAGTGCTTTTCCTCCCTTACCACTACCAAATTATCTCACTGTCATTCCCAGGGAGTATTCCTCCAAAAGCCGCGTCAGAAGCACATCATTTCTATGGGCCTCCATCGGGGCAGCTCCCAGCTGGATGGGGGCCTAGCAGTCATCTATTCTGCTGAGCTTAATGGCGCCCCAAATCTCACTCCTGGGGGGCAGCTGCACGTCCCCCCAGATGGGCTCAGTACCACTTGCCTTTTCCCTTCCCGCTTCCCAAGCAAAGCAGGTCTGGGAGAGGAACTCTGAGCCAAGATTCAGGAGGAGGGGGTTTTGGGGTGTCTTGGCCGGCGCTGGAGAAGGAGGCTTGGGAGAGCCAGCAAGGGCTGGCAGCTCCCTCACTGCTGGCGTCAGGCATGGACTCCGGGGGCCCCTACGCTGGGCTGGGATGAGAGATGTGGGTTGCCTCGTGGAACAAACATGTAGGAAAAGAGTCTGGCGGTCTTCCCTTCTCCTTGAGTTGGAACACCCTTTCCCGCTCTACGTTTGGGGGCTGGCTGGGCATTTTTGCCCTGCCCCCCCCTGCACTGGTTCCTTTCTCTTCTCCCCCCTGCCTTTTCCAGCCCCTGTGTTTATTTTCTTCCGTACTTTATGAGTGGGATTCTGGGAGGTTCTGTAAACAGAGTGTCAGAGGCAGGAAGGAGCTGTGTGAATGAATGACAAGCCTGGAAGTCATCCAAGCGCACCCTCACCCCGACCCGACCTGGGGTGGCTCTGTCACATCCGGCCTGCTGCAGGACTGCCCCCCACGGGGGCCGAGGGAGAGGGGTGCAGGGCCCAGGGCCACTGTGCCAGGTGCCAGCTACTCTCTCTGTGTGTGGTGCCAATCAGGAGAGATTGCGGGGGAAAGGTCTGGCTCTCCTGGTGTTGCCGGGGGCCAGGCTGGGGCTGTAGCTTTGCGAGTGGCCACTTGGGGGTCTGGTGCAGGGCATCAGGCAGAGGTGCGGCAGGGGGCCTCCTGCTCATAATACATGCATGTGTCCCTTGGGTGCTTGTGGGAAGGGCAGGGCGGAACGGACTTTTTCCTACTTTATGGAGACAGAGAATTCCTTATCCCTCCTTGAGGGTGGCAGGGAAACGGTAGCCTGAGACTTGGCTTGCGTGGGGGAGCTAGACTGCAAATGTTAACCTGGCCAAAGCAGCCGGTCTCTCTCTAGGAGCTGTCGTTTTGTGGGGCGCTGGGGGGGGGGCAGGAGTGGCTCTAGAGGTAGAAATCTCAGGTCTCAGAGCAAACTAAGATTCCCAGGATTCCTTGGGGAAATCTGCAGTATAGAGATACAGATACAGTAATGAATCTAAGGAAGAAATGTGTTTTGTTTGTAAAAAATGATACCGCCTCAATAGAATTAAAAAAAAATCTCTTAAGTGGTTTAGATAAAAAACGCAACAACGTTCAACAAATTATGTTTTGGAATTATTCTTCAGAAACAAAATCCCTGCTGCATTTCCCCTTCCACTGTCCACCTACCCCCCCCCCCGTCACCCCCTGGGCCAGTCAATAAAGGCCTTGGCATACTTTTCTGCAAGTTGGCACAGAATGCGCGATTGCTTCAAGGAACAAGCTGCTTTTTCAAATGCTACAGGGCTCCATGGAGCCACAGGTTCTGAACGTATTTCTGAGGGATCCAGGGCTTGAACTGGATTGTGCTCTCCGCTACAGGGGAAACTGAGGCAGGGCTGGTGGCAGCGAATGGGTTGTGTGCTCAACAGATGTGCAGCTGCTGCCCTGCCGCTTAGGGGCCCTGCATGTGTTGCTGCTGTAGCTGCTCAGGTTAGATACTGCGGGGTGGGGGCCGGGGGTCTGCAGGCCACGCATGTGCCACGGCTGGGGGCACAATGCCCAGGGAGGAGGGGAAGGAGCAGGCAGGGTGGCACAGAGGGACCTGAGGCTTGGTAAGCTAACATCCAATAATTTAGCAAGCCCAGCCCAACGGCTACAACAACCTGCAGCAGTTGCATTTGGGTGGTTTAAAAGAGGTAAAGATGATGGTTTGCGCCCCCACTATGTACCTTGTTAAGACAGACGTAAAGCTGGAGAGCAACAGAATTGTAGAGTAGAATGGGGCGCCCAAAGTTCATCTAGTCCAACCCCTTGCAATGCAGCCATCTCAACTAAAGCATCCCTGACAGGTGGGCAACCCAACCTATTTTCAAAAAGCTCAACTGAAGGATTGTCCACCACTTCCCAAGTCATTCTCCTTGCTCTTTATGATTACAAAATCAGAGCCCTGATGAATCACACTGACCACCCACTTAGACCAGCACCCTGTTTCCAAGAGGGGACAGGCAGGTGCCTCTACCCAACTCACAGCCAGGCTTGAAGGCAACAGTCCTTGCTTCCTCTGCTGCCCAAGCGGCTGGTGTTCAGAGGAATGCCACCTCCAAGACTGGCAGGGCCTCTGCACTAATTCACAGGGATCTCGAGGGTGCAGAGCCGACACCTTGCCAAATAAACCTTATAACTATCACTTTTGGGTCATGGCTCAGCGGCAGAAAGCTCTTCCTTTGCGCCTGTATGCGCCCCTGCTCTTAAATCCCAGTCAGGGCTGGGATAGAGCCACCCAGCGAGGCGAACCACGACTCTGAATTGGCAGAAGGCAACAGCTTCTGACTTAAGAGATAAATATGCAGTTCTGAAGCGAAGAGTTTTAATAGTACAGTCATACCTCGGGTTGAAGTAGCTTCGGGATGAATATTTTCGGGTTGTGCTCCGCGGCAACCTGGAAGTAACGGAGTGCGTTACTTCCGGGTTTCGCCGCTCGCACATGCGCAGATGCTCCAAATGATGTCATGAGCATGCACGGAAGCGTGGAAGCGCCAAATTACAACCCGCAGACGTGCAGATGCGGGTTGCGTTCACTTCTGGATGCGAACGGGGCTCTGGAACAGATCCCGTTTGCATCCAGAGGTACCACTGTAACACTCTAAAATCTGCTGCCTGCTTAATCAAGAAAATTTTTTTTGATGAAGAGTTGTTTTTAATCAAAGAGAACACCAAGAATATATATGTAAAAAGAGACTGCTGGATCAGGCCTGTGGCCCATCTAATCCTGCACCCTGTTCTCCTAGTGGCTGACCAGCTGCCCCAGTGGGAAGCCAGGGAGCAGAACATGAGCACATGGGCAACACTCTTTCACAAACATTGCTGCCTCTGTAGTCACTGTGGCGAGTGCCACCAATAGCCATCTCCTCCTCCATGAATCTGTCTCATCCTCTTTTGAAGCCGCCCAAGTTGGTGGACATCCCTGGTCTCTTACAACAAGGAGTTCCACACGTTAACTACGCACTGCATGAAAAGGACTTCCTTTTTATCTGTCCTGAATCTTCCAGTGCTCAGCTTCATTGGAAGCCTGTGAGTTACACCAAGCATAATTTTACACATTTCTGTCACGCTGCCTCTGAACTCCCTGCAATGGGAGCATATTCACCCAGTGCTTTTCCAGCTGCACTGGCTCCTGGTGGAGTACAGGGTCAGATTTAAGGTGCTGGTTTTGACCTTTAAAGCCCTTCACGACCTAGGACCCTCGTACCTACGGGACCGCCTCTCCCGGTCTGCCCCACAGAGGGCCTTAAGGTCCATAAATAGCAACACCCTAAAGGTCCCGGGCCCTAAGGAAGTCAGACTAGCCTCAACCAGAGCCAGGGCCTTTTCAACACTGGCTCCGGCCTGGTGGAACCCTCTGCCTCATGAGACCAGGGCCCTGCGGGATCTGATTTCTTTCCGCAGGGCCTGTAAGACAGAGTTGTTCCGCCTGGCCTTTGGCTTGGAATCAACTTGATCCCCTTCCCCTCTTTCCTTTTTCCTTTCTCCTTCTGTGATGGAACTCCTATTTGGGGACTTGCCTGGCTTTTTTCTGGCCCACGTAGGTCCAGCCTGGATAGTTGGCCTTGGGGAAGATTTGACGTTTTCATCCCCAAAAAGTTTTTGATTTGAGTTTCTACTGAAATGAGGCTGCATTTTAATGTTGTATTTTAATCTTGTTTTTAAGTTGTATTTTAATCAATTGCTTTTATACTTGGTGTTAGCCGCCCTGAGCCCGGTCTTGGCTGGGGAGGGCGGGGTATAAATAAAATTTATTATTATTATTATTATCATCATCATCAAAAGTCCCAGACTTTCTCACCTTTCTTCACCGCAGCTCCTCACAGTGCCTCCTGAGCCACCAAGTGACCCAGTCCAAAGTCAAAACAGGCCACCTTTCCACCTGGCAGCACCCAGCTGGCTCACCTGGGGGGTGCCCCTTCCTTCCCTCCCTCCCTGATGCGCAGCCCGGCCTCTTCCTTAGAAGCATCCCAAACCAGAAAGGCAGCAGCTGCCTCACAACATTGGAATTCTCATTAGTTGGTCCTTGGGGAGCAGCATTCCTGGCGGTGTGTGCAAGGCAGGAGAGTGTGCAAGGCAGGAGGGTGCGCAAGAGGTGCGCCAGCCCTCCTCCTCCTCCCACGCAACTGGCGCTGGCCGTGCGGAGCGGCTGGAATCAGTTTCTTCTTGGAAGGCTGGGCTTCCTGGCTTGCCTCCTCCGGAACACCTGAGGGGAGCCCCAACCGTCCCCCTCCCCATGCCTGCCAGAGAGGAACGAGGAGCCTGGGCTGCTGGAAAGATTGCAAAACCCGTTCCAAGCAGACAGGAGAGGGGAGAAGAGGAGGGGAAGCAAAGGGCCAAGGGGTTGGGCGGGGGGGGGGGGCCTTTCTGAGCTGCAGCGCGGCTCTGCGTTGCCCAGGGATTGCCAGAGAGCAGTGCCAACCTTGGCTGCCCAACTGATGCCCAGAAACGAACCTGGCAGAGGGGAAACAAAGGCAATGGGCGCATCTAGCCAACTCTGCAAGGGAACCGATGGGATCCTTGCGGACTTTTAAGCAGAGGCCAGGTGGCCATCTGTTGCAGAAGATCAAGATTCCTGTATTGCAGAGGGTTGGACTAGATGACGCTCAGGGTCCCTTCCAAGTCTAGAATTCTATGATCATGTCAGAGAACGTGAGCACAGTCAGAAGTCCAACAGTCTGTCCCTTGGTGCAGGGACTGGAAACAGTTTGACTGGAGAAGTCAGTTGAGCATCGACTTGCTCCATGGCAAACGACTGCCTGTATTTGCCAGGCGAGAGGCCCAGCGCAGAGAAGCCGGGAGGGAGCCCTGTGAGTGGGCAGCTGCCCAAGGAAGCCTCTGGCGCTGTTCCGAGAGGGCACTGGCACTTGCCCTCATCGGGGTGGATCCTGCCACCGCCGCCACCTCCCTTTCTTCCTGGTCTGGCGGCTGCTCGCACCAAACTCCAGCAGAGACGGCTCAGAGGCTGGCCGGCCTGAGCCGGACAATGGCTGCCTTGTTTGTTGTGCTGGTGAGAGGAACTTGCCATGAAGGTGAGCTGGCAGGAAGCGTGTCCAACAGGCACCTAAGAGGCAGCTCTGTGGCAGACTGTGGGGGGCCCAGTGTGCGGCGGAGGCAGGGGAAAAGGACCCCCAACCTGCCAGGAAAGGGTTCACACATGTGGCCCCTGCTCTTCTTCATGTTCCCCCAGCAAAAAGGCCAGGAGATTCCTTTGACGTGGCCTCCCCTGCCCTGTGCCAAGGGGCTGAGACACCTGGCTCTGTGTTTGCGTGGAGAGCCATTTGTGGCATACAGATAAACTGATGGTGCCAACATGGTCAGGGAGCCGTCCCCCCCCCCTTGCACAGTTCTCTTGTAGGAAAGGCAGTTTTAGAGGAAAAGTGAGTAAGAGGCAACGTGATTGTAGTTTATAAAATTACGCAGGGCGTGGAGAATGTGGACAGAGGAAAGTTTTCCTCCCTCTCATAACACTCAAATTCATGGGCATTCAGTGCTGGACAATTCAGGATGGATTCAAAAAAGTCCTTTTTCAGACAGCAGATATATATATATATAGAGAGAGAGAGAGAGAGAGAGAGAGAGAGAGAGAGAGAGACCAGGGCTCAGCAAACCTTTTCAGCAGGGGCCCGGTCCACTGTCCCTCAGACCTTGTGGGGGGCCGGACTATATTTTGAAGGGGGGAAATGAACGAATTCCTATGCCCCACAAATAACCCAGAGATGCATTTTAAATAAAAGGACACATTCTACTCATGTAAAAACATGCTGATTCCCGGACTGTCCATGGGCTGGATTGAGAAGGCGACTGGGCCACATCCAGCCCCCGGGCCTTAGGTTGCCTGCCCAGGCTATAGACTATGGAACTCCCTCCCACAATTTGGAGAGCTTTAAAAGAGGGTGTTGAGACAAATTCAAGGAGGACGGGGCTATCGATGGCTCTGCCCCCAAATGCTTCCGAATGCCAGTTGCTGGAAACCTCAGGAGAGGAGAAGAGGGCTCTTGCGCTCGGATCCTGCTTGCGGGCTTCTTCCCACGGGGGCATCTGGTTGGCCCCTGGGAGAACAGGAGGCTGGAGTGGGTGGGCCATGGGCCTCATCCGGCAGGCTCTGCTTATGCTCCCTGCCCGCAAGGAACTCTCTCCTGTACAGCACAGCGGAGGGGCCTCCTAGCCGGGCACAGGTGCCATCAGTGCCAAGGCCTCTCTGGTAGCAGAGGTGGAGCTGCAGCCCTGCCAACCCAGCTGACTCGCTGACAACCCAGCCGCAGGAATGCAGGTCGGCCAGCGCCACCCTGAGCTAATGACGGGTTACCTCTGTGTGCCTGGCTAAGGATAGCCTGGTGTCCTTGTGGCAGCTGTGGTCAAGGCCAGGAGGGAAGGGGAGAGGGGCAGGCGCCACTGGGCACCTTCTGTGCCCCACAGAGGGGTGACAAAGCAGGCTGCAAAAGGGGGCCCTGAACCATTGATACCCAAATAATCCTGAGCCATTGCGGCTTCCCTTGTGGGCACTGTGCTCTGTCCCGGGGGCAGCAGAGGAGAGCCCAGAGGCCCAAGAGAATTCAGTGGCTGAGCCCCAGGAGGATGGCCAGAGTGCGAAAGATGGGGCAGCTCTTGCGAAGGAGAGACATAAGGCAGAGGCAGCTCGCGGAACCTGTCCCTGCCAAGCCCCGAGGAGGAGGAGGGTGGAGATCCGCCCTGCAATTAATCCTGCGGCAGGCTTAATCCTGGCACTGCGGTGTCCCACTCCTGACCTGGGTTGAGGCTGCGCTTGGAGGAGCCGTAATTAAAGGGGCAGCAGCGACAGCAGACGTTACTCAGCAGCCTGGATGTGGCAGACACGTCAGCGAAACCCGAGCCCGGCCGTTTCCGAGCAGCATTCCAGCGGGCAAAGGCTGGTGCTGGGCACTCCTCCCAGTGCCCTCCCAAAGCCCTCCTCAGCTGCTGCTGCTGCCCTGGTTATGTGGCATGGCTCTTCCTCCCTCCCCCCCCATCCAATTCCCCAACTGGGGCCCAAACCAGTCTCAGAGGCTCTTTTCTGGCTCTCCCTGGGACCAGCACAGACCACTTATGGTTGCCACAAGCCCCAGGCTGAGCAGGGATGCCCAGTAGCCTTTTCAGCACTAAGCAACTTAAGCCGGACCGTGCTCATGGAAAAAGGGGGCATTTGGACCAAGCCATGCAGTAGATGAAGGACATACAGAGAAAGCCAACCCTACTCTTAAGACTGGGGCAACCACCCCCTTGGTGGGAGGGCAGACCCCTCCCCAAACCAGCCTGTGGCCTCATGTCTGTGTGTGTGTGAGGATGCACCAGCATGGGGTTCGAGTGCTGGTCCCGTGAGCGACTGTTAGCAGAATCAGGCAGGGGTGCCAACCCCCTCCCCGGGCCCAAATGTCTCAGGCCAGGCCTGCATGCAAACAGCGCCTGCTCCACTAAGTTCCCCTGAAACTGGAGAGGCTTCCATGCCTCCCCAGTTTTGCAGAGTGTGGTGCAAGCCTCTCACTGCAGGGCTCTGGGGAACCCCAGAAGCAAGGGCAGATCTACTGTGAAATAAATGAAATTAAAGTTTCAGGGCTCCTAATCCCAGAGAGACCTCAAAAGCGAATTCAGTCCATGTTGCTTATGGGTCTAGTAGACCCCATTTGAGTGGCACGACTCAAATTGATATTTTCCCCACAGCAGCTATTTCCGCCAAGTCTGAGAGTTAGCAGCACAGATGCTGTAAAGATTCTGTGTTGATCTGTTGTGGAACAACCCCACTGGTGAAGATAACAGGGGTCACCCAGACCTCATTGCTGGTGGCAAGGCTTGGGAGTTCCAGCTTCAGGGCCCCCCAGATGTAGCAGGGCCCCAGAAAGTAAAGTAAAGGGACCCCTGACCATTAGGTCCAGTCATGGCCGACTCTGGGGTTGTGGTGCTCATCTCGCTTCATTGGCCGAGGGAGCCGGCGTACAGCTTCCGGGTCATGTGGCCACATGACTAAGCCGCTTCTGGCGAACCAGAGCAGCACACGGAAATGCCGTTTACCTTCCCACCGGAGCGGTACCTATTTATCTACTTGCACTTTGACGTGCTTTTGAACTGCTAGGTTGGCAGGAGCAGGGACCAAACAACGGGAGCTCACCCTGTCGCGGGGATTCGAACCGCCGACCTTCTGATCGACAAGCCCTAGGCTCTGTGGTTTAACCCACAGCGCCACCCGTGTCCCAATAGGGCCCCAGAAGCAGGCATGCAAACCCTGAAATTCCTTTGCCCTTCTTGCCTGCTGCTCATGCATCATGTGCAGACGGGACTGCCCCGGCTGAGCGCAGCGAGGGCCCCAGAGCACACTGCGCACTGTGCCGAAAGGGAGAGTGAACTGGGAGAAAGGCAGCATTGAACACGGTCCCCCCCCCTTCCCCGACTCTCTCGCACGTGCAGAGGAGACCCCCACTTGGCAGCCCTCTGCAGAGCCCAGGTGTTTCCAATGCTGCCTGGGCTACTGACAGCCCAAGAACGCGGCCTGCACTGGGGGGGGGGGCATTGGCGGTGTCAAGGAGGGGCCTGGCTTTAAGGAAAGAATGCGGGGGGGGGGAGCCCAGCATGTGCAAGCAGAGCCTCTGATGTGCTGCCAACCGCAGAGCCAGCCCCCCCTCCCAGCCTGGGGTGGTGGGGGTTTTTTTTAGCAAGCGCAGGAGGGAAGCGTTAGGAGACGCCTTTGGTTCGGGTCCGTACATCTTGGGAGCAGATGCATCTATCGCAGCCACTACAGAGGAGCTGCGCATTCCTGCGGGACCCAAGTCCCCCCCAAGCAGCCAGGATTGGGGGAGGCAGGAGGCAGTGCGCTTTGCCCCGGAGGCCACAAACCCCACAGAGTTCATAAGGCAACTTTCTCGCTGCCAAGGGAGGAATGGCCTTGGAAGTCTCCCTTCTCAACACCACCAAAGGCAGAAGCGATCGCAGCTGCCCTGCGGATGTGAATACTCACATGGGGGGGGGCGCAGAGAAAGAGGATGCTTTGGCCAGGATCTGGGGAGCGGAAGCTGCCTTATTCCAGCAGCCTGTGACCAGGAGGGGTCTTGCCAGGGCGGGAAAGGACCCTTCCACACAAGCCCCATTCCTCAAAAACTCCCCAAGCAAAATCTCCCCTTGCAGACCTGCTCCTGTTGCAACAGCCAGCGGGCCTCTCACTTAATGAGCCCCAATCAACCACTTCCTTGTTTTTCCAATGACTTTTCCTAATCAATCCAAGCCGCGGCGATTAGGAGCAAAGCTGCCTTTGCAAGCGTTTGGGAAACTCTTTTATTTTTTTGGTCGTTCGCTCGCAACGCAAACACAAAAACCGCACAAACGCACACACGAAACCTGCACAGACAGAAGACCTGCGGGAGAGTAGAGCCCAGCAAGGGTCCTCTGTGGGGTGGGGGCAGTGGGTTGGGGGGCAGAGAGCGAGGCTGTCCCCGGGCCAGCTGGAAGGAACGGCTGAGAGCTTTTTGGACCCGGCTCCAGGATCCAGTCGACTGAGCGCTGAGCTCATCAGGCAAGAATGAGCCTCAAAGCCACAGCGGTGTGCAATTGCGTGTGCATGTGTGTGTGTTCACCTCTGCTAATCTGGCTCCAGCCTGGGCAGTGCACTGACCCTTCCAGGCCTGGCAGAGCCCCCCCCCCCCCGCTCTGCCGCCAATTAAGAGGACTTTCCTGTCTCAGATCCTGGACAACAAGCTCTCCTAATTAGTAATGAGCCCATTTTGAGGCTCTGATGGAGCTTCTGAGTTGCAGCAGCGCCTTCGCCTTGGCGCATGCCCAGTGGCTGCAGGGGGGGTTCAAGGGGGAGAAGGGCTGCTCCCCCCCCACACACCAGAAAGGAGAATGGAGAGAAAGTTGAGCCAGCAGCTCTGGGGTGATGGGGGGGGGGAAGAAAGCATCTTAGTTTACACTAGATCCAAGGTGGATTGGAAGCACGTATAGTATTTGAAGTGGGGGGAGCAAGAAGCTAAACAAGGGCCAAACCATTTTACTTTGGGGGGAAAGCCAAGTTTTTTGGGGGGGCAGAGGAGTATAGAATTGTGCACAGCATGGAGAAAGTGGAAAAGAGAGACGGCTTTTCCACTCCGTGAAAGTGAAGGCCGGGAGGAGAGTCAAAAGGAAGGCCTTATTGACACAGAAATGTAGAACTGGAGAGCGGGAAGGGACCCCGGGGGTCATCCAGTCCAACCCCCTGCAATGCAGGAATCTCAATGAAAGCATCACAATACAGCCGTAGCATTTCTAGTGTGCTTGTGTGCCAACGTTGGGAGGCCCAGCTAGAGAAGGCTTTACAGTGCGACCCACATCCTTGTGGAACTCACTGCCACAAGATGTGTGGATGGGGACTGGCTTGTGGGGCTTTAACTGGGGATGAGACCAATTCCTGGAGGGTAAGCCTGTCTCTGGCTACTAATCATGATGAAGACAGATAGGGAGATGTGGTCAGATAAAGAGATATAACCTATGGCATCAGAGTCCGTCTTCCTCCAAGTACCAAATTCTCGGAAGGGGAAACAAGGGGAGGCTGTTGCGCCCCAGTTCTGGTGCTGTGGGCATCTCAGGGACATCTGCCTGGACACGGCTGCAAACTCTGATCCCACCCCGCAGGGCTGGTTTTATGTTGCCTTCCTCTGGGGCTCAGCAGAGGGCAGGAGCTCAGGAACAACACTGTGGGCAGCTTGCAGAACCTTCTGTACTTTTGGCTCGCGAATTCCCCTCTCGGACCTTCACTGTGCCGGACACGCATTGACCCTATTGTTTGCTCCCTATTGCACTGGCTCCCGGTGGAGTACAGGATCAGGTTTAAGGTACTGGTTTTAACCTTTAAAGCCCTATACGGCCTAGGACCCTCGTACCTACGGGACCGCCTCTCCTGGTATGCCCCACAGAGGACCTTACAGTCTGCAAATAATAACATTCTGGAGATCCTGGGCCTCAGGGAGATTAGGCTGGCCTCAACCAGAGCCAGGACCTTTTCGGCTGTGGCCCCAACCTGGTGGAACGCTCTGCCACAGAGATCAGGGCCCTGTGGGATTTGACATCTTTCCACAGCTTTTTGTATAAGAACTAGTACGAAAGAGGCCTCCCGGCATTCTCACAGGCCCATATAAGATCAACATACACAGCTGGGTCTGATGAGCATTTACTCTTCCCAACCCAAATCCTGCAGAAAGCCATCTAATTCAGATTTTAATTTTATCCTGACTTGTTTTTAAGAGGTGATTTAATTATTGTTTGATTTTATATCAATGTTTATATTTGATGTTAGCCGCCCTGAGCCTGGTCTCGGCTGCGGAGGGTGGGATACAAATAATAGTTGCATTATTATTATTATTATTATTATTATTATTATTATTATTACAAGGCAGCCCTCCTGGGAGGAAGAGGTTGGCAGCAGCTGCCCCCATGGTAGATCTGGGTCACCATGAAATGGCAGCAAACTTCCCATTATTCAGTTTATTCTTGCGTTTTCACTGGGGCTGGGAAACCGGCAGTGGGCAGGAAGAAGGGAGGTTCTGCCGCAGGAGTCAGAATGCCTCCTTGCCGACTGGTTCATTGCTCAGTAAGGAAGTTGCCGCAGAACAGTTTCAAGGGGGTTTGGGGTTCCTTTTGGATGAGGTCCAGCAGCCGCCATAGGGGATGTACAGGGCTGGGGGGTAATCAGGGATGTTCTTTGACCCTTCTTGCTTATCCGTAGGTAAATGAGGAATTCCTGACAGTGGCAAGGAGGCTGCCTGGCAGCTCCCAGGAAGGGGGGGGGCTTTGCTGGCTCTCCCACCCCCATCCTCATCCCTAATCCTGACCGCGAACAGGATGCCCGGGAGAAACCGGAGAGCCCTGACCCTGCAATCAGGCCGGGGTCAAGCCCACTTATCTCCTTGCCAGCTAGACACAGCAGCCCCTTCAGGAGGCCTGGGCTGGCCTGTCAGCACCCCCCCCAGCACAGCTGGCTCCCATTACCCACAATGCTTCAGGCCAACCTTCGCCCCAGCAGAGGGGCCCCGGTCTGCCTTCACCTGACAGGTTAAGAGATTGCAGAAGGAACAAGAGGGCAGATGAAGGGGAGAGGGGGGGGAGGCAGCGGCAGGAGAGAGGGAGGCTATGGGGCACCCGAAGCAGGCAGGGGGAGGGAGAGCTCATGGGGGGTGCAGGAGGGCTGGCAGGAGAGGACCCTGCAACAGCTGCCTGCTCCACCCTGTGTAGTAAAGGGAGAGGAAACCTGCCCCCCAGCCCCCGCCATGCACAAACACACACCGGCTGTGGCTGCAGCTACCCAGGGAGGCAAAATCTGGCATCAAGCATCAAGGACCAAGAGCTTGTCAGTTGGGTGAACCCATTAAAAAGACATTTCAATTAACTAAAAGCCAATTAACTAGGCAGCGGACTTAAAACTCTCTGGGGAAGCGGTGGGCTTCCTTGGAGGATTTTAAGCAGAGGTTGGGTAGTCATCTGGTCAGGGATGTGTTGGGATTCCTGCATTGCAGGGGGTTGGACTAGATGACCCCTGGGTTCCCTTCCAACTCTACAGTTCTTTGAAGCTTTCATATATTTACGCGTTGCCTTTAGAAGAGGTGATGACGCCTGTACTGAGAGGATACCCTGGCGCAGGTAACGCACACGTGGGCATCATTTAAATATGTAGAAATATCCCCACCTGAACACAAATGTACTTGATTAATCTACCAATGGAAACTGGTACGCCCAGTCAGTTTGGCATTTCTTGAGCCGGGTCACACAGCCAAAGTGACTGCAGAGTCAAGGAGGGCAGCAGGGCAGGCAGGCCGGCCGACCAGGCACAGCTCCCAGCTTGAAAGGGCAGGTAGGAGACGTGGGCAGGATCAAGCCCAAGTCCCAGCTAGCCTCAAGAGCAGCCAGGCAGGTGCCTCGGAAAAGTTCAAACGCAGGGAACAAATGGCAAGGTGCTTTGTTGTTAAATATTTGATTTTTTTTTCCAACCTCGAAACAAATAACAGTATACAATACCAGTGCAAGACTGGCTTATTACGTAAAGCATTTCAACCCAGGAAATCCTGCCCAAAGCCTTTAACGCAGGACGGGCACACCTGTCCCTACAAAAAACAAAGCCGCTTCTCATCGAGATCTTTCCCCAAGCCCTTTGTCTCTCTCGGATGACTTCTAAGCTTCTCCAAAGGAGCGATTTGGCAGACCAGATCCAGTACCACCTAGCTCAAGGGAGCCCAGTCCAAGATTCCCACCGCCGGCTCCCTCGCTGCCTAGCAGCAACTGAAAGAAGTTGGCACGGAAGCTGTGCCCCTGCTGTTTGCCCCTCACCCCAGTGCCCTGGTATTCTGAAATCCAGCCTTCTTCTCAGCATCCATATGCACAGGGCCTCATGGCTGCTGAGGGATCCACATGCTGCAAATGGCTCTAAACCCAGCTCCCAGGCCCCCAGATGTTGGGGACTACAACTCCTGTCCCCTCCCAGCTAGAGGTGATGAGAGCTTCAGTCCAAACTTCAGAGGGGGCACCACGTTGGCTTCCCTGATCAAAGCCTTCGCTCTCCGCCTGTGGCCGGCCCCTGCCATTCGGCAAGAGAGGGAGGTGGTTGCCCCAGGCGGCGGCTGGTGAATGTCAAGAAAGGGCAGCAAACGGTTATTTAATTTAGTGGCCAGGTATTTTTTGCCTGCAGGGAGACGCACTTCTGGGACTTTGTGTCTCAGGTGCCAAAATAACTTGGCCAGCCTTGGAAGGTAGGGAGCTGCCTTGCGCTGGCGGGGCAGGATGCTGAGTTTGGGAAGCAAGCCTGGAGGAGACAGAGAGGGATGCGAGAACCATCTTCAAGGATCTCAGTACAGTGGTACCTCGGGTTAAGAACTTAATTCGTTCCGGAGGTCTATTCTTAACCTGAAACTGTTCTTAACCTGAGGTACCACTTTAGCTAATGGGGCCTCCCGCTGCTGCCACATGATTTCTGTTCTCATCCTGAAGCAAAGTTCTTAACCCGAGGTACTATTTTTGGGTTAGCGGAGTCTGTAACCTGAAGCGTCTGTAACCTGAAGCGTCTATAACCCGAGGTACCACTGTACATTGCATGGAAGAGGGAGCAAGCTTGGAACCAGTGGATTCAGGTTACAAGAAAAAGATTCTGACTAAACATCAGGAAAACGTTTCTGACAGATTTCTTCTTTCTCCTTCTTCTTTGGCGATCCCTCGTAGCCGAGTAAGATTGTCTTCCATAAACACGGTTTTAACAATGAGTCTGTAAGTTTCTGTGGAGGCCAATTCTGGATCCACATGTCCTTCCACAGTGGGGACATTGGTTTCTGGGTGGGAGTTGATCACGGTGAGGGTTTGCCAAGCGTGCCTTCCTCTTAGCACCTTTCTCCCTTGCGTCCTGAGTTTAAGTGTCTTCAAAGCCCATGACACGTTGGTCAAGGCTGTTCTCCAACTGGAGCGCTCGCAGGCCAGTGCTGTCAGTGTTTATACTACATTTTCTTAGATTTGCCTTGAGAGTCTTTAAACCTCTTTTGTTGACCACCAGCATTACGCTTTCCATTTTTAAGTTCGGAATAGAGCAGTTGCTTTGGAAGACGAAAATCAGGCATCCGCACAACAGGACCAGTCCAATGAAGTTGATGTTGACAGTAAAAGCTGTTTACCAGTAGAACAGACTCTCACAAGAGATTGTGGACTCTCCTTCCTGGGAGGTTTTTAAGGAGAGGTGGGATGGACATCTGTCATGGATGCTTTAGCTGAGATTCCTGCATTGCAGGGGGGTTGGACTAATGGCCGGTGTGAGTCCCTTCTGACACTATGAACCACACACTCTCCAAAACAGCCCAGCAGGGGGCTGGACTGGATGACCTTTGGGGTCCCCTCCCACTCCACAATTGTCAGAATTGTTGACACTGACTGGCAGTAGCAAGGAGTGTCCTTTGCCTCTGAGCCTGCCTGGTTCTGTGGCCCTGAGCACCATCGCTGAATCCTGCCTTATGGAAAGCATGTGCCGTAGCTCTTTCTCTCTCGCTCCCAAGTTCTGTCATTGCAAGAGGGGGCGAAAATGCCCCTCCCCACCGATTCCCTTCAGGAGATTTCTTCCCTGCGAGACCATCATCGGTCATCCTGCCAGGGAGGGGGCCCATCCCAGGCCTGCCCCCTCCCTCCTTCCTCCAGCTGCACATTCCAACCTTTGTTACCTGTCTGTGTGGTGCCAGCTTTGGGGGGACCATTCCAGAGCCCCCCCTTTGCCGAAGTTCATTAGCTCACTTATTAAAAGGGCTGACAGACATGCTGAGAAAGCATCAGCCCCCCCTTCCTGTGACCCCATCATGCTTTGGGGAGGGGGCATTCCTGAGCTGCCCAGGACCCACTCCAGCCTCACTCCCACTTCGGGGAACAAGAAGGGGAGTTTTCCTCTCCCTCTGCTCTCTCCCCCCCCCCCACTAAAAAATAGCAGGATTAAACCCATGCCTGGCTGAACGGCTGTGCTAAGAACACAGAGAGGAGCAGAGCCGGAATCTCAAAGATGTTGAGAGGACAGGCTCTGCCCCACATAATGGGGTCTGGGGGATCTCACTGCTCCCTCCTCCTGGGGTGGGCGAGGGTGGCAGCCCTGGGGGGGCGTGTCCCAGGCCAGGAAAGAGCAACTGATGGTCTCCAGAGCGAGCGGAGGAGCAGAACCACGACTCTCCCGCTTGGGCAAAAGCAGCGTTTCCTGCCCTGGGTGCCCGCCTGCACTTTTTCCAGCGGGAGAATTCACTTGGAAAGTATTGCATCCAAACACACAAGCTCATGCCAGGTGTTTTTTGGGGGGTGGGGTGGGGGGGAATCCACATGTGGGAGGCTAGATGCCTTCCCTGTTCAAACCCAAACCTTGCATGGCTTGCAAGTTTTGGGATCGCCTCTTCCAGACACTAAAGCACTTCCATGTGTGGTTGTTGAAAACAAATTAAATCTGCCCTTTTCCCCTTATGGGGTGTCCAAGAGCCCATAGAGAGTCCTTACGTAGGTTCCCTATTGGTAGGAGAGAATAACAGAGGCCAACCAGAGAATATTGAGAAGCAAAGCAGCTAGTAAGCCTGATCTTTATTGATCTGTTGCAACAGGATCCTCACTGACCCTATGCAGGAGGGAGGAGGAACCCAGAACAATGGTGTGCAAGCCCTTATATAGACTTTTGAAGTTGCCACCCTGTAGATCAAGACCACCCCCAGAAACATCATACCTACATCACAGAAAGGGCGATCTACAGCAGAAATCTGAGTGCTTTGTTTACCTCCTGTCTGCCAGGTTACCTCTTTAATGGTCACTTGACTGGATTGCCTGGGGAGCCTGGCCAGTCTTTTGTAATGATAAATACTTCGTTCCTGAGCCAGGTCAGGCTCACACCCTATTCATATCTTAAATGTGCCCAGGATTTGTGAGGATTTGTGAGGAAAGAGACAATGGGGAGGTTTCCCACTTTGACCTTGCAGAGAAAAAATTGAGGTCAGTTTGGGAATCAAAAATGGTTTCAGGTTGGTCTTCCTGTGCTGATCTATGTACATGCTTGGTTGGTACATTTATGAACATTTAACATATATCTAAGACCTCAAAATTCCTATCACAGGGTCCACTTGCAGGACTTAGCCCCACCCATGATGCAACTCTGTGCAATTCCTGCATTGCAGGGGGTTGGACTAGATGACCCTCGGGGCCCCTTCCAACTCTACAGTTCTATGGTTCTCTGAATCTCCATTCCACCAGGGCTCTTGATTCAGTCCCTTCCAGGGCAGTCTGCAAGCAGGCCTGGTATTCAGCACCTTTAAACCCGGCACTCAGCGCCAGCCCTGCTGGGATTGGCCCCGCAGTGGAACTGCACGGGAGCGAGGGGCGTGAAGCACCTCTACAGTCCGGCTGCTGGCTCTGACCTCACCTGGCCTCAGGTGATTGGCAGGTGCCCACCATGATCCACCTGTCCAGATCTAGATATGTCCAGCAGACCAGATCCAGCTCCTGACTCTTGGTCCACTTGCCAGAGAGGGAATTGCAGGCTGGGCAGGGGCAGAGAGAGGCATCCGCTGCAACTCTTTGGGAGTCTGTGGGATTCAGGAGCCTAGGAAACTCTCAACCCAAGAAAAGGGCTGCTCTTGAGATAGGGGAAGAAGCCAAACAGGAGTTTCTTTTTTCCCTTTTTCCTTCTGTGATAGAACTCCTATTTGGGGACTTCCCTGGCTTTTTTCTGGCCCACGTAGGACCAGTCTGGATAGTTAGCCTTGGTGAAGACTTGACGTTTTCATCCCCCAAAAAGTTCTTGAGTTTCTGCTGAAATGAGGCTGCATTTTAATGTTGTATTTTAATCTTGTTTTTAAGTTGTATTTCAATCAATTGTTTTATATCTGGTGTTAGCTGCCCTGAGCTGGTGAGGGTGGTGTATAAATAAAATTTATTATTGTTATTATTATTTCGTCACCCCTCTGGAGAGGGCAGGGTTCCTCCTGGGCTTTTGACAGTTTTGGGGGGGGGAGAGCCAGATCCTCATGGAGAGAGGGGAGTGCGTGTTTTCCTTCCACATCTCCCCCCTCTTTCTCTGCCCCCCACCCACGGTTTTCCGTCAGCAGCACCCAAAGGCCAGGGGTTTCCAAAAGTTTGCTCTGTTTCCCTTTGTTTCCTTGCTGGGGGGCTCTCTTGCACAAGGCTGTTCCTCTGCTCTTTTCCGGTGACCTTTGGAGACATGAATTGATGACAGGCTTAGGCTGACCCCCCTCCCTCTGAGACATTGCTAATATATACAAGGAGGAGAGACCGGTTACGCAGAATGAAATCATCAACTGGAGTGAGAGAGGTGGAATGACACTGGAGTGTTTTGACCAACGGCTGCCCGCCTTACAATGCGCAGAAAAACGCTCTGTGACTCCCCAGGGGCTTGGCAGCAAGGAAGCAAGATGGGTTTTCCCGGCTAGTCACAAGACGCCTCTGTGCGAACAGGGAGACGTGGCTGCAGTGAGACATGCGCCACTCCCTTTGGAGGGGGGAGCACATGAAGCTGCTCTTCTCTCTCCCCCCCCCGGGTGGGAGCCATCTCTGCCCATCACAGGGAGCAATAAATGTAAGTTGTAGAATTGCAGTGTTGGAAGGGAGCCCGGGGTCATCTAGTCCAACCCCTGGCGGTGCAGGAATCGCAACGGAAGAATCCCTGGCACGTGGCTATCCAACCTCTGCTTGAAAACCTCAAACGAAGGAGAGTCCATCACCTTTGGAGGTTAAGCACATTCCACTGCGCATACCACCGGAAAGCCCTTCTCAATACTGAGTCAGAATCATAGTAGTAGTAGTAATAAATGGGGACACGGGTGGCGCTGTGGGTTAAACCACAGAGCCTAGGACTTTCCGATCAGAAGGTCGGCAGTTCGAATCCCCGCGATGGGGTGAGCTCCCGTTGCTCAGTCCCTGCTCCTGTCAACCTAGCAGTTCGAAAGCACATCAGAGTGCAAGTAGATCAATAGGTACCGCTCTGGCGGGAAGGTAAACGGCATTTCCGTGCGCTGCTCTGGTTCGCCAGAAGCGGCGTAGTCATGCTGGCCACATGACCCGGAAGCTGTACACCGGCTCCCTTGGCCAGTAAAGTGAGATGAGTGCCGCAACCCCAGAGTCGGTCACGACTGGACCTAATGGTCAGGGGTCCCTTTACCTTTAAGTAGTAGTAGTAGTAGTAGTAGTAGTAGTAGTAGTAATTTATTATTTATACCCTGCCCATCTTGCAACAAAATATTAAAAATACAATAAAGTATCAAACATTAAAAACTTCCTTAAACATGGCTGCTTTCAGGTGTCTTCTAAAAGCCAGAGGGCTGTTTATTTCCTTGAAATCTGATGGGATAGTGTGGGCGCCACCACCGAGAAGGCCCTCTGCCTGGTTCCCTGCAACTTCGCTTCTCGCAGTGAGGGAACCCGCCAGAAGGCCCTCGGAGCTGGACCTCAGTGTCCGGGCAGAACGATGGGGGTGGAGAAGCTCCTTGCCATTTGGATTCATGGGACTGGGTCCAGAGCAGCAGAAAACAAGCTTCCTCCATCTTGCAGGGGGCAGCCCTTCGGACGTCTCTCCCACCCCCTCTTCCCTTTTCCAGCCTTGGATGCAGTAAGAACTCCCCGTATGCGGAGCCCTGAAGATGCCTCTGCCGGACTGAGGCCCCGGGGGCTTCCTCCTGAATGCTCCTGCCCAGAGCCAAACGCGGCTGGGGGGCTGGCAGGGCAAGGGCTCCCCCCTCCCCGGGCTGCGGGACGTCCAGTTTGCTGCAGCTGGTGGGGAGCAGTCCTGGGTGGCAGGCAGGAGACGCAGCGCAGAAGGAGGCTGGGTGGGGCTCCCTTGACTCAGCCAGATGGATCTACCTCACTTGCCTGACTCAAGCGATAGACATTTGGGGGCAGGGGCAGCCAAGGTTCGGCGCAGGGGCGGCAATCTGGGGCAGGCACCCCCCCTTCAGCAGCTTCAGAGAGAGCTGCAGTGCGACGACTACATGGGGCTGCGTGCCTTTATCTGTAGCTCCAAGGAAGGACGCCTGCTTGGCATGTAGAATGTCCCAGGCAGGGCTGAGAAAGGCTGCCCCCTATTCCCTCCCTGGTGAGCCTGGCAGAGGCGCCACATGCCAGGGTGGGCGGAAGTGGGGAAGAGTAAGAGATGCGGGTCTTTGAGCTGTTGGTCTGTTTTCATTTTCCTCCCTCTCCGTTTCGTAAGCTGACTCCCTGGTGCAAGAGCCTCCAGAGCTGTGGCAAGAGCTGTAACGACGGCCTGTCCTTTCCAACAGGGGGTTAAAAAATATAGTTTGCAAATCCACCTCGTGCCAGAGTTTCTGATTCTGGTTTTGCCCAATTATCGCAAAATATAAGCTTTGTCGTTTCTGGCATGCCCAAACCACAGACTTCATTCGAACCATAATTAAGCTTTCGATTAGGTTTGCCCCAGTAATGGCTTTTGACTTCCAAAAAAAAAACCCTCTCTAAACAATCTCCACTACTGGATATCAGCAAACAACTGGGAAGGAGAATCCATAAAAATTCTCTCAAGAATTGTTTAACTAGTGGTGTCGGCACCGACTCGTGTTAATCTCGGGGTTGTGGGTTCGAGCCCCACGTTGGGCCAAAGATTCCTGCATTGCAGGGGGTTGGACTAGAGAACCTTCATGGTCCCTTCCGACTCTACAATCCTGTGATCCTCTGATTCCCGTGTGACCCCTGGGTGTCCAAAAAGCAGGACGTTAGGCAGCACCAGGCGTCACCTGAGGACAAAGGGGGGGCAGGACGACTGGCCAAGGAGAGGTGGGACCCCCCCTTGCCCAGGTGTAGATTTTATGATGAAATCCACCACCCCCACGTTGCGCGAGACTGAGCCTATAGACAAATAGTGCGTCTTATAGAGCGAAAAATACGGTAACCTCCCAGTTCCTAAGGAACAGTAAAGGCAGGGGGTAAGAATTGTACACTACAGTGGTACCTCGGGTTAAGTACTTAATTCGTTCCGGAGGTCCGTACTTAACCTGAAGCGCCACTTTAGCTAATGGGGCCTCCTGCTGCCGCTGCGCCGCCGGAGCACGATTTCTGTTCTCATCCTGAAGCAAAGCTCTTAACGTGAAGCACTATTTCTGGGTTAGCGGAGACTGTAACCTGAAGCGTATGTAACACGAGATACCACTGTATTGCTTTGAATGGCGGGGGGGGGGTGTCTCACCAGAAACATGCCCCTGCCTTGCAGGAACTACCACAATCCCCTCCGGTGCCAAACCCTTGCCATGCCTCCTTCCCTGGGCACAAACCCAGTCGGACTCTGCCAGCAGAATCCAGCTGGGCTGCGAATCAGATTTCCAGAAGGACAGGAACTTGTGGGGTGGGGGCTTGCAGCAGAACGGTCAGAAGTGCCACCGTCCAACCCAGCTCTCTCTTTCCCCCGCAGGAGCCGCGCCATGAGGCAGCTGGCGCTCTGGGCGCTGCTGGTCCTCCCCGCCGGGATCCTGTCCCGGGCCTGCCCCTCCGAATGCCAGTGCGGCCAGCCCCAGACGGTCTTCTGCATTTCCCGGAGGAGCCACACCGTCCCGCAGGGCCTCCCCCCGGACACGGCCAACCTGTACGTCTTTGAGAACGGCATCCGGTCCCTGGGCGAAGACAGCTTCGCGGGGCTGCCGGCCCTCCAGCTGCTGGACCTGTCCCAGAACCTCATCGCCAGCCTCCCAAAGAACGTCTTCCGCCCGCTGGCCGGCCTCCGCAACCTGGACCTCTCCTCCAACCAGCTGCGGGAGGTCACCAACGAGAGCTTCCACGGCCTGCGCCTTCTCGAGCGGCTCTACCTGGAGCACAACCACCTGCAGCACATCCACCCGGCCGCCTTCGACTCGCTGGAAAACCTCCTGGAGCTGAAGCTGCAGGACAACCAGCTGCGGACACTGCCACCCCTCCAGCTGCCCACCCTGCTCCTCCTGGACGTCAGCCGGAACAAGGTGACCGCCCTCGATCCGGGCGCCTTCCGCGTCCCCAACCTTGAGTCGCTGAAGATCGCCGGGCTGGGCCTGGGTGAGGTGGAGGAGGAGCTGCTGCGGAGCGTGGCCGCCCTGCACGAGCTGGACGTCTCCGACAACCTGCTGCCCGCGGTGCCCTCGGCTCTGCAGCTCCTGCGGGGCCTCACCAAGCTCAGCCTAGCCGGCAACGCGCAGATCTCGCACCTGCGCCCCGAGGACTTCCGCGAACTGCGCAACCTGCAGGAGCTGGACATCAGCAACCTGAACCTCAGCAGCCTCCCGGGGGGGTTCCTCGCCTCCTTCCCCCGGCTGCGCGCCGTGGCGGCCGCTGCCAACCCCTTCAACTGCGTCTGCCCCATGAGCTGGTTCGTCAGCTGGGCCGCCAGCGGCAAAGCTCTGCTGCGGAGGCCCGAGGAGACTCGCTGCCACTTCCCGCCCAGGAACGCCGGCCGGCTGCTCCAGAGCCTGGAATACGCAGACTTCGGCTGCCCGGCCACCACCACCACCAGCAGCGTGGGCACGCAGAAGACTGCCGGCCCAGATGTGGCTGAACCTGCGCCCAGCCGCCCGGGAGCACCCAGCACAGCCGGCCCCACAGAGCCAACGTCGGCAACCTCGCCCACCATGCCAGAAGGCCTGCCCAGTGCGGAGCCTCGCCTCTGCCCGCCGGGCACCTGCCTCAACGGGGGCGTGTGCCAGCTGGATGCCCAGAACCACCTGGAGTGTGCCTGCCCTGTGGGCTTCACCGGCCCCTACTGCGAGACTAGGGCCCGGGCGACAGCTGTGCCCACTGCCGCCCGGGTACCCGCCCCTCCAGATCAGCTGGCCATCAAGCACGTAGGGGGCACCTCGCTGAAGGTGGACCTGCAGAACGAGGCCTGGTCGTCTTTGGAGCTGAAAGGGATTCGCCTGACCTACTGGAGTCTCTCTGGGCCGGACAAGCGCCCTGTCACCCTCCGCCTGCCGGCCTCTCTGCCCGAGTACACCGTGCGAGGCCTGGCGCCCAACTCCTCCTACCACATCTGTGTGGGGCCGCTGGGGGCCAAGGCGCACGAGGACGACCTGTGCGTGGAGGTCCGCACGTTGCACCTGACTCACCAGCAGCATGCGCCCGTCACCCAGGGCAAGGGCACCAGCCTGGCGCTCGTGGTGGTGCCCGCCGTGGCTTCCGCGGTGCTGCTTGCCGCCGCCGTGGCCGCTGCTTCCTACTACGTGCGCCGGAGGAGAAGGAGGAGGAGACAGGCGCACGCCGCCTCTGGAGCTGCCGGCCCGCTGGAGCTGGAGGGGGTGAAGGAGAACGGGGACCTGGGGGGCCACGGCCAGAAAGCGGCCCCCAACGGCCTGGAGTACGAGGTGCCGCTCATGCAGCCGCAGACGGCCAGCCGACCTGCCCCCAGGACCCTGCGGCCTTCCTACTTCTAGAGCCAAAGAAGGGGCCGAGCGAAGCTGGCAGCCGGGGGCGAAAAATCAGGTCCCAGCCTGCCTGGGGGGTTGCCCCGTAGCAACACGAAGTCCCCATAGGCGTTCCGAGCACAGCATCCCCAAGGGTGGACCCGATGCCGTTGGACTAGATGGCCGCTTAGGCATGGCCGCCCCAGGGATGCCCGGAGAGTGGCCAGGGGCCGCGGAGCAAGGCAAGAGGGCTCCATGTTCTGGCAACAAAGGATCCTTTTGCCGAGCCGGGGGCAAGCAGATGAAGGAAAGACCAGCAGCCCCTTCTTGAAGTCGGGGTGGGGGGAGGGGGGCACGAGACGGAGCTCTCTAGGGGAGCTTATCGGGAAGCAAAGCTTTATGGACGCTTAGAGAATATTTATAAGACAGGATTATGTCCCATTTCTTCTGGGAACAACTCTCTTTTCTAACACGGACGGAGCCTTTTTTTTGTAAAAACTGGGCTGTGTAAGCGTTTTTGTACAAAAAATAAAAAAAATTAAAAGGAAAGAGGTGTTTCTGGAGTGTGATGAGTGGGCAGAGGGGGGGCTCGAGGGTTGCGTGTGGCTGGGGTGGGGTCCTCGCCCCCTGCCATAAGGGACGGTGGCCGTAAGGGGGAGGTGGGGGGTCTTGCACTTGGGGAGGGTGGGCGGGAGGCTAAGGACCCCCCCCTTCACTCAGGGACAGGGGCAAAGACCACTCACACATGAACTTCCCGCACAGCGAGGGAGACACCCCCCCCCAAGACGGGTGCTTTAGTTGAGATTCCGGCATTGCGAGAGGGGGCACAGCTAGATGACTCTTGGGGGTCCCTTCCAACTCTTAAGATCTGGTGATTCTTATACCCTCCAAGTGCCCTGGTTTTCCAGGGACACTTGCGGAATTACAGAAGCTGTCCTGGTTCATGATTACAGTAAATCCCCGAATGTCACTGTTTCACCTTTTTCCTTTCCTTCACATCTCAGAGAACAATTAAAAGTGGAGAGAGAGGAGAAGAGAGGAGAGTCCTGTTTCTGCTGAAAATAAAATCCCTGCACCAAATGAAGGAAATGGTGAAGCAGCCATACAGAGCCCTTCCTGTAATTCTGAAGAAAAAGCCCACCAAACCACTTGAAATTCTTTCGTTGCAATGCTTCCACAGCCAGCCATTTCTTAGGAAAAGCAGCGAGTGCCGATTCCTTTATTGTAAATAGAGAGTCACACGGTCTACTCAGAAGCAAATCCCACTGTAGTCCATGGAGCTTACTCCCAGGTAACTGGGTCAAGACTGGGCAGCCTGCAGTCTGAAGCATTTTTACTCAGAACGAAGTCCCACTGACTTCAGTAGGATTTGCTCTCTGGTATGTTCCTGATCAATCTCACAGTTTCCATTTAGTATTTATTATTATTATTATTATTATTATTATCATCATCATCATCCGCTTTTTCCCCTGATGGCGACTCACGGCAGCTTACAGCTAAAATTCTATTTCCATTTATTTGTGGAAGGTGCACACGATTCCTTTCCCTGCACATTTTTCCTTTACAACAATCCTGTGAGGCAGAGAGGTTGCCATTGGCTGGAGGTGACCGATGTCGATGAGCAGATGACATCTGTCTGTGCCACAAGATCAAACGCTGGAGAAGCTTCCTGATGGGAGGACAGGGCGTCCCTATTTTATCTGAGAAATGTTGGCGGGTATGGATTCTATCTAGCTCAATACTGTTTACACTGGCTGGCAGCAATGGCTCTGGTGTCAGGCAGGGCACATTCCCAGCAGCCAGTGCCTGGAGACTGAACTTGGGACCTTCTGCTCTGCCATGGAGCCACAATGGCCGTTCCCCTCCGGACGCTGCAAGGACCGATCTGCCAAAGGGGGGCCAGCGGTTTCTGCCGGTCCCTTCCAGAAATCCTTGAGGATGCTCAGGAGGAGATGCTGAGCTCAAGAGGGAGTTTCAACACCTTGCCGGAGTCTCTAGGGCAGAGGTCAGCAAACGTTTTCAGCAGGGGGCCGGTCCACTGTCCCTCAGACCTTGTGGGGGGCCGGACTATATTAAAAAATGAACGGATTCCTGTGCCCCACAAATAACCCAGAGATGCGTTTTAAATAAAAGGACACATTCTATTCATATAAAAACACGCTGATTCCCAGGCCGTCCGTGGGCCAGATTTAGAGGGTGATTGGGCCGGATTTGGCCCCCGGGCCTTACTTTGCCTACCCATGCTCAAGGGCAGTGGTTCTCAACCTGTGGGCCCCCAGATGTTGTTGGACTACAACTCCCATCATCCCTGAGCTCCGGCCTTGCTAGACAGGGGTGATGGGAGTTGTAGTTCAACAACATCTGGGGACCCACAGGTTGAGAAAGGCTGCTCTAGGGCAAGGCTGGGAAGGACCCACGCCCCAGAGACTCGGGGCAGCTGCTTCCAGTCAGAGCAGGCACTACTGGGAAGCCAACCTCTCTTCCCCCACCGGCCTGATACAGCAACTGGAACGGGCACGGCTGCCTGCCTGTGCCCACACGGGGAGAGGGGGGTCACCCTTGGGCAGAGCAAGGTGTGCCAAAACGCCTCGGTTTCTTTTCTGCCAGAGCCGAGCCCAGGTCCTGTTGACACAGCTGCCTCCCATTCCAGACTCCTCTCGCCGGCCAAGAGTCCAGGGCGGCTTCCCTCTCCCCACCCGCGGCCGGCTGCGCATGGACCAGGCGAGCGCCACATGGATCTGATTAGACAGAGGGGCTTTCCAAGGCTGGATTGCACGGCCGCAGCCCCACCTAGCAGGAACGCAGCTCTTTCCCTGTGGCTGGGGGGGCAGGGAAGGGGGCACAGCGGATGCTCAAGATGGGGGGGGGACTTTCCTAACGTCTTGGTTCCAGGCACAGCCTGGGGGCGCTGAGCGCTGGGCAGGGGCGTCTTCATGCGCAAATGTTGCCTCTGCCACGCTCTTGTTAAGAGGACTGGCTGTGCCACTGCGGCATCGGTTCAAGGTATTTTGCTGCCCGAGGCAGAGCGGAAAACAACATCCCCACCCCTGTCAAGCATCAGAGTTGTGAATTTTGTGCCCTGTTCTGGTCGCCCCACCTCCAAACAGATACGGAAGAGCCGGGAAAGGTTCACAACACAATCAAGGGGATGATGGGAGGAAAGGATGTGGCATTGGGGGGGGGGGGAGTTGGTTCAGAGCAAAGGGGAGCAAAAGGCAACATGATAGGCGTTTGTAAAATCATGCCTGGCACAGGAAAATTTTTATCCCTCTCTCGTATTACTCAAACTCGTGGACATCCAATGTTGGACAGATAAAAGCATGGGTAGGCAAACTAAGGCCCGGGGCCGGATCCTGTCCAGTTGCCTTCTCAATCCGGCCCGTGGACGGTACGAGAATCAGCGTGTTTTTACATGAGTAGAATGTGTCCTTTTATTTAAAATGCATCTCTGGGTTATATGTGGGGCATAGGAATTAATTCATCCCCCAAAAAAATATAAATATAGCCCCCCACAAGGTCTGAGGGACTGTGGACTGACCACCTGCTGGAAAAGTTTGCTGACCGCCGGATAAAAGGAAATCCTTCCTGCAGACCAACTAAGGAACTCCCTGCCCCAGGAGACGGTGGTGACCACCACGTTGGCTGGTTTTAAAAGAGGATCGGTCAAATTCCTGGCGGATGAGAAGAGGGCTATCGATGGCTCCCAGCCAGGGTGGCTCTGCTCTGCCTCCACCGCCAGAGGCAGCGATGCTCCTGAATCCCAGTCGCTGGAAACCCCAGGAGATGGGGCTCTTGTCTTCGAATCCTGCTTGTGGGTTTCCCAACAAAGGCATCTAGTTAACCACTGTGAGAACAGGATGCCATTAAGGATGGGCTCCACCCAGCAGAGGAGGAAGCTTCTCGGGCACCTGGGGCGGAGTGCCCAGGGGTGGGGCGAACCGCCCATAAGGCTCCACACTGCCTGCCCACTGCCTCGCCCCCCCAGTTGTAGGGCGGCTGAGGCCCCGCTGCATGCCCTATCCCTATGGGCGCTGCATGCTCCGTGCCTTGCTGCCACCTGATGCCCATAGGGATGAGACGCACAGCAGGGCCTCAGTCGTCCTACAGCTGTGGGGGGAGGCCAGCAGACAATGCGGAGCCTGTGGGTGCCAAGATGCGTGGCTCGTGCACGTTGCCGGCTCCGTGGTGACGAGTGCAGCCTGTCATTTTGTCACCCCCCCATCAGGGTGGCACCTGGGGCGGTCCACACCCCCCGCACCCCCCTTCCTACGCCCCTGGCTCCACCTAGCCTGATCCAGCCAGCTCTTATGCTCTTCCTTATTATCAATATTATTGCTATTATGACTCATCAGTTGTTGCCTAAGGAGGCCTCCAAGCAGCTTACATTTAAAAACATAAACATGTCATTAAAAAAGAGAGAAAAGCCATGTACAACACTGACAGCTAACAGTAAAACATAATCGTCTCAGTCGCTCTAAGGCAAGCTTTCCCCTGGTACCAAAAAGACGTCAGTGGAGGTGCCCAGCAGCCCTCACTCTGAGAGTGTTTAACAGGTGGGGAGCTACCAGCGAAAAGGCCCTGCTCTCTGCTGCCATCAGCCTCAGAGGAAGGGCTCCGAGGAGGGTCTTGGGTGTACCCAAAGCCAGCCTGGCTATTGCAGTGCCTGAGGCCGAAAACCTCACAAGCGCCTCTCCTTGGGAGGAAGAAATTGCAAGAAGAAAGGAAGAACTTTCTGACAGTAAGAGCTGTGGGAAGTTGTGGACTCTCCTTCCTTGGAGGTTTTTAAGGAGAGGTTGAATGGCCTTCTCTCAGGGATGCTTCAGCTGAGATGCCTGCATTGCAGGGGGTGGGACCGGATGACCCTCGGATCCCTCCCAACTATGACTCTAACACGAGAGGCGTTGCAAGCCCAGCTCCTGTTTCCCCAAAGCCACTGGCCGCTTTCCAGTGTGGGCCCCTTGCCCTGCCCCCCCTTGCAGGACCAAAGCCTAGCAGGGTGCCCTCTCTGCTCCCAAGGCAGCCCCCACCCTGCCTGCCCTCACCTCTGGGCCTGGCACAAGGCGAAGGTTTCCTCGGTGTGGGGGGAGCCAGGAAGGGCTGGGGCTCGGTGGGCAGGCAGGCAGGCAGGCACTGCTCCCCGCGGGGTCTCGGTGACACGCTGAAAGGGCCCATTGTCGGCTTCCCAGCAGATTTTTCAAATTAGCTTCCCAAATTCCTGCGAAAACTGCTGCTGAGCAAATATTTTCCTTAAGAGCCATGTGGATTTTCCGACCGCAACAGGGAGGGAGATAAAAGCGCTGCTGTTACCCAGTGAAGGGCGGTGGAGAAGGAAGGAGGTGGAGGAGGAAGAAGAAGAGGAGGAGGAGGTGGAGGAGGAAGAAGAAGAGGAAGAGGAGGAAGAAGAGGAGGAGGAAGAAAAAGAAAAAGAAGAAGAGGAGGAGGAGGAGGAGGAGGAAGAGGAAGAGGAAGAAAAAGAGGAAGAGGAAGAAGAGGAAGAGGAAGAAAAAGAAAAAGAAGAAGAGGAGGAGGAGGAAGAAGAAGAGGAAGAAGAAGAAGAGGAGAAGGAGGAGGAGGAGATTTCTGGACAGACCTGCACCCTCACATTGCCAGGAGACTTTGCCGGCCAGTTTGAGGCTGTGCTAACAACAGCCTTGAAGGGTTGACAAGGATTTCAGCCCATGGTCAGGGAGGAGGGTCAGATTTGGGAGTCCACCCACAACATCTGGAGAGACTGCTTATCAAAATGCAATTCATATACTGCTCCCAAGAAGTATGAGTGGGCTGCATCGTAACAAATCAGAACACACTCTCTCTCTCTATATATACTGTATATATATATAAATGCAATTAAAATAAATCCACATTTTAAAATGGGGCGACACTTCTTATGCCCTCGTGCACGAGAAAATCCGGCAGGGAAGGCACTGGGGGGACAGGGGGCTCGCCCCCCAAGGACGAGACTTGGCAGCTTAGAATGACCCACAAGGCGCAGAAACATTGGGGGGGGGGGCGATAAACCAGCCAGGCTCTCACATGAGAGGGAGGCAGGGAGCCTCCACACACACACACACACACACACACACACACACACACACACACACAGGCTCCCCTGAGAGAGACCCGCAGAGCGAAAGACAGGGCAAAAACGGAAGCGGCGGCTACTGGTTCCAGGAGCCTGCCTCTGCGCCAGGAAAAGGCTTCCTCAACCCCAAATGAAACCCAAATCCCACTTGATGTCAGAGCCAAAGGGGTGGGGGGTGGGGGCGACTGCCGGGGCCTCCGAGCACAGAGGCAACGGAGGAGATGGAGGCTGGGCTTCCGGAGGCGCCTGCCAAGCCCCACACAGCCGAGGAGCTCTGCGCTCAGGGCAAGGAGCTGCCAGGCTCAGCCCCAAACGCCTGGCCGGAGACGCTGAGCAGCCCCAGAGCAAAGGGCATGGACAGGCAGCCACTCTCCGGGGTTCAGCCAGGATTCCTGTCCCAGGAAACGCCAGGGATCGAACCCAAGACCTTCTGCATGCGGGACAGGTGCGCTGCTGCAGAACTAAGAGGGTCCTCCCTGGTTTATTCCGCACTGCATCCTAACCCCCTTTTGACACCGGCTGCCATCTATGCTGGGTATTCTTAGCAGCCACCAGAAGGAGCAGTCCTGGTGAAACGTAGAACTATTGTTGGAAGGGACCCTGGGGTCATCTAGTCCAACCCCCTTGCGATTCAGGAATATTCAGGTGTCCCATGCAGGGACCAAACCTGCAACCCTGGCATTATCAGCACTGTGCCCTCGCCAACTGAGCTACGTGATTCCCTGTCGCTGCCACAAACACGTTTCCCTCTCAATCAGGGCCCATCTGCGCAACAAGGGGTGGGGCGGCTAGCATAATGTATGGATAGTTGTCTCCTTTTAAAAAAAGATATCTATTACACTTATATACCACCTTTTCTTCCAAGGCGCTCCAAGTGGCATACATGATTCTCCTCCCCGCTTTTCACCCTCCCAACAACCCTTCCAGGTCCTAGTTCAGCACGCTAACCACTAGGCCACACTGCTTCTACGGATCCCACACATGCAGGCAGGGAAAGTGAGTTTCCCAAGCACGAAAGCTGCAACTGCACAGGGACACCCCCCCCAGGATACTATGGGGTGGCTGGTTGTGATGGTGACCCTCTTCTTCTTCGACACAGCACCCCTCTCACACCCCCTAGATGCCTGCCTGAACCACTTTGTGAACTTTTAACATTTCTTTTTAAAGTAAAACCAAGTGTTTTCTTTCCAGTGGCCTTGGTGATCGTGCACCCCCTCTCCCAACCCGTTGCCATGGTGCAGTTGAATCCGGCCAGCACCGGTTGTTAAAAAGCAACATCTCTGAAGGACGGAGGTTCTGCAAACCTCTTATTTGCCTTTATTTTATTTTTTGCAAGTCCTTCTGAACACACCCAGTCTCTGGTCTGTGGCAGGCAGCCGCCTCCCCTCTCTGTCCATTGCAAAGGAAGCGCTTAGCCCTCAAGTAGCAGACTTTGAGCAAAACTTGCTGCAACCTCCTCAACTCCACTTGCCCTCCTCTGTTTTTGGGGCAGGGCAGGCAACAGCCAGAAGTGGCTTTTCCAGCTCAGTCTAAATCAGATCCTTATCACCAGCCGGTCTGGCATCTGCACTAATAGCCTGCAGATGATTAACAGCACTTGCAATCAAAGGGGGGGGGGCAAGGAAACTCAGAGGCCAGGGTTTAGTCCCACTTGCCAGGACTGCAGGCACTCTGGGCACAAGGGCTGAGTGAGATCTGCTTTTCAACATTGCGATGTATCACCACCTAAACATCGTAATATACTGATACAGCACCATGTCTGAAATTACGATGGAGCTATGGAGAGGAACTGGCTGGCTTCATGGTTTTTCCTGCATCGTGATTTTGACACACAGCATGCACCCCCCCCCCCATGATTTGCAATATATTGCCTGGTCAGTAATAATAATAAAATTATTTTTATTATTAATGCCCCACCCATCTGGCTAGGTTTCCCCCGCCACTCTTACAGCATATGTAGAGCATAGTAAAATATCAAACATTAGAAACTTCCTGATCCAGGGCTGCCTTCAGATGTCTTCTAAAAGTTATGCAGTTCTTAATCTTGACATCTGAAGGAGGACATTCCAAGGGAGAGCATTGTGAAACCGTTATCACAATATGCACTTCAAACCGGTTTTAGACGATATATCACCTAACTCTAACACACATCATGATTCACGATATATCGTCCGGTCAAAAACTATGGAACCAATATCACAATACCGGTTTGGGACAATATATCACCCTGGCCCAAAAAAGGCTCCATTGGGGCTGCAGAACTTTATGCGAAAAGAGGCGCCCTTCTCAGGGCAGGCCTCATCGTGAAACAACACAAAGCAGTTGCTTCTGTCCACGGGGCCACATTACGGCTTCCCCTCTGCCATCGCCATGTGCTGGGAAAGCAAGCGGAGTCCCAAGGGGGACAACTGGGATTGTTGGCTTTTGGCACAAAAGCATCCAAGGCTGGTGGCATCAAACCTCCTCCCAGCAACTCTCCTCAGCACCCCAAATCCCAACCCCAGAATGTTGCTGGAGAGCTTGAGGGTATCAGCCGTTTCGCTTCTTGTGGTGGCCAGCCGAAGGACCGATGTGCACCCCTCCCCAGACCATGTCCTGGAAGCATTTGTGCCGCTTCCTGCGCTGCCCGGGGCTCAGTGGGGTGGGCCTGACCTCCCCACTGCTTGGCTAAGAAGCAGCCGCCAACCAGCTGGAAGCACTTAGCTGCCGAAGCCGCCACCTGATGCCGCGCTCATGCCCGTTAATTGCAGGAGGCCCCTCAAGGGCGAGGCCAATTCGAGGAGGACAAGGTGCCGGAGGATGCCCGGGGGTGCAGCAGCCGGAAATGGGGATCTCTGCGTTCACAGCGCCGGATGAGGCCCAGCGAGGGCCAAGGAGGCAGCTGGCTGGCCCTCGTGGAAGACAGCCGGGCACCTTTCCCCAACCCAGGCTGGCTCCTCAGGCATTTTGGACTGCAAGTCCCACCAGCCCCAAATAACAGCCTGGTGGGAGTTGTAGCGTGACAGCTCCGGAAGGACTCAGGGAAGGGCTGTGGGGTCTCATGGAGAATCTCTGTCATCTCTAGGTAGGCCTGGGCAAAACTCCTCTCGGAGTCCCTCCTTCAAATACAGGACAGGGACCAGTTGTAATCTATCCCCCTGATGCACTGATTGTCTCCATTTTCTTTGCATCTGCAGGCAGGAGCCATCGAGATATCAACCTCCACACACACTCCCTGCAAAGAGGATTTCTCCCCCACGGAGACCGCAAATAGGACACCAACATCATGGCTATTTATGTTTTGTTTGGGCCAGTGGTAAACTACAAAAAAAAAAAAAAAAGTGGAATTGAGAGTAGAGAAAGCAATGCCATTTAGAGAGAAATGAGGAAGCCTCTTGTTTTTAAGAACGAGTGGAATATTTTTAAAAGCAATGGTTCAGAACAATATTGGCCAAGGGGACTCAGGCTGCTGTAATAAGGCTAGAGGCAGCCAAGGCAGCGTTGCTAAGAGAGGTCTGTCTGGATTGCAGCTGCGTTTGCGATAGCCAGCCTGGCTCAATAAAAGCACAAAGGCGAGAAGTAAATATTCGGAATGACGTGTTTTAATTCCCCCACCCACAAAATTCCCATCCACGCACACACTGGAAACCCCCCAGAAATTTTAGATTTCCAGGTGAGCCCAAGTCTCCAAGCCCCTTCACTGGAAGTTTATAAATGTGGCTGTTCCCTTCTGGCTATTACCAAGGTCCTTCCCCACTGCCAGTGTGGTGGGGGCCATTTCCAGCAAGACCCCACACTCCACCCCCCTTCTCCTGCCATCCACTCTCCCCGAGGAACGCCGCACAGCACTCTGCACATTGGCAAGATGGAGGGTGGGCAGAGGAAGGAGACCGAGATGCTCCAGGGTCTGGGAGCCCAGCCTTGTGAGAAACAATGGAGAAGGTTGGGTATGTTCAGCCTGGAGAAGAGGAGATGGAGAGGGGAGAGGGGAGCCACCTTCACATCCCGAAAGGGTTGTCACATGGAGAATGGAGCGAGCTTGTTTTCCCTCTGCTCCAGCGGTGAGGACCCCAAACCGATGGAAAGGAGGTTCTGACTAAATATCAGAAATAACTTTCTGATGATCGTGTGACAGCACAGGGAGCGCGGTGGGTGGGTAGGCGGACTGTGAGCACGTGATCTGAAAGGGGGAATGTTGGCTTTTCCCGAACGCCGGTGCGCGTGTGCGTTTCCTCAGAGGTCGTCAAGATGGCGGCGAGGGCACTGGGACTTATGCGAGATGATACAATGTATGAAAATGAAGATGTGAAAGAAGCGATAAGGAGACTTCCTGAAGATGCATGTAATGAGAGATTATTTCGCATCAAGAGAGCGCTGGACTTGTCCATGAGGCAACAAATTCTCCCGAAAGAACAGTGGGTAAAATATGAAGAGGACAAACATTATCTTGAGCCATATTTGAAAGAGAAGAGTGGGAAAAGAAATAGCTGCTGCTGCAGTGCACTTCAGAAAAATGTTTTCTGTTAAGTTTTAAATTATTTTGTTCAGGTAGGGGTCTACTGAGAAAATCTGGGTGTGGAGAAATCTCATGTAAATCTTTCCTCACTTAATATTCTTCCACCTAAAACAAACATTACCAAATCTGAAAAAAGAAGAAAAAAAGAAATAACTTTCTGATGGAAAGAGCTGTTGGACAGTGGACTGGACTTCCACAGGAGGTGATGGTCTCTCCTTCGTGCCATTTCAGATGATAACAGGGGGCTTTTCAACAGAGGTTGGGGAGCCACCCGACAGGGATTCTCTGGTTGCCATTCCTGCATTTCCGGGGGTTGGGGTCCCTTCCAACTCTAGGAAGAGTCAAGGCCAGACCAGGGCTGTGCCCTGTTGTAAACAAAAATCTGCCCTTTTTCCCTTATGGGGTATCCAAGAGCCCATATAGAGTCCTTACATAGGTTCCCTATCGGTAGGAGAAAACAACAGAGGCCAACCAGAGAATATTGAGAAGGAAAGCAGCTAGTAAGCCTGATCTTTATCGATCTGTTGCAACAGGATCCTCACTCACCCCATGCAGGAGGGAGGAGGAACCCATAACAATGGTGTGCAAGCCCTTATATAGACTTTTGAAGTTGCCACCCTGTAGATCAAGACCACCCCCAGAAACATCATACCTACATCACAGAAAGGGCGGTCTACAGCAGAAATCTGAGTGCTTTGTTTACCTCCTGTCTGCCAGGTTACCTGTTTAATGGTCACTTGATTGGATTGCCTGGGGAGCCTGGCCAGTCTTTTGTAATGATAAATACTTAGTTCCTGAGCCAGGTCAGGCTCACACCCTATTCATATCTTAAATGTGCCCTTAAGACAGGATTTGTGAGGAAAGAGACAATGGGGAGGTTTCCCACTCTGATGTTGCAGAGAAGTAATTGAGGTCAGTTTGGGAATCAAAAATGGTTTCAGGTCGGTCTTCCTGTGCTGATCTATGTACAGTGGTACCTCGGGTTAAGTACTTAATTCGTTCCAGAGGTCCGTACTTAACCTGAAACTGTTCTTAACCTGAAGCACCACTTTAGCTAATGGGGCCTCCCGCTGCTGCCGCGCTGCCAGAGCATGATTTCTGTTCTCATCCTGAAGCAAAGTTCTTAACCTGAAACACTATTTCTGGGTTAGCGGAGTCTGTAACCTGAAGCGTATGTAACCCAAGGTACCACTGTACGTGCTTGGTTGGTACATTTATGAACATTTAACATATATCTAAGACCTCAAAATTCCTATCACAGCCCTCCTTCCTCTCAACCCCGCTCCAAACCCATTCACTGCAAACAGTCCCCTCTGTGTGCTGAGGCACCCCCAGAGCACGGTCGAGTCCAGGACGTGCCAGGAGGAAGGGGGCCAGGAGCACTGCTGGGGAAGGACGCTTCCCAAAGCGAATGGCTCAGCCCTTCTTGCACAACTTGGCCGTTTGCGCCAGCTGTGGGCTGCAACACACACACACACACACACACACGTGTGCCCCTTCATGAGCAGCCTCCCCACCTGCCCTTGGCCCCTCTTGCAACCACACCAGCCCCCCTCCCCCAGCATCTGCTACTAATTAACCAAAAGGAAGGGAAACTGGCTCCCTGTTTGCTTCGGTCCACGAGGCAGGGGTCTCTGCTCTCTGCTTGCCCACCAGGCTTTCAAAATCCATCTCAGATGAGATCAGGAGAAAAGCTTGTGGGGACTTCCAGAGTGGACGCCCGCCCTTGCCGGGAAACAGTGATGCAGCCCAGGACGTGCCCCCTGCGCTCTCCCTCCCCCAGCCCTGAGAGAGGCTCCTGTGTGTCTGGAGGACAAAGCACGTTTGCGCTGGGACCCCTCAGCCAGGTCCTGGTCGCCACACAGGCCAGGACCCTCTGCTGCTGCCCCACACGGGCCGATGAGCACGAAGGGACGGGGCACTGCGCACTCCTGCGCCACACCAGCTGCTTCAGCAGTTTCGCTGACCCCCGGCGGCCGCAGAGCACGGAAGCACAGAATGAAAGGCTTTCAGCCCCACAGTTTGCTCTGCAAACAGCCCCCCAGAGGACTCAAGGGCCATTCATGCGGTGTGCTTGGCAAGACGGAGGATGGGAGGGGGGCTTTGGAACAGGGCTTGGCAACAAGGAGGGGGCGAGGCAGATAGAGAAAGAGGCAGGAGAGAGAGAGAGGAGAGAGAGAGAGAGAGAGAGGCATTTGTCTTCAGAGCCAGGGCAACCATTCTGCGCACATCCCCAAGCCTCATGTAAGAACCTAGTAAGAGCCTACTGGATCAGGCCCAGGGCCCATCTGGTCTGGCATCCTGTTCTCACAGGCGCTAACCAGATGCTGCAAGCAGGATCCCAGCACAAGATCCCTCTTCACCACTCCTGCCGTTTCCAGAAACTGGGATTCAGAAGCACTGCTGACTCTGACTGTTGGAAGCAGAGCCGAGCCATTGATAGCCTTCTCCTCCTCCATGTTGGTCTAATCATCTTCTACAACAGGCATAGGCAAACTCGGCCCTCCAGATGTTTTGGGACTACAACTCCCATCATCCCTGACCAATGGCCCTGTTAGCTAGGGATGATGGGAGTTGTAGTCCCAAAACAGCTAGAGGGCCAAGTTTGCCTTGTGCCTATTCTAAAACCATCCAAGTTGGTGGACATCCTTGCCTCCTGGGGGGCGTGTTTGAGTTCCACAGTTTAACCCTGCCCTGTGTGAAGAAGGACTTTCTTTCGCCTGCCCTGAATCTTCCCACATTCAGCTTCTTCAAATATCCACGACTTCCAAAGTTAGGAGAAAAATCGTTCTCCATCTACTTTCTCCATGTCACAAATAATTTCACAACATTCCATCATGTCACCTCTTACTTTCTTTTCTTCCACCGCCCCCACCCAGTACAGCAGAAGGAGGGCAAAGGAGGCACTTCCTGGGCACAAGGAGCTCCAGGTTGGGAGGGAAGGGGCACCCCAGTAATTTGCCCGGGGAGACAGCAGAGCTCAGCCCACCTTCCAGCACTGCAGGCAGGCTGCTAGCTGCTCTGGCACCCGGGGAGGCGGGGTTGGGGCGAGCCACCCAGGGGGGCAGCGTAGCGAACGGCCCACGTAGTCCGCCTGGCGGACGCAAGCCCCACACTGCCGTTTTGGGCAGCACTGGGCCCTGAGCCACCACATCACTCTCAGGAGAGACTAACAACAACAACAATTTATTATTTGTACCCCGCCCATCTGGCTGGGTTTCCCCAGCCACTCTGGGCCGCTTCCAACAAAAATTAAAAATAAATTAAAGTGTCACACATTAAAAACTTCCCTGAACAGGGCTGCCTTCAGATGTCTTCTAACTGTTAGGTAGTTGTTTATTGCCTTGACACCTGATAGGAGGGCGTTCCACAGGGCGGGTGCCACTACCAGGAAGGCCCTCTGCCTGGTTCCCTGTAACTTGGCTTCTCGCAGGGAGGGAACCACCAGAAGGCCCTCGGAGCTGGACCTCAGTGTCCAGGCAGAACGATGGGGGTGGAGACTCAGGCAAGCTGCAGGCCAGGACCCGGGGTAAGTGCCGCCCCCCGAGGTGTGCCATTTTGCCACCCCCTCGAGGGTGACACCTGGGGCAACCCCCACCCCCCACACTGCCCTTCCTACGCCCCTGACTGCAGGAACAGTAGCAGCAGCTAATCCAGGGTCTGTGGTTGCCCAGAAACGGGGCAAATTGGTTTCCCCCCTTAGGGGCTCACTTCTGCTCACTTTCCCTTTCCAACAGAAAGTGTGTGTGTGTGTGTGTGTGTGTGTGTGTGTGTGTGTTGATCCATATTTTGCATATCACAAGTCCAACCAAGCAGCCCAAAGCCCTGTGAGCGACTCATCTCGTTTCCAAGAGCTTGAAGGAATGGAATCTGGACGCGGAACAATACGCCTGCTGGATCGTGTTGCTTGCTCAGGAGAAGCCCCCCTTGCGCAGAGGAGGCGGAAAGCAGCGCAGGAGCAACAGGGCTCCTCGTCACCCCCCCAAGTCCCTCAGATCCTCTCCCGCTCCCCTCCTTATCAGGCTGGGTCCCAACGATACGCGGGGGTCACCTTCTAACCCCGACGCAGCAAGGCAGGCCGATAAGAGAGGCTCACAGCAGCCGCCAACCACATTCCTCTCCCAGCGGCGGCGGAGGAGATAGAGTCCCCCAGCCAAAACAAGCCAGCCGCCTGGAATCAATTTACTCCCTCGCTCGGGGTTGCTTGCAAGGAGGAAGAAAGGAACAGCAGCCGCCCACCTTGGCAAGATCCTCGCAGGCCCTGCTGCAGCCAGGAAGGGGGGGTCTGTGCAGAGGGGGGGCTCTCTCTGCCTCTCTCGCCAAATGAGGCCTCCTGCAGCACCCCCAAGAAGCTGCAGGTCCACATGGACTGACTCATCTGCCCAGAGAGAGTGGGAGAAAAGAGGCTGGAGGCGATTCTGACTCTCCACAGGCGACCAGCCACCCCAGAGACACGTGGAAAGATCGCAGAAGACCAGAGCGTTATTCAAAGTGGGGAGGGGGAGACACCCCACCTCCTGATTTCCTGCCGGGCATCGTGCGGAGACAGCACTCATTCATTCCTTCGTTTGTTTGTTCGTTCTTTCCCAATATTTATACACCACCTAATGGCAAAAGTCCTGTGGGTGGTTCGCAAGTAAAAGATCGAAAGCCATAAAATACTCTAGGAAACTGAACTCTTGCACAAGCAGAGGAGGACGTCAGTACAACGAACGCAAAAAGCAGTGGGGGGAAATTCTGACGAAAAATGCCTTCATCCGGCACCTAAAAGAGGTCATCGTGCCGGTGCTATGCACCTGGGGGTGCCAACACTGGAAAGGCCCTTCTCTGGAGTAGCCAGCCTCATGCATTTCATATCCGAAGGAAACACGCCTGGCCTGGCCTGGGGTCAGTGGCAAGTGCTGAAATTGGAGAGACCCCCTTCTATCCCAGGAAAAGGTCCTCGCTTTCTGCCTTCCAGGCAGCCAACAGATGCATTCGCCCAACATGCAGGGACAAAGCAACCTCAAAGAGTCCTGTGGGTTGTTGCATTCAAAGCCTAGAAAGCTCCGACGGGTTAAAGCCAGAGGTTCCCAAATTCTTTTGGGCCACCGCCCCCTTGGCTCCTCTGCCCTGTAAAAAGCCTTATTCAGAACGGCGGTTTGCACAACCCACAAAGGAAGATAGCAGCACAATCAAATTCAGAACAGTAACAGCCGATTGCTCGTTTATTCCAAATCCAGTTGAGACAATTTAGTTGGATGAGTTCAACAAAATGGGTGGACGTGATTGAGGGGCACCAGCTATTGGAAATCTGATGAGCATTTACCGTATTTTTCACTCTATAAGACGCACTTTTTCCCTCCTAAAAAGTAAGGGGAAAGGTGTGTGCATCTTATAGAGCGAATGCAGGCTGCGCAGCTTTCGCTGAAGCCAGGAGAGCAAGAGGGATCGATCCCTCTTGCTCTCCTGGCTTCGCTTCTCTGGAGAGCCGCTGCGCAGAGAGGGAGAGACCATGTTTTTCCTTGTTCTCTTCCTCTAAAACTGGGTGCGTCTTATGGTCAGGTGCGTCTTATAGAGTGAAAAATACGGCATTTGCACTGCCAGTGTGCCCCCCCAATCCCTTGCCTCTTGTCATCCCCAAGTCACCCCACTTCCTCCCAGGAGGGGTCATATTGACACTTAGAGTTAGCACCGGGTTAAGCACACCCCTGTTCTGCCTCCAAGGCTAAACAACAACCCCCCCTCACCCCCACAGTGGCAACTCCAGCCGAACAGCACCCCCAAAGGCCACGCCCGTTCCCAGCCCCCTGCCTGCCCCCTTCGCCTCACTGGTCTTACCTGGGAGATGCATCTAGGGTGATGGAGGCCAGAGAGTTGTCGAATCTCCTCATGTCCCAAAGCCTGACTTCACGCTCCCGCACCTGGAAAACAGGCAGGATGCTGGTCTCTGGCAACCAAAAACTCCCCACTTGGCTCCTTGCTAAGTTGCGATTCCTGCATTGCAGGGGGTCAGGCTGGATGACCCTCGGGAACCCTTTACAGTTCTATGAAAGCTAACAAGAAAGAGGCAGCTCCTCCACCCAGGGGTTGGCTTCCTCCAGATGTTCTGGCCCACAACACCCAGCCAGCGCCGCCCTGTAGACCGAAACATCTGGAGGGTACCAAATTTGGGGAGGTTAGCCTTTAGCTTCATTTCAATTGGCTGTGCTGACCAAGACGCTAGTCCTCAGGCCCTGTGTGTCAGCTCTGCGCCAGAACCGCCAGGTAGAGCACGCATCTCAGTTCCTGTCTGCTCCAAGCCCACAAAGCAGAGTCTTTGCTCCCACCTCAGCTCATTAGCCAGCACTAATTTTCCTCTTCGTGATTTCATAAAGGTGGGAGAGCTCAGTTGGTAGAGTAGGAGACTCCAATAAGAATAAGAATAAGAATAATATTTTATTATTTATACCCCGCCCATCTGGCTGGGTTTCCCCAGCCACTCTGGGCGGCTTCCAACAAAATATTAAAACTCAAGTGGGGGGAATGATGGAAAGCTAAGCCCAGAAACACGAAGCTGAAAATTACCCATGGAAAAATAAAGGGAAATCACCAATGAAAAATATTGGGGGGGGGGGGATCAGCCGTTAAATGCTTTCGATCAAAAATCAAAATATCAAAAGAGGCTATGTTCTGTGTTTAATAATAATAATAATAATAATAATAATAATAATAATAATTTATTTGTTTCCCCAGCCACTCTGGGTAGCTTCCAAGGAAGATTAAAAATACATTAAAATATCAATTCTTTTGGGTTGCCAATGCATTGCCGATCAATTAAGGAGGCTCAAAGGTGCCCCGAGATGCACCGAAATCTCAGGGTCGCGGGTTTGAGCCCCACCTTGGGCCAAAGATTCCTGCATTGCAGGGGGTTGGACTAGATGACCCCCGGGATCCCTTCCAACTCTTTGGCTCTGTTATAAAGGGGATGGAGGCAGGTACCGTACCTGGTTGAATCCGATGGAGAGGAGGCAGCCTTCGGCGTCCACCCAGATCAGCCGTGAGTCCTTGCCGTTCGCGTGCGCCAGGACGCTCTGCAAGGAAGGAGGGCAAAAGGCTGTCATTTCGCAAGTGCCTCGCCTGGAAAACTGACTCCCACCCGCTGTCTCTGCCCTGTCTCCCTCTCTCTCAGCTGCAGGTTTGGCACGGGTCCCTTGGGCCTGTATCTGAGCGATGTGAGCATGCGCAGAGGAGAAACGAACGAGAGAAGCCCCCCGGGCTTAAAAACAGGAGAACAGCTGAGAGAGGGTGATGCAGGGTCCCTCGAAGCCAGCCTTTCTCCACCTGTGGGTCCCCAGATGTTGTTGAACTACAACTCCCATCACCCCTAGCTAGCAAGGCTAGAGCTCAGGGATGATGGGAGTTGTAGTCCAACAACATCTGGGGACCCACAGGTGGATAACCGCTGCGGTTAAGTTAAGGGCGGAAAGTGGGGCAAAGAGACCCCAAAGGGTGAAAACATCATGGAATCCAATCTCAGAATCACAAGGTTGGAAGGGAACCCCAAGTCCAACCCGCTGCTATGCAGGAATCCCTGACAACCTCTGTTTAAAAACCTCCAAAGTGTTGGTCATGTTGCTGGTTTTGTTCTTTGTGGTTTTATGGCGCTGTGGGTTAAACCACAGAGCCTAGGACTTGCCCATCAGGTGGTCGGCGATTCGAATTCCTGTGACGGGGTGAGCTCCCGTTGCTCGGTCCCTGCTCCTGCCAACCTAGCAGTTCGAAAGCACACCAGTGCAAGTAGATAAATAGGTACCGCTCCGGTGGGAAGGTAAACGGTGTTTCCGTGCGCTGCTCTGGTTCGCCAGAAGCGGCTTAGTCCTGCTGGCCACATGACCCGGAAGCTGTATGCCGGCTCCCTCTGCCAATAAAGCGAGATGAGCGCCGCAACCCCAGAGTCGGTCACAACTGGACCTAATGGTCAGGGGTCCCTTTACCTTTAACTGCTTTAAATGACCTCGGGAGCAAGGGGGACACCCCACCCCACCCCCAGCTCCAGCTCCAGAGGCTCATGTCCCACTGCTCCCAGCCCCATGTTCAGGTTGGAGGGAAAGACACTGCCCCCCAAAATCAGCCCTTGGCCTCAGAGGGCATTTTTTTTGCAGTCCTGCTGCAATCAATGCACCCCAGTCCAGAGGGCAGAAGTTATTCTGTGGGGTGGGGTGGGGCAGAAGAGGCGCTTTCCTTTGGGCAGGTTTGGCCACTTTTCATTCATTGGTTCTGCAGCAAGACTTCGAGTCGGAGATCAGCACAGACATTAAAAAAAGGCTTCTCCTAAGAGACCCAGACGCCATAAAACAGCAGCTGATACATGGCACAAAATTGGAAGCAAGAAGAATTACCGATGAAAGAAGAATGGCGAATTAAATTAATGGACTATGCAGAATTAGATAAACTAACAGGAAGAATTCGAAACCTGCGGGACCAGAGATTCTCAAAAGACTGGAGTAAATTTACGGATTATTTGAAAAGTAATTGTGAAGAACAGATTACGGTAGTAGGTTTGCAAGAAGTTTTGTAAGGTGAATTATTTGAAATATTACAAGAAAGACCACAAAAAGAATTATTAGTTAAGGACAATTAAAGGTAATATGAAATTAAGAAATGCATAATAAGTGATAAGAACGGAAAATCATCAGAGGTGTTGACGGAAGTCCAAAAATTATTGTATAAGATGAGAAGTTTTGTTGTATGAATGATAATTAATATGTTAAAAACTAATAAACATGAATATTTTTTTTAAAAACAGCAGCTGATACGATAGCAAGGAAATTGTCTTTTTTTGAACTTGGCAGTTTGCAATTTCTTAGGTGGCAAGTTTAATTCCTGTTTAACATTTTACTCCTCCCAAGAGTAAAACAGCTGGCCTAATTCAAACATGTAGTGAGGAGCCCCTCCCTCCCTCCCTCCCTCTCATCTCCTGCCATCACTGACTTTCAGCCCCCCTAAACCGGCCTGCTGCTGGTCTCCTCCCACCCCCCTTGAGAGCAGGGCAGGCGCTGGAGGGACCCCTCCCCCCAAACTCACTCTCCCCCACCCTTCCCTTCCTGCTTTCTGAAATGTACATTCTGGTCATTTGGGCATGGGGCATTGATGGGGGCCGCGGGGGGGCACACTGACATTTAGCCAAGCTCCGCTTTTAAAGCTCAGGTCAAGAGCCCGGCGGTTCGGAAGACAAAGAAGCATCAGTCTGCGGAACTCTGAGCCTACCTCTACTTTGCTTGCAGTGGCAAAGGGAGACATCGGGAAGGGCAAGAAGATCACAGCATTGTAGAGTTGGAAGGGACCCCCAGGGGCAATCTAGTCCAACCCCCTGCAATGCAGGAATCTCAATCTCATTGCCCCACAGTTGAAAAGGGAGGCAAGCACAAGGCTGGCCTTAATCTGCACGGTCTTCTTGGATGAAAGGCTGGTCAAGCCGAAGGTTTCTCTTACACAGAAGCCCACAAAAGCAAAGGTATAACCTAGCCAGAAGATACACTGATGGTTTGCTTGGAAAACCCCAAGAAGTATAACCCAGGAAGGCATTAAAGTGATGTTTGCTGGCATTAAGAATAACAGGGAAGGAGGTAGATTTAATAGCATACCATAAGGAGGCCACTTCTAACCAACGGCTTCTGCAGCCTTATTTATTTCACCCAACAGATGGAAAGGACTCTCTGATGAGATTGGGTTTTAAACTTTCTATTTTCACATGTCCTTTTTTGCAGCACCTTCAAGAATCCTCCTTGTCAGCCAGAGAACTTTGATATCATGGATGGTTCTTAACATATCTACTGGTTCTTGTACAGCGGAACCTCGGTTGTCAGAAGTAATCCATTCCAGAAGACCGTTCGACTTCCGAAACATTCAACAACCGAGGCGCAATGGGTGGCCGGCAATCTCAATGGAGAAAATGGAGAAATGCGCCTCGAAAGCTGTTCAACTTCTGAGGCACATTCAAAAACGGAAGCATTCACTTCCGGGTTTTCGGCATTCGGGTTCTGAATCATTCGGCTTCCGATAGGCTTGAAAACTGAGGTTCCACTGTATTGTAATTTAAAGAATTGTGCCATTGGGCTGGAATGAATAGTCAGGGTGACGGTATAGTCTCCTGATCATGTAATTAAAAAAAACAACAACCCTATCCAAAAGAAAAGTCTCTGCCCATGGAGGGTCACACAAGGGAGGCCTCTAGGTCTACTTGGGCCCCCAACTCATTCTTTTGCAGGCCCAGGAAACCATAGGCCAGCAAGAACGCTGAGCATGCGGGAAACCAAGGCCGAGGGGTTGGCACATGTTGCATGTTCAGTCCCTTCTAGGTGCCTGGATTCATATCCAGACCAGGCCGTAGAGTGGAACTGGCCTTGGCACAAGACCTCCAGGTGTTGTGGGGCTCCATCTGGCCAGTTCCCCTCAACACGGCGAGTTGACAGGGTTACTGGGAGTCATGGTTCAGCAAATGTCTGGGTTGCACCAGGCAGAGCGAAATCACACATCTCAGCAGCCGGAAGCCCTGGCGCCTGAGGCCAAATAACGCCCCCCCCAGCCCCCTTCAGATTTCCAAGGAAACTGCCCGAGAGCTGGAAGAGAAGGAAGAGGGTGCAGCCGTTCAAAGGCAGCTGCAGAAAGCGAGGAGGCAAAGTCTAGGGAGGGAGCATTCAGCCACATCAGCATTGGCAAGAGGGGGAAACAATTGCCTTACACACACAAACACACCAAAGCCGCAGCCTGCAGCTCTGGGTCACAGCCTCCCGGAGAACTTCAAAAGCTGCCCTATAAGCAAGACATTGTGCCAGAATCTCCTTCCCAGACTTTTGCTCACTTCCTCCGCCTCCTTCCAGACACAGATTCCTCCACCTCCACAAGTAACAACTCAGAGTGTGCGTCACCTTCTCTCTCTCTCTCTCTCTCTCTCTCACACACACACACACACACACAAACACACAACACAGCCTCTTGAACCCCGTGGGCAGCCCAGATGGCCAAGTGCAAGACTCACAGGGCAGAGGAACAGGGATCAGTTTCTCTCCTTCCACAGCTGGGCCAGGGGCCCCACTGGGCTCCCAAGGGCCCCAGAAACAAAGGCTGGGCCCCTGCTGCTCTCTGTGGCTCTTCCAGGACTGGCTCCCCCCCCCCAAAGTCAACAGTGGGCTCTGCAGCCCCACAGGTGCCACTTCCACAACAGCCCGTTTCTACAGAGTGGGGCCATCCCAGCAGGGATGCAACACAAGGGCCCCAATCCTTGCTGCCAGCAGCTGCACAAGCATTGCTGTTGGGGCACCCTGACACTGTCCCCCGCAGGGGGCCAAGGAACGGGGAGCCGGAGCTCCTGCAGGGTCCCTCTGCCTTGGGCCCCCATCCTTCTCCCTGCTCAGCCTCCCCGCGGCTTCCTCATTTCGGGACGGAGGAGCAGCGATTCGGAGGGGGTGGGGAGGGTGAGAAGAGAAGCGGAAGCCCTGAGGCTGCCCCCCTGCTCCGCTGGGGAGCAGGAGCCTGAGAGCGCCGGCCGCACGCTGCTATAAATAGGCCTTCCCAAAACCTAGGCCAGCTCCCTTCCAGAGCTTCCCACGGCCTTCTTGGGAAGAGGGAAGGCTGAGGACGTCCCACCAAGCGGGAAGGACACTTGGCTGCCGAGGGTGGGAGCCAGGTACCCCCGAGGTGACCTCTGCGGGAGGGAAGTGGGGGGTTGGGAGAGGGAGAATGAACGCCCCCCCAGAGCCTCCCTCCCCCAAAACAATCCCACAGCTGGATCTGGAGCATGAGAGGTGCGCACAGCTGGCTCCCACGCAGAGGGGAAGGGGTGGGCAAAGGGGAGCTCTTCCTCTTCCTCCTCCTCCATCTTCCCAGGAGCCACGCCAGGTAAGAGAGATGCAGAGCGGAGCAGACATGGCTCGCTCTGGGGGCAGCCCCCCAAGGTGTGGGGGGGTTGGCACATTCAGAGGAGAAGGGGGCACAGAAGCAAAACACCAGCAGCAGCCGCCAGCGCAAGTCAAGCCAGGAGGACCCATTGAGACGGACGGGAAAATCAGGCAGGGGACAAAGTCTGCGCCAAGACAGCCCCTTTCCAGGATGACAAAGAGCCGCAAAGGGCAGCAGATTGTTTTGAAAGGAAAAGTTTGCTGAATGCGGAAGATCAGCAGGGCAGGGCACAGGCCAAGCCCCTCTTGCTAAGACGCTGCTTTCCTACATAATGATAATAATAATAAATTTTATTTATACCCCGCCCTCCCCAGCCAAGACCGGGCTCAGGGTGGCTAACACCCGATATAAAAACAAATTGATTGAAATACAACTTAAAAATGAGATTAAAGTACAACATTAAAACATTAAAATACAGCCTCATTTCAATGGAAACTCAAATAAAAAACTTTTTGGGGGATGAAAACGTCAAGTCTTCACCAAGGCTAACTATCCAGACTGGTCCTACATGGGCCAGAAAAAAGCCAGGGAAGTCCCCAAATTATATGAACTAAAATAAATTTAAAAATGTGTTTTGTTTTTGATGTGGGCATCCAGACATGAACTCCGGCCCTCCAACTGGAGGCTGACATGGGGCAGGAGAGGAAGTGTTTTGCCACTTGACTCTGAGGAACTGGCCCAGGCTGGCAGCCACAGGGAACACCAGCCCTTCCTGTGGATGGCCTGGCACCAGCCTTGCTGTCTGCCCTTTGGGCGGTCCCGCGCCTGTGAAATTAGGGCCCCTCCAATGGAAAGAGAGGGTCCATGAATTTGTGTAGTGATTTTTTAAAGCCAAGTTGGTGGACATCCTTGCTTCCTGCCGGGGTGAGTTCCACAGTTTAACTCTGCGCTGTATCAAGGACTTCCCTCCCAGAGCTTTGTCAAAGCAATAAGGGGCATTTGAGGGCTCAGTGTGGGTGCCTCCACACATGAATCGATGCCGATGGAGCGGGGGTCCAAAACATTTGGAGGGCACCTGGTTGGCAAAGGCTGGGCTAGCCACACTGCCACTGTGGCTCTCACTAGCCCAACGCCAGATAACAGACCAGCCGCCTGGCATTTTCTCAAGTTGACGCTGTGAGCTGTTAAGAGGGGCAGGAATCCTGGGGCCCTGGCACCCAAGGAAGTTGCTCTGGAGGAAGAACAACCAGCTTTAGACAGGGTGTCTCCACACAACCCAGCCCTGGCAGTGCCCTCTCCCCAACCCCACCCTGCCCCCAAACCAAAGAGGCCCAGATACCTGGCAAGCCGTAGGTTTGGCACGTGGGTCAAAGATCCGCAGCTTTTTATCCTGAGGACAGAGAAGAAAAGGAGGTCATGAGGGACTCTGTGTTTGCCACAAACGCAGCAGCCCATTCTCAATTTAGTCAGGCGCTATAGGTAGAACTATGATGCTTAAGTGTCCACAGTATCCTTGCAAGAGAGGATGGAGAGGAAGGCAGAACTTAGCCATGATCCAGTGACCTCCTGGCACCCCGACTTGGTACAGTGGGTACCAGCCGAAGCATAAATAAAAGGTATAATCAACAGTAGCCTGGTTCGCACACTTTGCTAAACCATGGTTTGTTAAGCTCAACAAACTCTGGTTTGTTTGTCCAAACACACAACGGCCATCAGCTATAGGCTTGCCATACGTCAGGAAAATTCCTGACATGACCTGGTTTTGGGGTGCAAAAATGGCGTTGGGGGGATTTTGCTGAATCGGCAAAATGTCAGGGAAAACCTGGGTGTATGGCAATGCGATGGAAAAAGCAGCAGAAACAGCTCAAAAAGCTTAAAATCACTTTTTTGGGGTTAGGTTTCTCCTAAAAAGCTGGACAATTTGGGTTTGTTTCCAAAAAAAAATGCTCAACAATTTTGGTGATCTCCTTTAAAAAGCTCACCAATTTTGCAGGTGTCAGGAATATGGCAAGCCTCATCAACTCTGGTCAGCTAACTACCAGCAGACCAGAATGTGAAACCATAGTTTGAAGCTGACTTAGGAATGTCTGCTTGCGTGAATGCTCTGAAACACATTCTCTGGCTTAATTCTGGTTTGCTTCAGTGCCCAGCCCTCAATGCTTGCCGGTCTACAGAGGCAAAAGCCCCCAAAACGCCAGAAAAACCAGAACCTTAAGTGAAACTACACCTGGTCCCTTTGCTCATCTGCAAGACTGGTTCTGGTTAGGCATTCAAAACACACCTGGAAAAGGTTGCAGAGCTTCCTAGGCAATGGTTTCTATGCTAGCAGATACCACAATGCTTGCTGCAGTGGTTCATGCAGGTTACTATTAGTAGATAAAGCCTTTAACAACTTGGGACCAGTTTATCTACAGTATTCCCTTAGTCCACATGCCAGGTGGACTAGGTGGTTAGTCCAGGTGGTGGGATGGGCATGGGTTTACTACACGTGCCACCTTTGTGAGAACCGAGTCGTTCCATGCGGCAGCACCTACACTTTGGAACTCCCTGCCTCTCGATACCAAGCCCAGGCCTTCACTGTACTCTTTTCGGTGCGTGCTGAAAACAGGAGGGCCTGCAAGCCGACCCGGATCACAGAACAGCCCCACCCCCTGCAATGCTGGATGCTCAGAAAGTTGAGGCGAATTTTAATCCGCTTTCGTCTTTTTAACTTTTCGTATGTTCTAAAGTACGGCTGCGGATTTTTCTCAATTTCATCGTTTCATCTCTCTGCAAACCGCTTTGGGTTTCTTTTGTTTTGTTTTGCAATCAAGCGCCGCATAGATTTTATGAAATAAAGACATTTGAGGAGGTGCTCTTCGTTTTGTTTCCAAGCTGAGAGAAGTCAGCGGCCAGATCGCAGCCACAGGCTTTTCAATGCACCTTTTTGCACCAAGCGTGAGTTCTTGGGAGGCGCATTATGTGCGCGTGTTGCGCCACCCAGTGGTCCCTTGTGGTGTAGGCCATTTAAAGCGGTATCGCCTTAAGCAATTCTGGCTTCTTCCCCCAAAGAATCCTGGGAACGGTAGTCTCTTAAAGGGTGCTGAGAGTTGTTAGGAGACCCGTTCCCTTTGCAGAGCTACGACTTTCAGACTGGTTTAACAACCAATCCCTCTTCCCAGGCAACTCTAGGAACTGTAGGGGAACAGGAGTTTCCTAACAACTCTCAGATCCTTTAAAAAACTACAGTTCCCAGGATTCTGGGGGTGGGGGGAGAGCCATGGTTGCCTAAAGTGGCATGATAAGGTAAAGGTAAAGGGACCATTAGGTCCAGTCGCGGACAACTCTGGGGTTGCGGCACTCATCTCGCTTTATTGGCCGAGGGAGCCGGCGTACAGATTCCGGGTCATGTGGCCAGCAGGACTAAGCTGCTTCTGGAGAACCAGAGCAGCACATGGAAACACCGTTTACCTTCCTGCCGGAGTGGTACCTATTGATCTACTTGCACTTTGACATGCTTTCGAACTGCTAGGTTGGCAGGAGCTGGGACCGAGCAACGGGAGCTCACCCCGTCGCAGGGATTCGAAGCGCCGACCTTCTGATCAGCAAGCCCAAGGCTCTGTGGTTTAACCCACAGCGCCGTGTTACTGCTTGTTTATTTACTAAATTTATAGCCCTCCCCAGGTCATCCTCACAACAGCCCTGCGAGGTAGGCTCAGCGGAGAGATGGTGACTTGGCCCAGAGCCACCCAGGGAGTGGACTCTCCCACTGTGCCACACTCTATAGGGCAGGAGCAAAGAGGGCGCAAAACAGCACAGAGATCTGTGGAAGCAGCAGAGCTCCCCTTATTTCTTCCAGCTGCTCCTTCCGGCCACAGACCTTTCTTGGTCAGAAGCAGCAGCAGCAAGATGCCTGGCATCGCAGCAGGAGCAAAGTGGGTCACGGCGCAGTGGCTGGAGCCCGAGGAGGATCACTTGACCGCCACCCGCTGACCTGAAGGGCAGCTTCACACACACACACACACACACCGGCCCCTTGAGCCCCAGCACCTGGTCTACCACGCACCTTGCAGGACGTGCCCAGCAGACAGCCATCAGGTTTCCAAGCCAAACTCTGGACCTGGTCATCGTGAGGCTCCAGCTCTGCAGGGAAAGATAAGAGATGAGATGAAGTTCCTGGCAGGCGCCACTCGTAGAGCAACCTGATCGCCCGGCCTGAGAGCGGGCAGAATAACAGGGCAGCAAAGTGTAATGCGACCGGCAGCCGCAGATGATGCTTCCAGGAGGCTGAGGAAGACACAGGACATCACTGCCCTCCCCAACATCTGCCTTTTGCTGCTGTCAGCCTCCTCTGGAGTAATAATAAATAATAATAATTTTTTATTTATACCCCGCCCTTCCTGGTTCAGAAAACCGGGCTCAGGGCGGCTAACAACAAATTTAAAACATTTAATTGATGCAACAAAAAACAGCATAAAATGCTGTTTTGCAATAAAGAATTGCTTTAATAAAAATTATTATTATTATTATTAGCATGTTTCAGTTAGTCAGACAGAGGGCCTTCTCAGTAGTGGCACCTGCCCTGTGGAACGCCCTCCCTTCAGATGTGAAGGAAACAAGCAGCTATCTTAACTTTAAAAGACATCTGAAGGCAGCCCTGTTTAGGGAAGTTTTTAATATTTAGTGCTGTATTGTTTTTAACACTCGATTGGGGGAAACTCAGCCAGATGGGTGGGGTATAAATAAACTATTAATTATTATTATTATTATTATTATTATTATTATTATTATTATCCAGTCAGAGGCCATCTCCTCCTGTGGGATCCTTTTCTGTCCTGAGGAAAATCATCTGGCTCCCAGGGCTGCAAGGAGACGAGGACAAGGCTTTGCATTGTGCTGAGAAGGAGGAATTGCTACTCAGGAACAGTAATTCCACCCCAGAGTGGAGGCTGCCTCCGCTTGGAGCTTGCAGACCTTGTGGCTGGTTGCTAGGCAACAGGGCCTCCTTGCGGTTCCAGTTTCCTGTTCACACAACATTCCTGGCCTGGGGCGACAAACACCGCCTGTCCCTTCCTCCCAGCATCTCACCGGAAATGCAAATCTGGTTCCTGCCAGCTGTTTTGGAACTACAACTCCCACCAGCCCCAACCAGGGGTTGCTGAGGCTGATGGGAGTTGTAGTTCCAAACAGCTGGAAGGCAACCGTTGGGAAAGGCATGTCCTTGACCTCTTCCCCCAACATCTGTTTGCTCAGAGAAACAGAGGGGAAGGGGTGGGGGCACAAGGGGCTTTTAACCCCACCCCAGAGCTCCCTGTGACACCCCATACCACCCCCTTTTGCCAGGGAAGCAAAGGGCAGTGCTCAGCTAGCCTGCCACGATGCACCTGTAGCTCCCTTTACCTTTATTCTGCTTCCAAGCAGAGTTAGAAGGGACCTCCAGAGGTCATCAGGCCCAACCCCCCGGCAATCCCTGACAGAATATTCAGAATAAATTCCAAATATTTAGCAGAAGACTCGTTGGGAAGCGCAGAGTGCCCCTCTTCAGCTGAAAGAGACCAGTGGGAGCGGGTGCGAAAGGCAGCCTGAGGCAACCCCAGAGAGCCACCACTGCCGGCTTGGGTGGGTAGTCTTGGGCTAGGGGGCAAACAGTCCGAGTTGGCGCAAAGTAGCCGATGGAGACAAGCCGTCCCGGGCAGAGGGGGGAACTCGGGCCATTTCCCCTCCTGCCCTTCCCAGCCCCGTTATAGGAATTCTAAGGTTTTTTATATATATATAGAATGTTCATAAATGTAAAAAGCAAACACATACGTCAGAATATAAACCACGTTTCTGAAATAGTACAGGAGAACAGTACTGAAGCCATTTTGACTCTCCCAAATTGACCTCAAATATTTCTCTGCAAGGAGGAAGGAAATGGGACAAGCTTTCCAATGGTCTTTGGACAGTAGGGACTGCTTACACCTCCCTGTAAATACAGTCTGACAAGTATCTGTTAAGCTGAGCAAAGTTATCAATATGTGCAATAGATTCAGGAACTTTCAAATCAGAACCAGTGAAGGTCCTGTGTGAGTGCCTGGAGGCAGCTGAAGGATGGATGGCAGCTAACAGATTGAGGTTGAATCCTGACAAGGCAAAAGTACAGTACTGTATTTTTCGCTCTATAAGACACATTTTCCCCTCCAAAAACTAAGGGGAAATGTGTGTGCGTCTTATGGAGCGAATGCAGGCTCCAAGGCTTCAGCGACAGCAATGCAAAGCCTCCGAAGCGCAGTGGGAGCACTCCCGCCGTGCTCCGGAGGCTTCGGGTTCCTTTCGCTGAAGCCTGGAGAGCAAGAGGGGTCAGTGTGCCCTCTCGCTCTCCTGGCTTCAGCAGAGAGGGAGAGCTGCGCAGCGCCCCTTCAGCGAAGCGGGAGGGGGCGCTGCACAGAGAGGGGGAGGTATTTTTTTTTCTTGTTCTCACCTTCTAAAACAAGGCGCGTCCTATGGTCGGGTGCGTCCTATAGAGCGGAAAATACGGTACTGTTTTGGGGGGACAGGGGACGGGCAGGTGTGAAGGACTCCCTGGTCCTGAATGGGGCAACCGTGCCCCTGAAGGACCAGGTGCGCAGCCTGGGAGTCATTTTGGACTCACAGCTGTCCATGGAGGGAACCTACATAAGGACTCCATACAGGCTCCTGGGTACCCCATAAGGGGAAAAGGAGCATTTTTTTCTTATAACACCCCCAACCTGAAACACCCCCCACCGCGAAGCTCACCTGCCAGGGTCTGCCGATGCCCCACATCCCAAACCTTCACTGCCTTCTGGGCCCCACTGGCCAGGATGCTGTCTGCCGTGGGGTGGAAGAGGAGAAGGTCTACCGGCCGGCCCTCCGGCCCCAGGGCAATGTGGGGGGAAGACGAGAGGTCCTGGCCAGAGTCCAGGAGGCGCCACACCTTCACCTGCAGAGAAAGAGGCCGGGAGCAAAGGTCCGTCCGTCACCCTGGGAGAAGATGAACCCCAACCCACAAGGGGGGGACAGCAAAGTGGGGGAACCACAGCAAAGCCAAGCAGACCCCTCCAGTCAAGGGATGGAGAAAAGAAATGCCCCATCTTCACTTATAAAGTGGTATTAATACTCCTCTAAAAAGTGATGGCTTGAATCAGTGCCGGATTTACGTATAAGCTGAACAAGCTATAGCGTCGGGCCCCACTCTCTTGGGGGGCCTCAAAAAAACTTAAGGGAAAATAAAAACTGGATGTACATTTCCAAAATATAAGATAAAAAAGAAATAAAATAAAACCTACATATAGCAACAGTGTTTTGTGTTGTGTAGGCTCCTGTGAATTACCATCTAGCATATATTCAACACAAAAAAACAGCGGCAATTTGTTGTTGACAAAGGACAGCTGGACATAAAAAGGGCCCCATTACTTTCAGCAGCTTAGGGCCTCACCAAACCTAAATCCGCCCCTGGCTTGGATCCTGGGAACTTTAGTTTGTTATGGTTTCTGGGCATTGTTAGGAGGTTCCCATCATGGCGCTACAATTCCCAGAGTGGTTTAACAGTCAATCGTATGTCCCAAGGAACTTTATATTTAATAAAACGGTAATAATACCACCTCGAGATGTTTTTACTGGCACCTGACTCCATGCATTCCTTTTCTGGGGAAGGGGAGGGGTCCTACTGTGGGAATTGCACCAAGGTCACCTTAATCCAGACTTGTGTGCCCCCCCTCCAGGCCCACAGCCCTCTCCAGAAGCAGCAGCAATGGGGCAAAGGTCTTGGGGGCTATTTCCTCTCTCAGCCCCCCACTCACAGATGGAGCCTGGAGGGTCTCCTCTACAACCTCCCAGGGTCTTGGGGGGGGTCTGCCAAAGGAGGACCCCTTCACTGAGCACTCACCACTTCATCGGCTGAACATGTGGCCAAGAGCTGCTCGTCAAAGGGAGAGAAGTCAAAATCTGTCACCACATCTGGGCAAGAGAAAGAGAGAGAGAGAGAGAGAGAGATCATGTTTCTTCTTTGCATATTGTTAACTATTTTCAAAATAGCATCTAGGTACAGAATAAGAAAAAGGTCTTCAGTAGTACAGATGTTGCGTCAGCAACCTTGCAAAGGTTGATGAATGCAATACATCAAGTAACAACACACAACAAAATGTATTTGGGGGGGCTATTGGGTCACGGGTGGCGCTGTGGGTTAAACCACCGAGCCTAGGGCTTACCGATCAGAGGGTCAGCGGTTCGAATCCCCGCAATGGGGTGAGCTCCCGTTGCTCGGTCCCTGCTCCTGCCAACCTAGCAGTTCGAAAGCACGTCAAAGTGCAAGAAGATAAATAGGTACTGCTCTGGCGGGAAGATAAACGGCATTTCCGTGCGCTGCTCTGGTTCGCCAGAAGTGGCTTAGTCATGCTGGCCACATAACCCGGAAGCTGTACCCTGACCATTAGGTCCAGTCGCGGATGACTCTGGGGTTGCGGCACTCATCTTGCTTTATTGGCCGAGGGAGATTTACAGATAAACATGTGGCACATATTTGGGAAAACAAAAGGCTCAGGATTAAACCCTACACAAATCTGGAGTCCCTAAAGCGGCTGGATGATGCCCTTTACACCTCCTTCTGGCAACTCCTGCAACCAAGAGTCTTGCTCTGCTTTCCTTTGGACCACAGCAGTGAAGCCGGGAGCAGGGCCTTGTCGTCTAGGCAGCCCAGGACCTCCAGACACACTGCCCAGGGTCACACCCCAGAGATGCAAGCATAATTTTACTTCTCTCAATATTTAATTTTTAAAAAACATTTTATTCCGATGTTTTGAGCTGTTCTCATTTTTACCTGTAAGCCAACTGTCAGGGGGAAAGGTGGGGTATAAAATAATAATAAATAATAATAATAGTAATCTCGAGGGCAAGTGGTGTTGGGGGGGTGGACCTGGCACAGAAATCGGCCGCCTGGCTGAGGCATCTGGCCTACCCAGGAAAAGTAGGTCGCTGCGTCATTTTCCGTTTCCACAGGCCTGCAGCAGATGCAAGCCGGCAGCGGGAGACTCGTGCCAGCTGCCTCGGGAGAGCAGGGCTCATCCTGCGCCCAGGCAGGCAGGCAGGGACCAAGAGTCTCTTCCCTGCTTGTGCCCCTCTCTTGACGGGGGCTTAACTGGGACTGAACAGTCTCAAAACAACAGCCAGGCTTAAAAGAGGGAATTGGAGAAGCCGGGAACAAGGGGAACCTGGAGACACATGAGCCAGGAGGAGGTGGGGATTTCAGGGCAGGAAATATGAATCTCAGGTGCCTATAAACTGGCAGAATTTACTATATCATTGCAGGGGGCTATGACTCTATGACTTTTGCTGTATTTGTGACGTTCAGCCTGTTCTTTTAGTTGCTGGTTTGCTGATAGCAGATCGTAATTGTTTCACCAAAGTTTCGTTATTTCTATTATATGATTTACGCCTGTGATGTTTTGTCGCTGTTATTTATTAAGCCGCTTTGGGATTCGCGTGAAACGGAAGCGGTGCAGAAATACAGTCAAATCCATTGTATATTTATCATCACAAGCGTAACGTTTGGTAAACTCTTTACGTTTGCTGTAAATCTCCGACGGCACCTTGACGTTTCCGTTTTGTAATGGTGGCGTGAATTTAACGAAGTTTCTGAAAAGGAAGCTGGTGCCTCACCTACCCCAACCTCACCCCATCATCCCACCTAGGCAGGCAGGCAGGCAGGCAGGCTCCAGCCCTGCCCAGGTGCCAAGCTCACCTGAATGGCAGCCCAGCTGTGAAATGACCCTCTGGGATCTCTTCTGGCTCTCCAAGGGCACAAGGCCCAGCACACCTGGAAGGGGAAAGAACGAGACAAGTCACAGGGAGACCAGATACATGCATTGGGGGGGGGGCAGATGGGTGCAGTACATGAGGGGGGTAGGATTTTCAAACAGGGAACTCTCCCAGTCTTAATGGGAGATATTGAGGCAACAAACATTGCTAGTTTTTTCTATGTAGGGTAAGACTGCAGTAAACTGGGTTTTAACGCATCCCCAGTAAACAGAATTTCACTTTTGCTAGCTATTTGCAGATTAGTTGCGCTGCAGAGGGCATGCTGGGGAGACCACACATTACAAGGAACGCTAAAATAACTTTTGCTAGGTTTGCATAACAAAAACAAAAACTCCTTTTACAAAATATCCGTAAGCATGACCCAACCATCCACCAGGGTACTGAGACAGCTAGGTGCTGCTCTTTATATCCCATACCCAACAGCTTAATTAACATAACTTAACAGCACCTGCTATACTGCTTCACAGCTGTAAAACTAGGTCATGTTATTTGCTCTGGCCTTTAAATAAATACACATCTTGTGGAACAATAATGAACCTTCAAATTTAAAGAGAACATTCAACACCTTTTAGTTCTTTTTCGGTTTCACTAATAACCTTTGGCATGATACCAGAACAGGCTTCCTCCACCTCTGCCCTCCAGATGTTTTGAGACTACAATTCCCATCATCCTTGACCACTGGCCCTGCTAGCTAGGGATCATGGGAGTTGTAGGCCAAAAACATCTGGAGGGCCGAGGTTGAGGAAGCCCGTGCTAGAAGCTGCACAAATGTCCTGCAGGAAACAGCCCCCGTCACCAGAAACAAAGTCATTGTATGGGACAGAACCGGGAAGATTCAAGGCACGTCCATGGGGAAGTTGTCCAGCCCAATGTTCTAGAGATACACACACACACACTGTGTTGGCACATTGCAACTCACAGGCAACTTAGCTAGACTCCCGTCTTGTTCATCTCGGTAAGGCATGTGGCTATATCTGTGTCAACACAACAGTATCAACAGTGTAAAGCAGGGGCCAGCAAACTTTTCCAGCAGGGGGGCTGTCTACTGTCCCTCAGACCTTGTGGGGGGCCGGACTATATTTGGGGGTGGAATATGAACGGATTCCTATGCCCCACAAATAACCCAGATATGCATTTTAAATAAAAGGTCACATTCTACTCATGTAAAAACACGCTGATTCCCGGACCATCCGCGGGCCGGATTGAGAAGGCGATTGGGCCGCATCTGGCCCCCGGGACTTAGTTTGCCTACCCATGGTGTAAAGCTATGTATTGTGTTTACACTTAATTTTCTTTCTCGCACATATTCTGTGAACCGCCCTGAGACGCCCAGGTATAGGGCAGTACAGTGGTACCTCGGTTTACAGACTTAATCAGTTCCAGAAGTCTGTTCTTAAACCGAAACTGTTCTTAAACTGAGGCACGCTTTCCCTAATGAGGCCTCCCGCCGCCAGTGCCCTTCCACTGTTCAGCTTCCGTTCTTAGACTGAGATAAAGTTTGCAAACCGGGACACTACTTCCGGTTTTGTGGAGTTTGTAAACCGAATTGTTTGTAAACAGGGCTGTTCTTAAACCAGGGTACCACTTTATATTATTATTAATAATAATAATAATAATAATAATACAAACTCAAGATATATAATCTAATCGCCAATTGGCACCTTAGGCCTAGGTGTTAGTGGTTGCTTCTTTACTTCTTTGTATTTTAAAGAGCAAATCTCAAAGTGGTTTACAACACATTAGAACATCAAATCAAACAATCCAAAATCAAACAAGGTAAATATTTCAGATCCTTCTCTAAGTGACATTTTGCTTTCCCTAGCTGCCAACCTGGCATGCAGAGATCTCCATGTGGTTGCAGTGGGACCCACAGCAGTCGCAAAACGCGCCCAGTTCATTTCTAACACCGCAGGCAGCCCCTTGCGGGGCTGAAGGAGCCCACAAACGGCACTGCGGACCCTGTCCCAGAAGGGACCTTTGGATTCTGCGCAGCCAGTGCCTAGAAGGGGCGTCCAGCCCCAGGTAACAGGGTGACAGGTGGTGCTAGGGAGAGCCTTTCTTCAGCAAGAGGGCTGCATTCCCTTAAGGACAGACTTCTGAGGGCCACACGCCAAGGGCAGGTGAGGCCGGAGGCCAAAGAGGGCAGAGCCAGTGCATTTTTTCTAAAAAAAATGTTTAGGGGTACTCTCATTTTCCTACTCATACAGTGGTACCTCGGGTTACATTTGCTTCAGGTTACATACGCTTCAGGTTACAGACTCCACTAACCCAGAAATTGTGCTTCAGGTTAAGAACTTTGCTTCAGGATGAGAACAGAAATCGTGCTCCAGTGGCACGGCAGCAGCAGGAGGTCCCCTTAGCTAAAGCGGTGCTTCAGGTTGAGAACAGTTTCAGGTTAAGTATGGACCTCCGGAACGAATTAAGTACTTAACCCGAGGTACCACTGTATTGAAATACTGCCCCTCAATGAGGCCAAACTTAGATTCACAAAATGTTTAGGGGTATGCGTACCCCCAGGGAAAAAAGCACTGGGCAAAGCAACTGGTGCAAATCAGACCTGTGTGTAACTTCTGGCTGCAGAGAAAGCCAGAGGTTTCTACACCCCTGCTGCACCCAGGCAAGGAAGAGGAACTTTCTCAATTCAGGGATGTGTTCTTGGGGGTTGGGGCTACAGCAGGGCTGGCAAGGGAGGTGCCATGAGCTCCAGAATGAGAGGCCGGCAAGGCTGCATTCAGCACCCCTGAAATGAGGTTCCGCACCCCTGCCTTACAACAGTGCCCAGCCCAGGTGAGTCCCCTTGGGACAAGCGTTCTCCAACCCCTGCCCCTCAGGTGAAGGGGGCAGGCATCTCCCCTGCTCTTCCCAAGAGTTTCTAAGGCCTGGAGAAGACAGGAGGTGCAAGCAGGAACCTTTGGGAGAGGGTAGGGCACGAAGGGAAGCCCAAGCCCACCAGCAGCGGCAGGAAGCAGGAATGGCAAGGTCCCACACCCATCCCTTCCTCCTCTTCTTCCTCCTTTTCACGAGCCTCCTGGGGATGCCTCATCCCCAGGCAACTGGAACTCCCAAGGAGTTTCCCATCCTCGTGCAACTGGGACTCTCCCTGCTGCCAGGTGCCAGTTCCCAACAGTTCCCACATGCCTGCACAGGTTGGCGCAACCTCTCTGCCAGGTCAAAGTGCACCGTGCAAGCGTGCCCCACGGAGAGTAGCGGAGCCACCCACTGCAGGGCAGGGCAGGGCCTGGCCTCGCCCACAGTTTACCTGCCGAGTCTGTGTGGAAGGCGATCCAGCGGCTGCCAGCCTTGATGTGGTTCGCCGAAGCAGCTGGGAAACCAGCTCGGAGGTCTCCAATCCAGGCCTGCAACACAGGAAGAAGAAGAAGAGTTTGGATTTGATATCCCGCCTTTCACTCCCCTTCAGGAGTCTCAAAGCGGCTAACATTCTCCTTTCCCTTCCTCCCCCACAACAAACACTCTGTGGGGTGAGTGGGGCTGAGAGACTTCAGAGAAGTGTGACTGGCCCAAGGTCACCCAGCAGCTGCATGTGGAGGAGCGGAGAAGCAAACCCGGTTCCCCAGATTACGAGACTACCGCTCTTAACCACTACACCACACTGGCCCAGCTGAAGGGAGGGGGAGAGCCATTCCCTGCCCCACAGCTCAGCGAGGAAAGGGAACCACCTGCAGCTTTGCCACATCCTTCTCCCCCAAACCAAAGCTAGGAGAAAGAGAGGGAAAGAGACACTGCAGCTTCCTCTCTCGTTTCTGCAGAGCAGCAGGGATCTTCTTGCAGAGACAGAGGAGGAGAAGCATCTGCACCCGAAGCCCAGGGGACAGAGAGGGGTCCTGCGCCCGTCCCAAATCAAAGACCCAAAGGAGCATCTCCACTCCCATCGTTCTGCCCAGACACTGAGGTCCAGCTCCTAGGGCCTTCTGGCAGTTCCCTCCCTGAGAGTAGTGAGGCTACAGGGAACCAGGCAGAGGGCCTTCTCGGTAGTGGCGTCTGCCCTGTGGAATGCCCTCCCAACAGATGTCATGGAAACGAACAACTATCCGACTTTTGGAAGACATCTGAAGGCAGCCCTGTATAGGGAAGCTTTTAATGTTTGATGTTTTATCGTGTTTTTAATATTCTGTTGGGGGCCGCCCAGAGTGGCTGGGGAAACACAGCCAGATGGGCATGGTATAAATATATTATTATTATTATTATTATTATTATTATTATTATTATTACTACTACTACTACAAAGCAGAGGGCCGGCCACCACAGGGAAGTAGAGGAAAGACTGTGAGCTTTTGCAAAGGGGTAGCCAACTATTACTGGGCACCCAAAAGTGGAAAGGACATGCCCAATGGAGCAAGGCACCTCCCCATGCGCCTAGCGCAATCTGTGACTCCTTCTGTCCTTAGCCCAGCCAGGAAGAGAGCCAGCATGTACATTCCAACACATGTGTGCAGTGTGCGGCCCATTTTTGGAGGATGGATAGGGCTAACAGGTTGAGGATGAATCCTGACAAGACAGAATTACTGCTTTGGGGGGACAGGGGGTGGGCAGGTGTGGGGGACTCCCTGGTCCTGAATGGGGTAACTGTGCCCCTGAAGGACCAGGTGCGCAGCCTGGGAGTCATTCTGGACTCACAGCTGTCCATGGAGGCGCAGGTCAGTTCTGTGTCCAGGGCAGCTGTCTACCAGCTCCATCTGGTACGCAGGATGAGACCCTCCCTGCCTGTGCAGTGTCTCACCAGAGTGGTGCATGCTCTGGTTATCTCCCGCTTGGACTACTGCCATGCGCTCTACGTGGGGCTACCTTTGAAGGTGACTCGGAAACTACAACTAATCCAGAATGCAGCAGCTAGACTGGTGACTGGGAGTGGCCGCCAAGACCGGTCCTAAAAAACCTACATTGGCTCCCAGTACGTTTCCGTGCACAATTCAAATTGCTGGTGCTGACCTTGAAAGCCCTAAACGGCCTCGGCGCAGTATATCTGAAGGAGTGTCTCCACCCCCATCGTTCCGCCTGGACACTGAAGTCCAGCTCCAAGGGCCTTCTGGCGGTTCCCTCCCTAAGAGAAGTGAGGCTACAGGGAACCATGGAGAGGACCTTTTCAGTGATGGCACCCACCCTGTAGAACAGCCTCCCATCAGATGTCAAGGAAATAAACAACTATCTGACTTTTAGAAGACATCTGAAGGTAGCCCTCCCTCCCTCCCTCCCTCCCTCCCCTTTGCCTGTGGTCTCCTTCACCCCAAACCGCACGGAAGGAAGACAAACCACCAGGCAACAGAGTTCCCAGCCCTTCTTCTTCTTCCATCCACACCCCTCCCTGCAGCTCCCTGGGGGATGGTGCTCCAGGCAGATGCTCAACAGGGAGGACTAAAGCCTTGCATTATATGTTCCTAGAGCAGAGGGGAACCAAGTCAAGGTTGACGTGTGCGCAGCTTCTGTGGCCAAATTCCAAAGCCTCAAACCCTGACGTGTAAGAATTGTAGCAAATGCAGCTTCTCCCATCACTGGATCTGAACGGTGGGAGAAGCTGCAGCTCCCAGAATTCTCCCTTCCTATGAAGAAAGGACCAGGAAGATCTGCGGGAGCTGCTTGAGAAGGCGCCATGCGCTCCACACCATAGCAACCCTGGGGGGGGGGGCCTTCTTCAAGACGAAAAGTGGGTAAAAAAATGACACTGAGATTATGCGCGGGAATTCTCCGCATGCCCCAGCTCTGCCCACCTGCCCTTTGGCGCTCAGTCTCCAGCAGCAGCCCTCGAAAACTGCACAGCGGCAACACAAAGGGAGGCTTGTTGGCTGCCTGGTTTTATTCCGCTTAAAAATAGGCTCTTTCATGCAACTTCTGCTACACACACCAGCAAAGCAGTGCTCACACTTTCAGCAGGCAGAGGAGGTTGCCCAGGCAACAGAAAGCCTGACATTTCCCTGGTTCTGCAATATTATATTATATTATATTATATTAATAATAATTACTGCAATCATTGAAATTTCAGGGCATTCATCCAATTCTGGCCTTTAGGCCTGAGAAGTCATCCATTCTGCATTGCTGGTGCCACCACACAGGGGGCCCTGCAGAGAGCTCACAGTCCGAACTGCATGAGGCATCAAATGCAAGAGGGTCGCCGCTCAGACCCGCAAGAGGGGGCAGAGGGAAGGGGGCAGGGGGCTCAGGCTGCCCCCAAGGCTGTCAGGGGGCTCCCTCCCAAGGCCTGTGTTCTTCACAGCCAGCCACTTTGCTCTGCGCAAACTAAAAAGTGACACAATTTTGGGGGCCTCCTGGACACCCAAACATCTGTCTGGTTTGTGGGTGGTGCCCTGGAGGCCACCCCAAAATCCTTCCCCTTAAGGAGGGGCGCAGCCCAGTGGGAGGACACCTGCTCTGCATGCAGAAGATCCTGGGCTCAGCACCCTGTTGCAGGAACACCACTTCCTATTAAAATAAGCACAGAATTTCGAAGCTGTTTGAGCCTTTTCACGTCCACTTTTCCAGCCTCTAAGCTCCTGTCTAAGAGCAGCAGGGGACGGGGAAAGAAGCCCAAGATGACCGCCTGTCTTAGAGACCCCCCTGGACTAGCTGGGCCAAGGCCTGGGGCTCAGGATCCAGACCCCCCCTCCACTCAGGATGAGGGCAAATGGAAAAAGGGTGCCCAGGGTTGCCCAAAGCAGATGAGAGAGGGCGCAAGGCTGTGGCACTCCCCAGATCGCAGGCAAAGTAGCAGCTGGGGGGGGTTCCTGCCCCCCATCCTGCGTTGCAAGGGGTTAGACTAGATGACTCTTGTGGTCCCTTCCATCTGTACAATTCCATGATCTGTGGGACTCTCCGTCCTGGGAGGTTTTGAAGCAGAGGTTGCGTGGCCGTCTGCCACGGATGCTTCCGCTGAGATTCCTGCTTTGCCGGGGGTCGGACTAGATGACCCCGGGGGGTCCCTCCCAACTCTACAATTCTATGATGATGATGATCATCCCATCGGAGGGAAAGGAGGCGGGGCTTCAGCCCAAGGCAAGCTCCTCCCCCCGCCCCCCGATTCTGCAGGCGCCACCTTCCCCCCTTGGCCCCGAGGAGGAAGCCGGCTGCAAGCCCGGAGAGCAGCTGCGCTGAGCACAGGATGGGGAAGGGAGAGCGGAAGCCGCGGAAGCCGCAAGGCGCGTCTTGTGACCCACGCCCAGAGCGCGGCGGCCGACGCCCCGAAGGCGCCCCACCTCTTCGGCGGCCGCGGCTCCGAAGGGGTTAACCCCGAGGGCGCCCCCGCTGCTGCTGCTGCTGCCGCCCCCCTGGGCAGGGGAAGGAAGGAGTGCCCGGGCGCCCTGGCGCGCGCCGGCTGGTGGGCAGCGGGAGTCCCCGGGGGCGCCCCCGGGCAGAGGGTGCCAATCGGGAGCAGGGCATCCCGGGGGTGGGGAGATCGGGGGCAGCGGAGCCAAGACCCCCACCCCGGAGGCAGGTGCGGGCAGGGAGGGCGCCTGGGGTTGCTCTCCGGGCGGGGATCGGGGCCCTTCCCGTCGGGGCGCCGGCACCCACCTCCTTGCGGGCCACCCTGGCCTCCGCGTGGCGGAACTTGGACACCTTGAAGCGATTCATGCTCAGCCTCCCGCCGCTGCCGCCGCCGCCGCCGCCCGGGCTCCGATCCGAATCGCCGCCAAGCCCCGCCCGGCCGTCCCCGCCTCCTCCGCCGCCGCCTCCTCCTCCTCTGCCGCTGCTCCGGGGACTGAGCACCATCCGGCGCCCAGGAGAAAGGAGGAGCCGGGCGGAGGGGCGCTTTCGCCCGGGAGGCGCCGCGCAGGTACGACGGTGGCGCTTCCACCTGGAAGGTTTGGGGAGAAAATCCTGCCGCCCAGTCCAGCACACGGGGCTCTCGCCCTTCCCACGCGCCCCAGTTTGATCCTGACAACAACCTTGCGAGGTAGGCGAGGCAAAAGAAACCAACCAACAACCCACCCGCCAGAGGATGCCCTGGCGAGCTTTACAGCTGAGAAGGGATTTGTTTATGAACGGAAAGATTAGGCACCGCCTTTGTGTCCTAGAACCTGATGCTCAATTTTAAAGCCATCATTTAAACAACCATTTCATTTACTTATTAAATTTTAGATACCGCTCTCCCTCTGTGGAACACAGGGTGTCTTGCAGCAAGAGCAGGGGTCAGCAAGCTTTTTCAGCAGGGGGCCGGTCCACTGTCCCTCAGAACTTGTGGGGGCCTGGACTATATTTGGGGGGGTGAGCGAATTCCTATGCCCCACAAATAACTCAGAGATGCATTTTAAAATCTACTAATGTAAAAACACGCTGATTCCCAGACCATATGCAGGCCAGATTTAGAAGGCGATTGGGCCGGATCCAGCCCCCAGACCTTAGTTTGCCTACCCATGAGCAAGAGTTTCTTAAGGATCTGAGGTGGGTGGACTGGAATGTCCTCCATTCAAATAGAGGCAAGCCCTGAGGGTGGTGGTCTCCCAGGCTGGCGTGTTGAGCAGGGTGCTTTACGGAAGTGAGTTGTGGGCCACTGACAGCCATCAGCAGCGACTGGCTCAACACTTTCCACATGTGGTGCATCAGGACATCACATGTGGCAGGACAGAGACTCAAAGAAAGATGTGCTCTCTCAAGCCTCAGCGATGTCCTACTCTGGCTTGGTCATGTCCACAGAATGGAAGATGGCAGGCGATGGCAGTGCCTGGAGACTGGCGGTCAGATCACGCATCCACAGCAGTGACCAGAGGAGGAATGACCTCTGGGAGACCAAGCAGAATAGAGTGGCACATGCAGCATCTTAAAAAGCAGAGACATCACCTTGCCGACAAAGGTCCGTATAGCTAAAGCTATGGTTTTCCCAGTAGTGATGTATGGAAGTGAGAGCTGGACCATCAAGAAGGCTGATCGCCGAAGAATGGATGCTTTTGAATTCTGGTGCTGGAGGAGACTCTTGAGAGTCCCATGGACTGCAAGAAGATCCAACCTCTCCATTCTGAAGGAAATCAGCCCTGAGTGCTCACTGGAAGGACAGATCGTGAAGCTGAGGCTCCAAGACTTTGGCCACCTCATGAGAAGAGAAGACTGCCTGGAAAAGACCCTGATGTTGGGAAAGATGGAGGGCCCAAGGAGAAGGGGACGACAGAGAATGAGATGGTGGAACAGTGTTCTCTAAGCTTCCAGCATGAGTTTGATCTAACTGCGGGAGGCAGCGGAAGACAGGAGTGCCTGGCGTGCTCTGGTCCAGGGGGTCACGAAGAGGCGGACATGACTAAATAACTAAACAACAACAACAACATTACTTCCCATGATCTGGACACTAGACTTCTGTTGATGCAGCCTAGGAAAGAATTAGCTCCCCCCAGCTCCTCCCAGGAGTTGCACTGTTGACTCCTGTTAAGCTTGTGGTCCACCAAGACCCCTAGATCTTGTTCCCCTGTACCAACCTGACAATTTTCCCTACTGAAATTCATTTTGTTAGTCTGGGCCCCATTGTGCCCAGATTCTGTCTTCTGTGGCATTAGCTACCCCTCCCAGTTTGGCATCATCTGCACATTTGATGAGCACCTCCTCAATTCCTTCATCAAAACACAGCACTACCTTTCAAATAAATGTTTATCAATGGCAGCCAGCAATATGCTATACGGCAATTAAGTTTTATTTTGTTATTTATTGCATTTATATGCAACATTTTTCCTCCATGTAGCTTCAGGGCTGAGTGAGGATTTGAACCTGGGTCTCCCAGGGCCTGGTCCGATACACTAACTCCTTTGCTACGCTGACTCCAACCAGATAAAGTTGTCAAATCGCTTTATTGGAGAGGGTAACTAAACAGATCAACAAGATAAGGCACATTGGATATGAAGACGACTTGGCAACTCAGTGGTACAAGTTTTGCAGTGGGCACAAAAACCATCCTCCGCCCCCTGCCCCTCACAGTATGATCTGGGAGGACTTGCTGGGATAGATGGAAAATGTCATTCTGTACCCTTTACATGAAAGGTGATTTTTTACCTAAACTGAGTTGGAACAGGGATGTATTCCGCAGTGCTAACGTCATTGTTTAAAGCAGCTAAAATTGTTATTTTTTTTTAATTGGGCATTGGTATTTACAGAAATGGCCAATGTAATAGAAAAAACATGTACCGGTAGGGTGTAAATACCTGCGTTAGCTTTACTGGGAATCAGGAGAGCAGGAGCATCAGGAAGATATAAAAGATTATAAAAGATTATTACATCTTTGTTGATGACAGCTAGAAGGTTGATCACTAGGAACTGGAAGCCTGCAGACAAAATGATCTCCATTGGGGCTTCTGGTGTTCAGAACTGTGGTGTATAGCAGTGGCTAAAAGGTTGAGATATTGGATAAACCTGGCAAAGGGCAAAGCAAGGGGCATCCAACCTTTATGTGACTGGGCACAATTCCATTCACTGAGCAATCAAGAACACAGGTGCCAGCAACTATCAAACTATCAAGCAGGGAAACAACCTGATTTCACAGTGAGGCCTTGCAAAAGGATGGCATATTTAACTTAGGTAAAATGGAACAGGGCATAGACACAACTCCTGTTATCCTGAAAACCCATCTGCCACGAGATAGGGGGGGGGAAATGATGTAACTATGTTCAAGGAGCCTCCTGGGTGTTAATGGATTTAGATTTATTTTTTCCTTTGATCATGTTATATGCTGATCATTGAATTTTGTATCTGTATTTTTTTGGATTTTTGGTTATTAAACGTGTTTATTTTTTTAGGAGGGAAGACAATAAAACTTGCAGTAAAAGCAATATATATATATATAATGGAAAAGCAGCCTTAAACTTAAAATAAGTTTTAAGGTGCATCAGGTGGCCTGCACGGCATAGCTCATAGCTTCTCTGAGTTATTCAAGCCCCTTTGCCACGGCAAGGCAGAGTTGGACCATAAAGAAGGCTGATCACTGAAGAATTGATGCTTTTGAATTATGGTGCTGGAGGAGACTCTTGAGAGTCCCATGGACTGCAAGAAGATCAAACCTCTCCATTCTGAAGGAAATCAGCCCTGAGTGCTCACTGGAAGGACAGATCGTGAAGCTGAGGCTTCAAGACATTGGCCAGCTCATGAGAAGAGAAGACTGCCTGGAAAAGACCCTGATGTTGGGAAAGATGGAGGGCCCAAGGAGAAGGGGACGACAGAGGATAAGATGGGTGGAACAGTGTTCTCTAAGCTTCCAGCATGAGTTTGATCTAACTGCGGGAGGCAGCGGAAGACAGGAGTGCCTGGCGTGCTCTGGTCCAGGGGGTCACGAAGAGGCGGACATGACTAAATAACTAAACAACAACAACAACGGTGGCCTGCACTGCAGGGGTCATGCGTAGTCCAGCTGTATGGGTGTTCCACAGCCCTGGGGCCAGTACTAAGAAGGTACCGTCTCTTGTGCTCGCCAGCCTGCTTGAACTTACCAGGAGAGAGCAGACACACAGGGTGTCTGGAGCTGATCAGGATCATATGGGTGCAAGCTGTCATTCCGACAACCTAGCCGCATCTCTTCCTGTATTTCCTCGACTCCTGACCACTTGGTTTGTTATGGTTTTGTCTGTCGTCTATTCAAGGTGCTCTGTAATTTGTGGAAGGTGAACATGGAGATTAGTTGGGTTTAGAAACCACTCATCATCGTGCCGTTGGGCAGGGCGATCCTGTGGTCGTCATAACACAGTTCAGAGAGTCAGAATTGTAGAGTTGGAAGGGATCTCCAGTGGTCATCTAGCCCAACCCCACACAATGCAGGAAACTCAGTTCACACAATTGGGTTTCCGGAAAGGAGGAAACGAAAGGTTCCTCAGGCTGTTACTCTGCCACTGCCTCTTCTCAGGGGAGAAGCCTGGTAGCAAGCCAGGAGACATTTGTTCAGGTGGAGTGTTATAAGAAAAAACTGCTCCTATATCCTATATGGGGTATCCAAGAGCCCATATACAGTCCTTAAGTGGGTTCCCTATCGCTAGGAGAAAATAACAGAGGCCAACCAGAGAACATTAAGAAGCAAAGCAGCTAGTAAGCCTGATCTTTACTGTTGCAAGAGGGTCCCCCGCTCACCCCACGCAGGAGGGAGGAGAGGAACCCAGAGCATTGGTGCGCAAGCTCTTATATAGACTTTTGAAATTGCCCACCCTGCAGCCCAAGACCACCCCCCAAAACATCCTGCATACATTACAGAAAGAGGTGGTCCCCAGCAGAAATACATGGGAGGGGGGTCTACAGCAGAAAACCTGTCTGTCAGGATACCTGATCACGGTCACTGTTTGCTTTACCTGGGCAGCCTGGCCATTCTTTTGAGATGATAAATACACAGTTCCTGAATCCAGGTCACAGGCTCACCCTATTCATACACAAATACGCCCTTAGGACAGGAGTTGGGAGCAAAGAGACAATGGGGAGGTTTCCCCATTTCCTTCCTCATTACAGAGAATATTTGAGGTCACTGGAAGAGTCAAAATGGCTTCAGGGTTGCTCTCCTGTACTATTTCAGACACGTGGTTTATATACTTATGCATATGTTTGCCTTGTAAATTTAAGAGCATATGATTTATATATATATGAGACGTTTTATTTTTATGAGAATTCCTATTAAGATGGTGCATAGCAAAAACAAGCCATTAGCCGACCGGAAGCTTTTGTGTAGCGGTTTTGTCCCCACGCTTGCAACATTTTATTAAGGAAGGCCCAAGGACTGCAGAGGCTGTGCCCCACGATCCTCGCCTCTGACTTGCACTTTG